GTGTTTAAGAGCTTATCTGGGAAACTCCGACCCTACCTGAACAAAATGCTTTCCCCAGCTGTTCCTACTTCCTATAACCTCCGATCCAGTACCAGCACTTTATTTAGTCTACCTCAATACAAAAAGAAAGCAGCCCGAACCTCCTTCACCTACAGAGCACCGCAATTGTGGAACGACCTCGCACACAATTTAAAATCTTCCCTAAGTCTAAAGTCCTTTAAAAGATCCCTCTCTACATACCTCAAAACAGAATGCACCTGTCATGGTTGATTATATATTTCCTACCTGTTCTATGTTAAATTTTGTATTTATTGTGTATTAATATTGTTTTTGTATTTTATTGTACCCTAATGTAATAATGCAATGATTTGTGGACCCAGGACATACTTGAAAACGAAAGAAATCTCAATGTATCTTTCCTGGTAAAATATTTTTATAAATAAAAAAATAAAAACATCACGTAGATGATACAGGGCATGGGGCGTATGTAGGGTGCAACCCGAGGGAGGAATGTGCGGCTTGTAGCTGAATTTGCGGTCCAACGCTCCGACCTCCTGAGAGGAACCTGCAGGTTAGAGCTCCACCAGGTCCTCTCTACCCAGCCGGTGGCTGCATGGAACTGTCTGTGGTCGGTGAGGGAGATCTTTGATCTCCCCAACGGCCCATGAAGGCACACAGCAGGTCCGACGCTCGGATAGTGCCAGCTCTGCATGGGCCGACAGGAGAGATCCTATGCTCTCCCTACCGACCTCGGCCCATGACCATCGCGGACCACAGGGCGTTTGCCCAGTATGCCTGATGGCAAGTCTGGGTCAGCTCTCAAGCTAAAGAGAAGTGGAAACAGTTTAATCATTGGACAAGTTGGCTTGTTTATAATTCTCCACTTAACTCTGACGGTTCTCCATACTAATATAGCTTAGATCACGGTTAAGAGAAATTTAATTAATAACTTGCTAAAATTCTAACAAGCCCTGGGATAGCTCTGAGAGCTGGGAGTTGGACTCATGTCTAATTGACTGGTTCTTGCATCAAAGCCAACTGAGGGGTAGGAGAGCGGAAAGAGTTACAGAGCTGGATTAGTGAATCTTCTCTTTGGATCCATGTTTTGAATTTTTATTCTTGGTTGCCCTGAGAAAAGCAAGGGAGAAGAAAAGAAAGACCACCATCTATTATAATCCCCAGGTTTATATACACCAAAATAGAAGGGGGGTAGCAAAAAAAATAAATAAGAGGAAGCACAAAACTATATAACTTAGACTAATTGGTCTTCACAGAATATTTAGAAACATAGACATAGAAACATAGAATGTGACGGCAGATAAGAACCATTCGGCCCATCTAGTCTGCCCAATTTTCTAAAAACTTTCATTAGTCCCTAGCCTTATCTTATAGTTAGGATAGCCTTATGCCTATCCCATGCATGCTTAAACTCCTTTACTGTGTTAACCTCTACCACTTCAGCTGGAAGGCTATTCCATGCATCCACTACCCTCTCAGTAAAGTAATACTTCCTGATATTATTTTTAAACCTTTGTCCCTCTAATTTAAGACTATGTCCTCTTGTTGTGGTAGTTTTTCTTCTTTTAAATATAGTCTCCTCCTTTACTGTGTTGATTCCCTTTATATATTTAAATGTTTCTATCATATCCCCCCTGTCTCGTCTTTCCTCCAAGCTATACATGTTAAGATCCTTTAACCTTTCCTGGTAAGTTTTATCCCGCAATCCATGAACCAGTTTAGTAGCCCTTCTCTGAACCCTCTCTAAGGTATCAATATCCTTCTGAAGATACGGTCTCCAGTACTGTGTACAATACTCCAAGTGAGGTCTCACCAGTGTTCTGTACAATGGCATGAGCACTTCCCTCTTTCTACTGCTAATGCCTCTCCCTATACAACCAAGCATTCTGCTAGCATTTCCTGCTGCTCTATTACATTGTCTGCCTACCTTTAAGTCATCAGAAATAATCACCCCTAAATCCCTTTCCTCATATGTTGAGGTTAGGACTCTATCAAATATTCTGTACTCTGCCCTTGGGTTTTTACGTCCAAGATGCATTATCTTGCACTTATCCACATTAAATGTCAGTTGCCACAATTCTGACCATTTTTCTAGTTTACCTAAATCATTTGTCATTTGGCTTATCCCTCCTGGAACATCAACCCTGTTACATATCTTAGTATCATCAGCAAAAAGACATACCTTACCATCAAGACCTTCTGCAATATCACTAATAAAAATATTAAAGAGAATGGGTCCAAGTACAGATCCCTGAGGTACCCCACTGGTGACAAGTCCAAGCTTCGAATATATTCCATTAACTACAACCCTCTGTTGCCTGTCACTCAGCCACTGCCTTACCCATTCAACAATATTTGAATCCAAACTTAAAGATTGCAGTTTATTGATAAGCCTTCTATGTGCAACAGTGTCAAAAGCCTTACTGAAATCTAAGTAAGATTCTCTTCTCTCATTACATTTTTTTAACAATGGCTACTAAGAAAACTGAATCCAAACAAGGATCTAAAAATAAAACATTACAAGACAAAACAGAAAGAAGACTGAGCCAACATAATTTACAAAGTTACAGTAATGATCTGAGCAACATAGTACCAACAATGGAGAAGGGAAAACAAAAGAGAAATTATAGATATATCCACAAAAGATCCCCAATATTTTGATCAAAAACACCTGAATGCATGTTTTGATACCCAACTGTTCAAAATTAAAGAGGAAATCCACGTCATAACAGATGAATTTAATGGAGAATTGACGAAAATGACGATCAAAATGTCTTGAAGAGAAGTTAGAACTTTCAGTTCTACAAAACAATCTACAACAAGATAAGATCTCCGGGTTAGAATGCAAGATGGAATTTTTAGAAATTAAACTATCAGAATATGAACACAGAGCTCGTCGTAATAAAATAAGAATAAGAGGTATCCCCGAAAATATTACTTCTGAACATTTAGAGAAATATAGAACTGGTGCTATTTCTGGGTCTTCAATAGGACAATAAGGTTAATTTCATTGAAAGATTTCACAGGATACATAAACCTAACTCCCTCCCAGTTCAGGTATCAAGAGACGTTATGGCATGTTTACACTCTTTCAAGTTTAACCCCTTAAGGACACATGACATGTGTGACATGTCATGATTCCCTTTTATTCCAGAAGTTTGGTCTTTAAGGGATTAAGCTCTCAATAATCTCAGCTTTGAGGCTGAAATCTTTGAAAGGCTCTAAGTATGAATCTCTGATGATATTCAATGACTTATCCTTGGGAACCAGAAACTCACGTAGAGCTTTGTCTTTCCAGTGGGTTTAAGACTTAAATACAAGGATAAAACTAAAGATGCAACCTCTCTACAACAATGAATGCAATCTAATAATTTGGAATGATAACTTACTTATTATTTTTCATTTTTGCAGCGTGCCCCCTCTTCCCCATCTCCGGCCATCTCTATTATGTATAAGCTTTGAGATGGATGAGGTGGTAGGGACCTGGGCTTGTGGGGGAAATAGTTATATTTAGTTGTATTATTTATTTATTTATTTTTCTTAAATTTTATGGTGCAAGACTGATATAGCATACCCCATACATGCACTCTAAACTCCTTAATTCAAACACTTTTTATTCTAAAACATAAAATACACCTACTAAAAACGTATAATGATATTGTTAACAACTTAAGCCGCTATTTTAAACTACCATCCAGAGTCCTGATTTCCTCCTATCCTGCAGACACCCTTTGAGCGCATAATATGTCTACATCTTGTGAGTGCATTTTTGTACAGCGCACATTATTTGTTAAAATTGTATTACACTATATTTTGTCTATGTTCTTTTTAGATTCCACAGCCGTATCCCATATGTGTTTTGCTTGTATTATAGTTGTAAGAGCATTGTGAGTCCACAACATCTGTAGTACAAAAGGTTGCCTAACTCTTAATACAGATAGACTCACTACCGTCTCAAGCCCTTTAGGATTAGATCTTTGCTCTGCATGCTCCCACCTCAAAGCAACAAAAGGTAGCAGGCAAGGAGTCTAATGCAGTAATTATAAGGAGAAAAGATTAAAGACTAACTCTAGACATCATCACCATTGAATGATTTGAAGTGATCATGGTGCTTGGAGTCTGTATGTGCAGCATTTCACTATGAAATACTGCACAGACAGAGCTCTAGCCCTTTGCTAGCATCACTAGGGCATCATAAGTCACCATGGAGCAAATGTTCTGCACTGGATAATGTCAGTTCTTGACATATTGGACATCTGCCTATAGAGAATGCTGGTAACAGAGGTCCAACAGAGGCACACTCCCTCCATTCCCACACAAGTCCTACCCTCAGCTCGCCCTCTGGAATTTTCCTCCCCCTACAGATAGGTAAAATATCCCTTTATGAAAATCCACGGTTCATCTTCTTCAGCATTATAACATTTCTTCATAACATTTTCATTCAGTAGGTAAATGTTAGTGTGGTGTCAAGAATACACGAGTAAAGGAACGCACTAGAAGCCATATCTCAAGAATACATAATGATGTCAGTACACGCACATAAAAAAAAAACAAGCTTTATTCAATACCATGAAGATATGTAGAAAATGTGGCACGGTGTTGATAAAATATACAGATTCTGAAAAGGCTTGTCCTTTAACAATGTTTAGTTATAGCCTGAAATTCTGTCACTAAGCACTGTTAAAGTACTATTCATACAGAAAAATAAACGTGTAAGATATTTTAAATCAGTGCATAATAAAGTAAACTTCGTGATTCAATAGTTGACAGTTTATTCCAAATCCAAATATCAGACTGTGGCTTTTTATACAGCAGAATGTTGGATTCAGGGAGAGGATGTAATGGATTGCCAAGAAACAGTCACCTTTCATGGGCAGATTAATAGTAAGATCCATTAACTGCCTAGGTGTCATTTTGATTTAGTAACATATTAATGTGCTTAAGAAAGTCCTTGGAAATTTGAACATGTTGAAGGAGACTTGTCAGGGGTTTTCTCTGGTTTGAGATGAACTAAATCCCCGTTTTTCCTTTGGACATCGAAAATATTTTGCGCACACTTGCTTCCCTAAAGGACAGACTTTGACGTGGAATGGACATTCATCTTCGCAACTGTGGGGAACAAAAATGAATAATTGAAATAAGAAATCCAACAATGCAGAGGTGGTGAGGATCTAGAGCAGGCTTCCTCAAACTCCGGCGCTCCAGATGTTGCTGAACTACAACTCCCATGATTCTCAGCCTATCTATTTCGTTCGAATCATGGGAGTTGTAGTTCAGCAACATCTGGAGGGCCGGAGTTTGGGGAAGCCTGATCTAGAGAAATATATCATAAACTACCATAATGGTTTTAAAAACCCTGGTGTGTTGTTGTGAAAGAAAAATCAATGAATAGTAACTTTCGTAAACGTCCCTAAATGAAAATAATATTCTTGAAAAAAAGAAAAACACAAAAAAGAGCAATTTTTGGCCATTTCTCCTCTTTTCACAAAACGACCTTCTGAAAGGTAGGCTGTATAGCTCAGCCAGTGCAAGATCGGTGTGAGCAGAGCTAATGACTCTACTTTGTTCATAAAGCCAATAGCAGTCCTCTTATTATCTGCATAGTATTTCAAAGTCATTCTGAGGTAGAAGGGGACAAATAATACTATGACTGTGATTGACTGTGAGGTAGAATGATGTCAGTAGTTCAGCTCATTCTGATCACTTACTGGCTGAGCTGAGTACACATTCAGAGTACGTCTAATAAGGAAGTTGTGTTGTGAAGAGAGGGGGCATGGTTACAATGAAGAAAGTTGTACAACTTTTTTCCATTTTAACAAAACTAAGGAGATATGAATTTGAAGAAAATATAGCATGGCTATAAGCTCAAAACCAATCAAATGAACTTCTGTTCGTGACAGTATAACTGCATAACAACTTAACTTCTTTCTCCTGTACACCACTTTTAAAAAAATATTAGGTACTTCCAAAGGGTTGGAAATAACCATGTACATGTTATGTCAAGTAATTAGTACTGTGGACCCCACTAGATGATAACCATGGAAGCTTTCTAATAAATATAATTTAATTATTATATTCTGTGAACACATTTCAGTATGTTAATCAATGATCTGCTTACTGTGGTGTGGATCAAGGATCTGCTGCCAGTGGGGTGCACCACATCAGGAGTAAAAAAGTAGACCTTTTACAGTACACATTTACTTAGAAGAAATTTCTTTTTAAGAGACAGCTCGATATCTCTATACAGAAAACCCATTTTGCTTTCAGTGTTTTTTAAAAAAAATTTAATTACACATTCTGACACTGTTGACTGTTTTGCCTGCCCAATCCTTTTTTTATAAGATGCTTTAATGAATCTCAATTGATCCCATGGGTGACATGATATGACAGATGGTGTTCAAGTCTTACTTACTTATCACTAATACCATGTGAGACCTTTTCAGGAATTATACAGTGTATGATCTTTAAGGTGACTGTTTTTATTCCTCACATTGTTCATGTCATGTCGGGACCTAGAAGAATAGTTTTCGAGAAATTGTTTAGGATGGTAGTGATTTTTGTGATTTTTTTATTTTTTGTTAGTATTTTTACTCCTTTGGAAAATATTAAAGGGATACTCTAGGTATCAGAATCATAACAGCTTACTGTAGTGGTTTGTGGCAAAAAGAATGTCCCTGCAGTGGCAGCAATGCAAACACAGCTTTTTCTTAGAAAAGGCATTGTTTACATTGCTACCTAATGCCACCTCCAGTGGCTGTCATTCAGACAGCCACTTGAGGGACTTCCTGGTTGAGGTCCTTCAAATATTACAGAACCGACATTCAGCAACTCCACGCTCTGCATGGAGAGTCCAAATGCTATGCCTTGAAGAGATTCTGATTGGTGCACTATTCTCCTGATGCATCCTTATGTATTAATATTCCCAGCCATAGAGGGTGGGGTGACCATGGCATAACTGACAAGCTCGAGGAAATAAGATACGCAATATCCTGTAATTTGGTTAACTAAGGGAGGAAAAGTTATAATAACACTCTAGCATTATAAATATATGTTTGTGTTCCTGACACTGCAGAGTTATTTAAATTCCATTTGTGAGCAATTATTTTTTTAACATACAAATCATTTTCTGTTGCTATGGAAACAAACTCATGTGATTGAGAGATGGAGGCTAAACCAATAAGGAGACCCAGCTACCCTGCCAGTTTTAGCATATTTTGCATATCACATTCCAGATTTTGTTACCTGCAGTTTTTAGGATGGAATATTTTCTTTTTTTGGGAACAGCTGTCTAGAGTCTCTCGGCACTCACAGCTGCAGTTCTCTGGGTTCAGCACAAAGTGTTCAGGACACGTACGGCGACAAACGCATTCACATGTGTCTTCAAACTCCATATGTTCCCCACATATAGCCAGCTCTATGTAAAGGAATAAATACATACCTAAATACATTTATAACTAAAAATTTATGGAACATTAAAATGAATTTAGGTAATTCATTAATAAAAACTTGAAACTCACCTATATCTTGTATTAACCGGTTTTAATGAGTTCCTCATTTTTTTTTAATGTACAAAAATTTATAAAAATTGAGTCAATGGCAACTTAATCAAGTTCAGACGAGACATAGCCAGGGCAAACATTGCAAATGAAGAGGAGAAATATAAACAATGTTTAATTTCACCTCTTCTCTGTATGCTTTCTCAATGCTGACTGCCATGTAGAAAGGACAAAGCTATAACAATGATTTACAGGGAACAAAGCTGGAGGCTCCCATTTGCACGCTATGAAGTGTGGATTTCTACATTTTAACGCATTCAATGAAATGGTTGAGGCGCCAACTCTCCGTAGTTTTATCCCTGCATGTGAAAACATTACCGCTCTGAAGGAACGACAATATTTACATTGCAGGTTTTAAAGGCGCTTCCAACAAAATAGCTGAGTAAAGCTTGCTATTTCAGTCTCATAGAGGCCATCTGATTGCCACAGTGTTGCATTTTAGTATGCATGCGCACTAGCCTCCCAATGCTTTCCTATTGGCAAGCATTAGATTGGTTGAGATAATCGATCTTGATGATCACAGATAAGGAGGTGGAGCATCTTCAAGCCCTCACACAGCAGAGGAGACATTAACACAGTTAACTCAAAACTATAGCATTAAAAATACGTTTGTATTTCTAACGCTATAGTGTTTCTTTAATTGTTATTTTCACACCTCACAAATATATATTTGTTAAATTTAGAGATAAGAAAACAATCTTTCTATTTCTATCTTCATTCGCAATGTTTGTTCTGGTTTTGCCTTGTCTGACTTGGATTCTGAGGTCATTTGCTAAAAAGAAAATGTAGCATCTTTTGGAAAAAAAAACAGTCAATCTGTAAGTCTACATGCAGAAACAGATTGTATTGGATTAATTATATAATTCAGCGGTTCCCAAACTGTGTGCCGCGGCCCCCCTGGGCACACAGGGGCGCTGCACGATATTTTCCTGGTGCTATTATGATAGCACCGGGAACCATGCCTCCCTCTCCCCGGCCAGCTCTGCAGGACCAAAGGGGAGATCAGAGATCTCCCTCCCCGGCCTGCTCACAGTGTACTGCTGGCAGCTGGCAGGGAAGGGAGAGAGAGGACCCAGGGCAGCTCTAACATGCAGCTCAGCCCCGTTCTCCTCTCGCGAGCTCAGAATGTTGCCACGGTTACCACGGCAATGCTCCGAATCTCGCGAGAGACACACACACACACTGGCCCACCCATACACACACACTGCCCCCCCCCCCCAAACACACACACACACACACACTAGTAGTAGGATGGGAGGGTCATAGCAATCTAGAAAATAAAGAGACAGGATAGAAAGGAGATGGGCTTTAGCTCAGTATAAGGGGGGTGGAGATGGGGGAGAGGGCAAGCTCAGAACAGAGGAGGTAAAAACTCACAAAAAATACAAATGACTCATGATAATATTAAATGTATGCTTACTAATGCAAGGAGCCTGTATAACAAAATTGGGGAACTAGAGGCAATAGCATACACTAAACAATATGATATAATAGGTATAAAAGAAACAAGGTGGGATTCAACACATGACTGGGCAGTTAACTTAAATGGGTACACATTATTTAGGAAGGATAGGAAAAACAAGAAGGGTAGTGGGGTGTGTTTGTATGTCAACCACGAGTTAAAATCAAATCTTAGGCATGTGGAGTGTTACGAGGAAAATGTGGAAGCTTTATATGTAGATATCAGCTTAGGGCAAATTAAGGGAAATCAATTATTGGTTGGGATATGTTATAAACCACCTAATGTAAATATTGATGAGGAAGAAAAGCTGTTAGCGCAAATTGGGAAAGCTGCAAATCTGGGTAACACGTTAATTATTGGAGATTTTAATTACCCGGATATAAATTGGGGTAGAGTGATTAGTACTTCAGAAAGGGGAATCAGATTTTTGAAAGTGTTAAATGACACAACTGGTACAAGCACCAACTAGAAAGGACGCTTGTCTGGACCTTGTTATAACAAACAATGTTGATCTTTTGACCAACATTCAAGTAGGGGAGCATTTGGGAAATAGTGGACACAATATGGTAATTTTTTAAATAAACTCAAAAAAACAAAAGCATGTGGGGTATACTAAATTGTATAATTTTTAGAAAGCCAATTTCAATAAGATTAGGGCAGCTCTACAACATATCGACTGGCATAAACTCCATAGTGAAAAAAACACTGAGGATAAATGGAAACTATTCAAACAAATATTAGAAAGGTACATTTCTCAGTATGTACCATTGGGTAATATATATACAAGAAACAAATTGAAACCAATGTGTTTTAGTAGAGAAGTAAAACAAGAGATTAAAAATAAGAAAAGGGCATTTAAAGCATTTAAATCTGACAAATCAGAGGTATCCTATATAAGATATAAGGAAGCCAATAATTGTTGCAAAAAAAGCAATTAAAGTGGCTAAACCAGAAAATGAGAAATTGATAGCCAAAGAATCCAAAACCAACCCCCACATTTTTTTTCAAGTACATCAATTCTAAAAAAAACAAAAAATGAAAGTGTAGGTACACTGGAAACAGAGATGGGTCTGTTAGTTAATGAAGAACAGGAAAAGGCAGACATTTTAAACAACTATTTTTCTTTAGTATATATTAATGAGGATCCTATGGCAAATGCTTGCTGCAAAAAGCTTGCAGATAACTTGTGGTTTGATGACTCGAGACAAGGTAGCAGTAAAAGAAAATTTATGTAAATAAAGCTCTGGGGCCTGACTATATTCACCCACGAGTACTTAAGGAGCTAAGTGGGGAAATAAGTGAACCTCTGTATGTAATCTTTCAAGATTCTTTTGTTTCAGGTATTGTACCAGAGGATTGGAGGAAGGCAGATGTTGTTCCTATATTTAAAAAGGGTTCAAAATCCTTGCCTGGAAATTATAGACCTGTGAGCTTAACTTCTGTGACTGGGAAAATATTTGAAGGGCTATTAAGGGATAATATTCAGGAATTCATTTTGAAGAACTTTGTTATTAGCAATAATCACAATGATTTTATGAAACATAGGTCATGTCAAACTAACCTAATTGTATTCTATGAAGAAGTAGAAGTATAGATCAGGGCATTGCAGTGGATGGGATATACTTGGATTTTGCCAAGGCATTTGATAGGGTTCCTCACAATAGGTTAGTCTTCAAACTAAAATAAATTGGTCTAGATGAATATTCTTGTTCTTGGGTAGAACACTGGCTTAATGATAGAGTACAACGAGTTATCATTAGTGGTACATTTTCAAGCTGGATAAAGGTTATAAGTGATGTCCCTCAGGGTTCTGTTTTGGGACCGCTTCTATTTAACATATTTATAAATGATCTTGCAATAGGCATTGAAAGCCATGTTTCAGTGTTTGCAGATGACACAAAACTTTGTAAAGTAATAAAATGTGAGCAGGATATTGCTTTGCTGCAGAGTGATTTGGCTAGATTGGGGGACTGGGCACTAAAATGTCAGATGAAATTTAATGTTGAGGAATGCAAAGTTATGCACTTTGGGGTCAAGAATGCACAAGCAACTTACACCCTAAATGGTAGTAAATTAGGGATAACCACACACAAGAAGGATTTGGGAATTGTTATAGACAACAAATTAGGCAGCAATATGCAATGTCAATCTGCAGTTGCTAAGGCCAGTAAGGTATTGTCATGTATAAATAGGGGCAAAAATTCTCAGGATGAAAATATAATTTTGCCTCTTTATATATTGCTGGTAAGACCACACCTTGAATATGTTGTGCAATTTTGGGCACCTGTTCTAAACAAGGATATCATGGCACTAGAAAAAGTGCGGAGACGAGCTACAAAACTGTATAAGGATATGGAATTCTCTGCCTGAAGAGGTGGTTTTATCAGAGTCCATACGTATGTTTAAACAGCAATTGGATAAATACTTGCAAAAACATAACATACAGGGATATAATTTCTAATTAATGGGGTAATAGCTTCTTGATCCAAGGAGATATATGCCTGCCATTTTTGGCTCAAGAAGGAATGTTTTCTTAGTTTGTTGCAAAATTGGAAGCACTTCAGACTGGGTTTTTTGCCTTCTTTTGGATCAACAGCAAAAACATATGTGAGGAAGGCTGAACTTGATGGATGCAAGTCTCTTTATAGCTATGTAACTAGGTAACACACACACTGCCCCCCCCCATACATACACACTGCACCCCCATACACAGACACTGCCCCCTATATGCACACACTGCCCCCCATATGCATATACTGCCCCTCTAGGCACACACTGACCCCCCTATTCACATTGCCCCATACACACACACTGTTACCCTCTCACACACTGCCCCCCATACACACACACTGCACCCCTCACAAACACTTCCCCCCCACACACTGTACCCGTCAATAAATACACACTGCCCCATCAAACACACTATACCCTCACACACACACTATACCCCTCACGCACACACTGTATTCCTCACACACATACACACTCCACCCTTCAAACACACAGATACAATGTACCCTTCACCACACACACACACACACACACACACACACACACTACATCATCCTTCACAAACAGAAAGCACCCCCGTACACTCACTACACCCCTCAGATAAACACACACACACATACATTGCGCCCCTCACACATACACACACACACCAATGCCCCTATCCCCTACTACAGCCCCTATAATGGCAGACCACAGGTAAGTTGTCATACTGTTCTTAAACAGTTTGACTACTTACCCTGAGAGGGTACCATGGCACTCCTGGCACCATAACCACTACATCAGGCTGTAGTGGTTATTGTGCCTGGATTGTTACAGGAGCCCAGTATATACTGCAGCGCTGTACATGTATACAACCTAGAAATGTTTTTGACTTGGGGCGCCTTGGAAAAATATTGCAATATTAAGGGCGAACTGCACCTAAAAAGTTTGGGAACCACAGATATAATTTATATGCTGGCATACCTTCCCTTCTTCTGTTAACTGGTGACTCCTTTTCTAACACACAATCACATTGGCTGTTATCCCACTGCCAACCATGGGGGCATAGTTTATTATCTTGAGGGCACCTGTAATAAAATGAAGAGTACCATGATTAATGGTATATATACTATATACAATACATCACTTTATGAGATCATTTGAAGATTATACCAGCTCTTTTAAGAATGTTAATACTGACATAATTTTTTTTAAAAATCATAAAAAATGTATATAGGCAAATGTATTCTCTGTCCCTTTAATTTTATGGGTTTTTTTTTGTTTTTTTAGGGAGTGGATGGGTCGCTTTCAGGGTACCCTGATTCCAAGAATTGCATTCCCCATGGTAACCTGCATTATTTGTACATTTACAATGTTACTGCTAACTCATCTGTGTACATAGTGCATGTCACATTGTATGCCTTCTAAAATAAAAGTGTAAACATGGTGCATCACCAGCGGTTTATGGACTAAATTTCCCATAATCCACTACAATAGTCATAGGCTGCCAAAACATTATGGGAGTTGTAGTTCAGTGTGAATCAAACAGAATCTTGATCATGTGAGAAAAACCTAAAATACACATTTTTGCAAATCAAACATTTTCTTAAACTAGCCCTAATTAAGTGTTCCAAGTCTGGAGCTTTTTTATCTTATAATGGTAGGATGTGGTTAAGTGACATTGAGCAATTTGTCTTGGCCAATTTTATATTTCCTTGTGTGTAATCAAAAAAAAGAAACAATTGTATTTCTATTGTTACATCTCATACCATAACCTATTGTATATAATTAGCCCAGGGGTAACCTTCTGGTAGCTCTCCATAAATATTTTAAATGTAAGCTCCCATGATACTATGCCAGTGTTCAAGACATAGGAGGCACCCACTGGCTACCCCAAAAGAAATACATAGAAAGCCCTCTAGATGCTGTAAAGCTAGAGCTCCCATGATGCTTTGCCAGCCTGTAGGCTTTATTCCAATGCTTCATTAGGTCTAGAGAGCTATCTATGATGCTATTACTGTCTGTTCTGTCCTATGTATTGAAGCAGAAAGTTTTGGCTGTTCTCTATCTTGAGTCTGCATAGGACTAGCCAAGCTGGCTGAGGGTATGCCCATCTTCTGGGGAAAAACATTCACTCACATACTGACACGATCTCTCTTTTTTTTACCCTATGTATACATGGTGTAAATATATGTTGGGGGCTGCTAGCCTTTATTTAAGTATTGGGGATATAAATACAATGTATATTTATTTGTGGCATGTTCCAAAATTAGCATTGCCTCATGGGAGTTTGACCGCTTGTAATGTACTAATTGTATGTAAGTGTGTTATGTTTCTACCTCAGTGAGAAGTACCCAACGTAGTATGTATTTAAAGGGACACTGTAGTCACTATAAGCATTTCATCTCTTTGAATTGGTTATAGTGCCTGGAGTGCCCTGGCACTGTCCCTCCATTCAGTGTTGCACCATGTTTGTGCAGTATGCCACAAAATAAAAGTCCCTGGCCACCCACAGTCCGGCCCCTTCAGTATGTGTAGCTAAGGCAGAGATTACACACTTCCTTGTTATCATACCCATTCATACCGTCAGTTGGAACTCTGACAGGCTAAAAGCAGTCAGCTGACAATCTCAGCCAATCACAGCTACCTATTGCTGCTCAGGCTAATACTTCCTTATTAGCCAAAGCAGCACAGAGGGGATGGATTGCCGGGGACTCTTGTTTAGCATTAAAACATTAAAAGTTTAAAAACTGTTTAATGCTGAAAGAAATGATGGTACCAGAGGACTCCAGACACAATAACCAGTTTAATGAGATGAAGCAGATACAGTGCCTACGGTGTCCCTTTAATAAGGATGATATAATGCTAACATATTACCCTTAGGATAAAAGGGCAATATGAATTTAACATAGCATAAGAAATAATGAGTAGCAATCAAAATAAAATATTTGGATTTATTTTCTTTTGGTTCCTGACCATCACCCATTATTAGGCCAAATCCTCATGGGTTTATGGTTCTCTAACACCTGGCAGGTTACCAGTTAGAATCTTGTGTATTATCCATTATGATTAGTATATCCAATCTCAGCCTTTTACTGCAAAGAATCGTTGCACATCTGGAATGATACATTGATATTTTGGATCACATTTAGAGAAGTTTGTAAGAAAACCACTTGAAACCACGATGATAAAATAAAACATTATTGTTCATCATTTTTTTCATTAAACAAGCATGCATATTATTGTCTACCATGAATTGCGCTCAAATTGTTGGCCAACGATGAAATGGGAATGAAAAGTTTTACGAGTCAATTGACTTCTGAGCCTGCAGTATCGCATTTTTGTTCTGTTTTCTTATGCTTACCTATTTCTCATCATGAATCAATTTGAATTTACCTCATGAAACCCCAGGGTTTTAGAATCACAACAGCTCTCCCTTAGTGATTCACGGCACAAGCATATGTGTTCAGGAATGCAGACACTATGCCTGCTTTTATTTTTTCTTTTAAACAAAACATTCTTCCTTATTTTGTCATAATTCCCATTAGACACACATATGTCTGTCATGTTCTATGGAAATTTCCTAATCTCTTGTATGAGTGGTTAGGGAGGGGGTTAGAGTTCATTAAAATAGTTTTCTGGCTCAGGATTATACTCTATATATATTTTAATTGTCACATTTTTGTGGTCATTGGCATCCTTTATTATGACAGTCCCGGGCACCTGGAAAAGATTCTATGGTTTGCAGGAGTTTTGCAATCTGACCAAAAGAGGAGGAAAAAAAAAAGTAAGAAGGTATTAATAAGGTCAGGGTGGGCCTTTAGCTGTATAAGTCAGACCTCACTCACGAGGCCCAATACTAAAATGATCATCTGAGGTTCCTGTATCTTTCATGCAGAGAAAACATTCCTGGCATTTCAGACCTCTAAAGCCCATGTGGGTATGATCAGTTTCATATGAAAATGAAATAGGTTACCTGCTCAACATCAGATGTGAGCTAAAACTTGTCTGAGACATGAATGAGGACTAACTGAATGATAATCAGTTACATTTCTGTCTGTTTTCAGCCCCCTGGTTTTGCCTGATCTCTTGGCGCCTAATCTTGTCATCTTACCCTGACCCACACTAAGTAGCTATATTCTACAATTCCAGGACTTCTAAATATTTAGCATCGGAGAAATCAAGTTGTGAGCTGAGCCAAAAACCACAATATTTACCATGAATCCAGAACATCTTCAGAATTGAGCCTTAGAGGCTATGAATGTTATTTTAGTGACCATGATTGCTTATGGATCATCACTCTTTGCTATAGTAAAATAACTTGCAGACCTCAATAAGAGATACAGACTTTAGTTTCTTCCTACATATTTTCAACTACACATGGACGACTTACAGCTTTAAATTGGATAATTGAAAGATGACAAAACACAGAGAGCAAAAATGACAGCAGTAGAAGACATTACCAAATGGATGACTCTCTAAATTCAGGATTTATAATCTAAATTAAAAGCATGATAATGACAGTCTTACACAAAACGGTAAAATCTGTCAAACTAAGGTCAGCATCAGATAAAACCTCGACCCACACTTCTCCCATATCACCTACCCAACAGGTAAAAGCTTCCGTCAACATATAAAGACAAAATGGCATGAATATCATTGCACATTTTATATTAAATGAAGAAATGGTGAAAGTGATTGCGGTCAGCTATGTCAGCCAAGGGATTAAACGTTTCACTAGGATCATCGATAATATAATTATAATATGCGTGTGCACAGATGTAATCGAGGAAACACATTAGATTAATAACTGTTAAATTGTTATACTGTGTGGGGGTGATTTGGTCAGGATACGGCGGATATATCCTCTTAAGGGAGAGGAGCAAAGGTTTTGTGTTCCCCTTGCAAACTGAGGCTATTGTAGTTTGATGTGCACCTGAATTACCCTGAGGCGCAGAGGGGGGGTCTGCTGATAGTCGGGTAGATCTGTGCAAAAGCTTGGGACCTACATGTCAGTGGTTGTGGTCTAATGCATATGCAGTCAACGTTTAAAAGATAGGTAAACAATAAACTTTGTGTAGTGGGAGAATGTCCCAGCAAACTTTCTGTTTATTTCGGTTTGGGTTCAGGTTGTGGCTGCAGCATAAGATTCTGTGGTTGTCCGTCTGGGCACAAATTCAGGAGTAATGCCTGAGTCCCACTTGGGGGGTGCGTGGGCTTCGCTGATGGTTTAGATGGGCCAAGGGAAGGTCTAATAGCCTCAGAAACTTCGTGGCCTCTTGCATATCAAGTATGGTGTGCGTGGTGTCGCCTTTGGTGACTAACAGAGCATGGGCTGGGCCCCAGCGGTACCTGATGCATTGCGCTCACAGGAGAGGGGTAAATTGTTACAGGGATCTCCTCCACGCCAGTGTTTCACGTGAGAGATCCAAGTAGAATGTGAGGGCCATCTCTTCGAAGAGGTATGTTGGCTGGCCCCTGGTGGCTTCTAAGACTGCGGATTTGTCTCTTTGGTTCTGGAACTGAATTACTAAGTCCCTTGTAGCTGTGTATGGCACCTTAGCTGGCCTCGGTATGGAGAATATTCCATCTAGTGCTACCGCTGTGAAGGAATAAACCTTGATCCCAAGGCTCAAGCTTGTAGGTGCCATAAATTGCTAGCCTATATTAAATTTGGCAAACTTGGACTCGTGTAATGCTTTATGCTTAAATGAACTTTATCCTACATTAAGTTCTCTTTCTTACAAAAACTAGCCTACACCGTAGTACTTAAACTGCTTATCTTTTGACATTTAGAAATATGTCTCTTCTTACTTCATCCTCACCTATTAGTGCACATAATGACAAATTATTTTCTGGCATTAACGGAGGTGCTACTCAGCAGCCCTGTGCCGATGTATCTGCGTTATGTTGAAGGACGCCGGCCGCTGCGGATCAATTCCAATTTATAACCCCATGTCCGCCCACAGAAATGATGACGTCGACGTGCGTGTGACATCACACAAAGGACACACATGCATGTTCTGGGGTCAGAGACCGGTTACAGCCAATGGGAACCATAGGAGGGTTATTTAAACTCGCCTATTCCTTAAGCTCATTGCCCTGTCATGGTTTCCCTTAGTGGTTGTCCGAGAGTTTGTTCCTGAGCGTTTATTTCTGGTTATTGACTTTGGCTTCGTTTTGACTTCCCTGTATTCTGGTATCCTTGACTTTCCCTCATCGTTGTGTCTCATTCTGTGTCCCCGACCTAGGTAAGTATTCTGACTATTCTTTAGTACATTAAGTCCGGCCATTCTAAGGCCCGGTGTGTCCTAAGTGTGATACAGTTCTGCGTGCTGGATCAACTAGTATCCTGATGTTATGTTATGCCATGTTATGACATGGCCATAGATCCTGCAGAACTGTGTCAACATATAGCAGCTTGTGAGAGAAAGCTAGAAGAGAATGATCACTGCATGGATCAGTTTGCCCAGGCTTTCAGTACACTTCTTACTCAAACAGCGCATTTACAGCCTGAGGTTTCTCCAACTATGTCAACTCTGCCTAAAGTACATAAGGCACCTACTATCTCCCTATCTCCTCCCCCACATTTTGATGGCAATATTCAAAAATGCCAGGGATTTCTGAATCAAATTGAGTACCACTTTGAGGCCTCACCGGGATCTTTTCCCTCAGATGGAGCTAAGCTTGCTTACCTAATAAACCAACTAAAAGGTAAAGCCTTAGCTTGGGCCAATCCTTTATGGGAGAGTAATAGGAGTATTGCATATAATTACCAGGAATTCCTTGCGGAATTCAAATTAACATTTGAACCATTAGGCAGGGAGGATGGCGCCTCCACTGCCCTAATGCAGATCAAACAAGGGAACCTTTTTATCTCAGATTATGCCATAGAATTTCACACCTTGGCTTCTGAGGTAGGCTGAACTAATACTGGGTTAATGCATTTTAAAATGGATTATCCGAGGCAATTCTGGATGAGATTGCTGCCAAAGACCTACCTAAAAGGTTAAATGAGTTTATCACACTTGTCATGCAGATTGATAATAGACTTAGAACCAGAGAAACTACCAGAAATAGAACCAGACGTATGGCTATGACATTGGTACCTCGTTTCTCCAGACCTGTCGTTGCTGACCTCTATGTACAGTCCGAACCTGAACTTATGCAGTTGGGGGTCACTAGACTGTCTGAGGCAGAAAGACAATATAGGAGAAGAGAGGGTCTATGTCTATACTAAATATAGAAAAGGACATATGAGGAGTGCTTGTGCCATACGTCCAGAGAAATTCTGCACCTAAGAACCTTAAGGGGACAGGTCTTAGGTGTGATGGATACATCCTCTGGTAATAACCAAAATAGGTTTCTCTTTGATGCTATGGTCCTGTGTAACAAAAATAACTTTTCATGCAGTAAATTTCATTGACATACATTTTGTTAAAAAAACATTTAATACCTAGCAAGGAGAGATTATCACCTCTGGCCATTGAGACTATTGATGGGAGACCGCTCTCTCAACCCTTGATTACCCACAAAACCTTGCTTATTAACATTTCCATTGGAGCTTTACACAAGGAAGACATAACATTCCAGATATTTGCTTCTCCTTGTTGTCCCATCATATTAGGATTTCCTTGGCTCATTAAGCAGAATCCTCATATTGACTTGGAAAAGGGAGAAATACTGGAGTGGCATAAAAACTGTACTGTGAGATGTGTATTACCCATTACCAAAAGAGTGGGCATCGTTACTTTACCCACTACTACGCCTCAGGCCTCCGAAGTTCCCATAAAATACTGGGAGGTTAAGGAGGTATTCAGTAAGAGTCAAACCAATACTCTACCTCCTCACAGATCTTATGACTGTTCCATAAATCTGCTACCCGGCGCTATGCCACCCAAGGGAGCAGTTTATGCCTTTTCCCCACCGGAGAGTACAATAATGGAAGAGTACATCAAACATCCCCTAAGTAAGGGCCACATACATAAATCATCCTCACCTGCTGGTGCAGGGTTCTTTTTCGTGTCTAAAAAATGATGGAGAATTACACCCATGCATTGACTACAGGGCATTAAACAAGACCACCATGAAAAATGCCTAACCCGTTCCTCTCATTTCTGAATTGTTTGACAGACTCCAGGGTGCTCATAGGCGTGCGCACGGGGTGTGCTGGGTGTGCCTGGGCACACCCTTATCCCCTGCGGCCCGCGCTATGTGCCCACAGGCAGGGAGGGAGGCAGGAGAGGACTCAGGGAGCTCTAGCCAGCAGCTCCTCCAGGTTCCTCTCACGAGGTCGGAGTTTTGCCGCGGCAATGCTCAGATCTCGCGAGAGTGAACCCTAGCCCCACAGGCTAAAGTTCACTCACCACTGGACCACCAGGGATGGCAGCAGCAAGGCCCCTTCTCCCTACAAAAGGTAAGAAGGGAGGGGGGCTATTAACTAAACGGTCCCCCCGCCCCCACACAATACACAAAAACAGCACACACACACACACAATGACATTGTACGTGATTTAGGTTTTAAAGGCACTAATACTTTTTAATAAGCTATTTAAGCCGTTGAACGTTCTCTGCATTCTTCAACGTTCTCAAGCCTGTTAGTTGGGTAGATGTTTGCGTTATAAAATTTTTCAAATTGTAGCCATTACTCTATAAATCATGTAAATCTTGGGGAATCTACAAATTTACATTTTTGCCTCTATCTGAGTTCCTTGCCAGCAATTAGGCAACACTGCTCCATTTAACAAACATAATCAAGAGTAAACATAATAAAATGGTAACTCTTGGTACGATATGATGTCTACATCTTTTTTCTCTGTATTTAAACATAGACATTGTTTGGAATGCAAGGTCAAAGGGCATAATTGTAGTCTTTTCCACAGAGTTCCCCCCTGGCAAGCTGTACGATCCACAGCACGCGCTTTTAAAAACACTTAACATACCTACAGTGACTCCATAATAAAGAGGAATGTTACTTATGTGGACAAGAATATAGCAATAAATGCACTGTATATCACATGTAATGAATGCCAGATACAGAGACATTACCTCCTGCAAATTATATAATGAACAATCTGTTAGGTAGACGCATTGCCCACGTACAGTCTACAGAATTCCAATGCTATTCTAGCTATGCAAACCTCATAAATAAGAATGAACAATGAGATTAAAACATTACCCATCCTCTGAATATGGAACTGATCTCCTGATAATTCCATATGGCTGGCGTGGAGAAGGGGACGAGCATTTGCAGCTGGTGTGATTGGCAATTTTAACAAAAACTGGTTCTGGAGCCTGCGTCACTGGAACTGAAATTTCAAAAAGCTAAGGAAGAAAACAATAGTTCATTTTATTTATTTCTGTATAAAATATTTTATTTCCCAACTCCTAAAGGAGGTAAAGTCTAGTCAATTTGCGTAACAAAATAGCACTCTAGGGTTGATGTACCACTTATTTGAAATGCAACATTTAGATAATGTATAAAAATACATATATTTTTAGATTATTACATGTTCGATACAGCTGAATTTTCCTCTTTTAAAAGCTCCCCGGGGACTTTCCTTCTCCAGTAACATCTGCAGAAACCTTACAATCTGGGTGAGCTTTCGCATGTGTGTGTGTGTGTGTGTGTATGTACAGACACTCAGTAGGAAAGAGAGCACTCAAAGGTCTTAGATGGAAATAGCTATTAGTTGTTTTACTAAAGATGGTTGTATTACATAACATGGGCTGACAGACAGACAGACAGATAATGGGGTAATAACAAAACCAAGGGAGTTAGAAAGGGGAAACGGAAACAGATAAATTAAATAGATACTAGGCCAAGGAGAGGGTTAGGATGAAAAGAGAAAAAAAATAACTGGATTAAGAGGACACTATAAGCCCCAAAACAACTTTAGCTTTTTTTTTTTTTGGTGAGTAGATCATGCCTCTGCTGTCTCACTGATTCACTGATCAATTATCTGCTATTTAGAAATGTAATCACTTTGTTTATGCAACCCTAGTCCCACCTCCCCTACATGAGACCAACACAGTCTCCCTGCTTATTTAATGCAAAGAGAGATCTAATTACTAAACTTACTTTATTGCACAGACTGTTTAAGTTAAAATGTATTATCTCCTGCCCTGTAAGCAGCCTGCTAGAGTGTGCAGAAGTCTCCTGTATGTGGTTGAAATTAAATTAACAGAGCAGAAGATAAAAACTTCTTTAAAAAAAACAAAAAACACAGTTATGTCTCATCTGATTGAAAATAAAACCATTTTTTATTTAAGTTGTGTGAGTCACAGCCAGGGAAGGTGTGGCAATAGTTGCATAAGCAGAAACAAAAGTGATGGGAATTCAAAGTAAATTTAAAATGTAAACATTCTGTAGTGGTTATTGTGCCAGAAGTGACCTGGTACTTCCCTGCTTTCCCCAGTGTTAGTCAAACTGTTTGCTAGCTGTCAGAAAGGCAGGCACTATTAGCACAAAAAGTTTGAATACTTACATGGGGAGAAAGCGAGGGAGCACAAGGAAACTCCTGGCACCATAACTACTAAAACATTCTGTAGTGGTTATGGTTCATGTTCCTTCAAGGCCGAATCAGCCTAACAAACCCTAGCAGGTTTTGCCAAATCATTGTACTAGATGAGGTTTTATGTTCCTCTGATAATCTACTCTTTCACAGAGAGACCGTAAGTGTTAGCAAAAAAATAAATAAACTCACAAATCTGTCAATTTAACAGATAATGCAGAATAGTATAAAGATATGGAGACTATTACACATTTGATTTTTTATAAAGTAGTTCATAAATCTATACAGCAGCAGTAATTCAAGTAAATATGCCAATATGTTTTATACTTTTCTTTCCATACATTTAGTATTTTTCTATTCTAGTTACAAAATAATCTAAACTAAATACAATTATTCTCGCAAGTCTAGAGTTTAAAAACTGTTGTAAACTAGAAAACATAAGTGCTACATTGTGTGTGCCAAAATTTTGATAATTACACAGGATTGTTCCAGATGGAAACTAAGGAATTCGGCTAACATATGGGAATGCAAAATACTGTATTTATATCATTATAACTTGTTTATCCATAGTCAACTTTGAGGATAAAAATGGAGATCGACGTCTTTGAAAATGTGCTTTCTATTCAGATAGATTTCTGATCCAAATTACTCATTTTTCAGTGGAATAAATTATTTTTCATTAAAGTGTGAATTGGAATTTGGAATGTGAATACAAAATGAAATAAACATTTTGGGCCTAAAAACGCGAACTAAAACCATAGCTTGGGGTAGTTATCCATTTCGGCAAGTTTGGAATAATATGGAATTCACTTTGAATTCCCTGCAATTCACACTTCAGTGAATAACCTGTAATAACCTGTGAGTTGTTTATTTTCCTTCATAATAATTCAGTTTTTTTTCTATTTTATTGGAAAAATAATATCAGGCTGATTTTTTTTATTTTATTTTTTTTTATTTTTTTATTTTTTATTTTTTTTACAAGGCTATTCACTAGGCATGCAGTTCGGCCAGAGTAGCCGAACTGAACGCGTATCTGAATTAGAGAATTTCAGTTTCAGCTATTTTGATCTGAAATTAGTAATTATCTTTGAATTCTCACTCCATTTAATAGCCCTGTGCATGGTTTCTTTTTGGCATGGTGAGTTGTCAGATCAGTTTTCTTACCGTTTTCGTTATGTAAGATGTACTTGTATTGACGCAAAGAACTCCCTCTTCGTTGCAGCAGCCTCCACATCTATAAACAGAGACGCAGGGGGGCTTAAAGAAGCTCCCGGCACCTGTACCAAGATCCTTTTCGACATCCACGCAGGTCTCCCTAGGCATACACTGAGTCTTCTGCCATTCTTCATCTATATCTGTTGAAAAATAATCAAGGTGATCTCAAGGAAAATTCTTTATATGTTTAAATTTATGTTTGTCATGTGGTCATAAAAAGGACAACCTAAGCACCAAAACAACTTTCATTTTCAAAAAAATTCCAACCTCCAAAAACAACTTCTCTTAAATAGGAACTTCCATTAATTCTCCTGAGCTAAGTCTGCAGAGCAAGGCTAGCTCATTGACTGATAGTGTTAGTTGAGCCCTCTCAGCCAATGAGCTAAACCCTGAATTGTCATTAGAAGTGAAGATAAGTCATCTGTCACTTTAAAACAGTTTGACTTCTTACTATGAGGGGGGGGGACGGGGGACTTCTGGCACCATAACTACTGCAGCACACTGGCTTTCCAAGAGTGTAACTCCCATATGTGTTGGTTCTTATTTGTTACAGTGCTGCCCTAACCTACCCCTACCCCTAGCCCTAACTTTATAAAAATCATGTCATAGAGAACTTTGTTTCCAACCTGTGGTATGTGTACCCTGGGGGGTATGCACACCAAAAGCAGGGGGTACGCTAAGAGCTGGCAGGCCACCTTAGGGCCCCACTGGAGGTAGCCAACTGTGCACCAAGCCAGAATAAGCACCTGCCTATCCGCACCAAAGGTGACTACTCTGCCGAAATATCATTTCTGGGGGTAGGATGTAGCCAGGCAGCAAGGGAGCTGTAATCTCTGCATGTCCTGGGTCCACAAAACATTGCATTGTTATAATAGGGTACAATAAAGTACAACAACAATATGAATACACAATATATACAAAATTTAACAAAGAACATGATGGCCCCGACATCACTGGAACGAGCATGGACATGACAGAAGCCACACTAGCTGGAAAAAGCAATAATTTGGTGACTATATCTGCAGATATATATCCCCTATACGCAGCACAAACCCAGGGGGTGGTACCTTGGCCTCCATTGCACTCCCACAAAGATAAGGCAACACAAGAAATTCTCCAGGCATTTAAGGTGCCTTATCGTTGTGGGATTGCTGGTCCTGCTCCAGAGCACCGGGTGGCTGCTGGGATTGATTGCGGCTCCTACCATCACTTTTGCTTCGTTGAACTCCCGTGATTAAATTCCAGCCCCTTGAGAATCTGTTCCTGGAGGTGTCCTCTTTTTTTTTTCCAGAACATGGTAACCCTAACTAGAGCTATTCTTAACCCTGCAATATAAAAATTGCAGTTCCTCTGAAAAACTGCCATGTTTTAGATTACAGGGTTAGGGGGACACCTCTTCAATAAAGTCTGGATGCCCGTAGTGTCCCTTTAAATAAAAATAATCAAATGATAATCATTTGTGAGTGTGCTTGAGAGAATGTGTCTGTCAGTGAACGTGTGTGTATCTGTCAGTGTGTCAAATCAGTGAGAGTGTCTCAGTGAGTGTGTCTGTCAGTATGTGTCAAATCAGTGAGAGTGTGTGTCAGTGAGTGTGTCTGTCACTGTGTGTCAAATCAGTGAGAGTGTGTGCCAGTGAGGGTTTGTCAGTATCCTCTGTGTGTAAGTGTGTGTCTCAGTTTTCATGTGTGCAAATGTGTGTGTCAGTTTCCTCTATGTGTAAATGTGTGTCAGTGTCCTTTGTGTGTAAATGTGTCTGTCAGTGCTCTTCGTGTGTAAGTATTATGTGTGTATTATATTTTCATTTTGTGACTTTTATACTTCAGATTAATAGTGCATACACTCCTTCTTACATACACAATATTCACATTTTGTCATATTTATTTTAAAAATATTCTTTACGACCTTTAATCAGGCTTGTTCTCAAATATAGTATTAACTTAAATATCAGTGTCTACATGTTTCATTTGGAATGTAAATCAATATAGATTACATTCTCAAAGCAGGGGTACGGAATAATCTGTTTTTAGACCTGCAGGGATACTTCTCTGTAAAAGATTGAGAGACACTAATATAGGGGAGCATTCGTTTAGCATAGTAAGGGCATACTCTTCTTACCGAATAGAATTTCATCCATTGAAGTCTATGGAAAAACCTGAGTAAGCACAGTAGGCCTTTATTCTGCTGTAACAATCCAGTCCATACTGTTGAAGCAGTATAAAATAATGTCATATTTTACCAAATCTGTATTTGTATTTAAACACTTACACAAATAGACATAGATTGATAATGCAGCATTCAAACCATTATAACTGAAACAACTCGTGAAACGAGTTTTAGTACCTAAAATTAATTCTTTATGTGATCTGAAAAGAATTATTTTTATAGATATATCTGGCAGCTCTACAATTCAGAGCAGTAAAGTCTATAAACATGCATTATTCATTAAACAAGTATGTATACATAGACATAATGGCTTACTCTGAACTTTCTTTGAGTAATATGCCAACACAATGAATCAAAGCATTCTGCAATACTCTCTGTAATAATGATCAGTGATTGTAAAAAGTGACAGTTACCAACATCCTAATTAAAAAGAGGGAGGGATATGTGTTAATCTTGAATGACCTTGATAATATAGTAAAATCAGTGAAACTATAGTTAATTTTATTTATTTAAATTATTAAATAATTTTTATATAAATGATTTTATTATAAATTGTATTTAATGTAAGAGAAGTTCATTAACAGGTCCACCAAATAAGTGGTCTCTAAGAGTACATTGGAGTCGAGCAGTAATTAGAGTGTGGGTACAGCCTTCTTATAGAGAAATTACACACACACATTCATATACACGGGGGACCCGAACTTTTGGGCACAAAAATGGCTAAATTGGTCTTTCAGCCACATTTACTAATACTAAGTAAGGATTACTTAGTATTAGTAAATTCAGCTCCTACTCGCTATACCGCGAGTAGGGGCGTGTCTAGTAAAAAGTGAGCAGCCAGTGGCTGCTCACTGTAAAAAAAAAGAAAAAAAACCTATTGCCCACACCCCTGAGCGGCGGGTGGGGCCCTAAATAACAATAAGGGGGGGACCTACTGTCCTCCCCCCCCGGCCCCCACCCCTGAGCGACGGGTGGGGGCCATAAATAAGAATTTGGGGGGGGCCTACTGTCCTCCCCCCGGCCCCCACCCCTGCGCAGCGGGTGGGGGCCCTAAATAACAATGGGGGGGACCTAATGTCCTCAGGGGTGAGGGCCGGGGGGAGGACATTAGGTCCCCCCTTATTGTTATTTAGGGCCACCGCTCAGGGTTGGGGGCCGGGGGGGGAGAACATTTCAAATATCCCACCTCCTTTGTGGTGGGATATTAGCCATGTTAATAGAATATCCATTATACCAAGTCCTGAAGCTCACTGCTTTGTTGTAACATTTCATTCTGGCCCCACCTTTTCTTACCAAAAGGTGGGAATTTGGCTCACATAGCCCATTGTCACTTTCAGGATTTCTCAAGGACCATACCATTCCTTTGGAATGCCCTAATTCATCCTATTTGATTATCCTCTAGCTTTTGGTCATTTTCACTACCTGTATTGAGTACAAATCTTTGTATTTTGCAGAAGAAATCTAGCTATACAGTTTCACTTACCCTTATTTATACTCTAGTTATAATTATCAGCCTGAAGAGGAACAAAGCCACTAGTCACTGATATAATGCATGTACATTTTATGAAAATATAAAGTCATCCCCTGCTTTCAAACAGTACTGGAAGTTGCAATGGGTCATATAATTCCCAAAGTCAGAAAGGGCGGTATGAGTAAATGTACTATACCATTTCACTGTCATTACATTATCAGTTGAGAGATTGATAAAGATTCTTATCGAAGTTTCAAATACCTTTATTTTAGAAATAGCTTCCCAATGCTTTCCAGAGGGAAAGCATTCTATTGACTGAGATCGTCAAATTTGCCATGTAGGTGGAGGAAGGAGAGGCCAGCCATGGTAAGACCGCATGGTGCTGGAAAAAAAGGTGAGTTTAAACACCGTTTTAAAAGGGGACAAAGGGGGCAGATGCCTAAATACTTATTTTACCACTATAATGTCAAATACATGCTTGTGTTCTTGACACTATAGTGCTCATTTAATGCTAATAATAATAATCATTTTTCGAACTATAGGGATGCATTAAAAATCATTAGTGCTTTTAGAATGTGATCTTTGAGTTTTATAAGAAGTTGTGACTGCACAAAAAAGAGTAGCCATGACAAGGCTTTGGATCTCACTGAGGAACTATCACTGCAAGAGATGAGAATTGAGTTTGTGTAATATTTTATTTGACTGATAGGTTCCTAAAAGTAGTTTTTCACATGGCTTGCCTTTTTATCTCTTCTACTTACATAAACAAACCCTTATTTAGTCTTGCTTCTCTGCTTAATAAAACATGTGCCCAATGCATGGTTTTAGGACTAGAACAGTGCTTGGTTTATCTTCCAGATATTTTGGTTTATTTTGCATAATCAACAGTTGAATACCTAAATACTGTATGTTTATAAGCATAAAAATGAGAAACCACTTACTAATTAAAAATCTAAAATTCTTTCTAAAACTACACTATTGTTATTATGATCTCCTGTTAGAAATAGTATACACAGGTAAAATTGCATTATATTAAGAAAAGCCTTAAATGTATCCTGTTGGTAACCAAGTAAAGATGGCACAATTAACTAAGCAGTTTACTGTAGTTCAATAGACTTAAAGTGTCAATCGACACAGTGTAGTGGTTATGGTGACAGAAACCACATAACACTGTCCCACGGCTAATAGTGAAGCCATTTTACACTTATCTGGGTCTCTCAATCGCCCATGGAAAGCTCTCTCTTGCTCTCTCTCTCACTATGTATATATGTTGCCATTCTGCGTTAGATATATTGAATTTGTATCTCTTGGAATTTAGATGTAGTGGTGGCGTTTACCATATTAGATAACTAATGTGTAAATTAGGAAACTTTTAATTGTATTCCTGTGTTAGTAACAACATTGTTCTTAAAGGGTTACTCCAACCACTGTGACTGTGACCATATATGCATTTTGAAGTGGTAGGAGTCTAGATGTGCAGTGATATAACTTGAAACACTTCACATCCAGTGTTATTGTTAATTGTGTGCTGGGGGCTAGTTGCACCCCCAGTACATGTGACATTGGCAGCCCAGAATTCAGTTCCGAGATGCCTAATTTCAATGATGCGCATTAAAATGTCTGAGAGCGCCTGCCATGGAAAGATTGCTTCTCCCACCCTCCTCAAACCTCTCCCTCCCACACATCTTAATTGTAGCCCTCCCATCTTCCTATTCCCATCTAATATTTTGTGTTTCTTCTGTCCTCCCTTTTCTATGAGAAGCCTTTGATTGGACCCCAGCGCTGGGTTACGGTAAGTGTAACCTTTTTGTTAAAACGCTTCTCAAGCGTTCGGGAGGTGGGTCCCTTAAGAATAATGTCAATAGGGCATTATTTACATATTTTAAGAAGGAGAAAACCTTTAAGTATTTTACACAGCAATTATATGATTATTTATTTCAACTGAATTAGTTTCTAATTATGAAATCATATCATTAATTTATTTTTCTTATGTGTTATTTGTGCACTACACTTTCTTTCATATAAATATTTTCTATTATAAGACTATACTAACTATACTAAGACTATACTAACAACACATAGAAGGTTATAATATTGACACTACAACGTGAATTCACTGGGAAATAGGCCAAAAATCACTGACTCCAGAAATTCTCCAAACCTTTCTGCTGCTTTTGACACTGTTGATCATCAACAGCTGCTTTTCATCCTATGTAATCTCGGTCTACCAGATACTATTTTCTCTTGGTGTATCTTCCTTCCTCTCCCAGCACTCTTTCAGTGATTCTTTCTCTGCCTCTTCTCCCCAATCCCTTTCTGTTGGTGTCCCCCAAAGTACTGTCCTTGATCCCCTATTGTTTTCAATCTACACTGCCTTCCTTGGTAAACTCATCAGCTCCTTCGGCTTCAAGTATAATTTCTATGTGGATGACATGCAAATATATCTGTCCTCCCCTGATTTCACACCACCCCTCTTGACTCGTGTCTCTGACACCCTCTCTGCTATTTCCAACTGGATGGCTGTCCATTTCCTTAAACTGAACCTGTCCAAAACAATACCTCTGGTCTTACCTCCCTCAAGTGTTGCTACTGTCTTGTCTGTTTCCCTCCAAGTCAATGGTGCCGTTATGAGCTCTATCTCGCAGGCTCGCTGCCTAGGTGTTCTCTTTGACTCCAACCTCTCCTTCACCCCTCATGTCCAACCAATCACCAAATCCTGCCTCTTCCATCTCAAAAACATAGCGCACCACCGGCCTATTTAATACCTGATAGGGCTAAGGTGCTTGTCCATACTCTCTCCTCTCTCGCCTTGACTACTGTAATCCGCTTCTCAGTGGTCTTACGTGTTCCAAACTTGCCCTGTTACAGTCTATAATGAATGCGGCAGTGAGGCTCCTCTTCCTGTCCACCCGCACCTCCCACACCTCCCCCTCTGTCAGTCCCTACACTGGCTTCCCGTCAGTGGCATACATACCGGGGTCGCAGGGGTCACGGCTGTGACCGGCCGTCCTGCGACCCGGTATGCACGCCAGTGTGGACAGCCTCTTCTTCTGGGGGGCCCAGGAGCCAGCCACCTCATAGGCCCCTGAGGCTGGTCCTGGTGTCACCCGGCGGGAAGGCTGACAAGCGCGCGAGGGAGCACTCTCCCCTGAGTGCTCCCTCTTCAGCTCCCTCGCGCACAGCACTGATACCGGAGCCGGAATATGACGTCATCTTCTGGCTCCAGCATCAGTACGCGGCGCGCAAGGTAGCTGAACAGGAAGCACTCAGGGAAGAGTGCTTCCTCACGCGCCCGACAGCCAGCCCAGTGACCGGCCACCCAGCAACACCACTGGACTCCAGGGAATCCCCTCAGCACTCCCAAAGGTAGGGAGGCTGGGGGATACATTTTAAAAAAAACGTGTATGTGTGTGTTAGTGTTAGAGTGTGTGTTAGAGTGTGTGTTAGTGTGTGTGTGTGTGTTGGTGTTAGAGTGTGTGTTAATGTGTGTGTGTGTGTGTTAGTGTTAGAGTGTGTGTGTGTTAGTGTGTGTGTGTTAGTGTTAGAGTGTGTGTGTGTGTGTTAGTGTTAGAGTGTGTGTGTGTGTGTGTTAGTGTGTGTGTGTGTGTGTGTTAGTGTGTGTGTGTATGTTAGTGTTAGAGTGTGTTTGTGTGTGTGTTAGAGTGTGTGTGTGTGTTAGTGTTAGAGTGTGTGTGTGTTAGTGTGTGTGTGTGTTAGTGTTAGTTTTTGTGTCAGTGTGTGTGTTAGTTTGTGTGTTACTGAATGTGTTAGTTTGTGTGCGTCTGTTAGTGAGTCTGTTTGGTGTCTGTTAGTGAGTGTGTGTTTTGTAAGTGAGTTTGTATGTGTGTCTGTCACTGAGTGTGTGTCTGTCAGTAAATGTGTGTGTCTGTTAGCTAGTGTGTATGCGTCTGTTCGTGAGAGTGTGTGTGTCTTTAGCACTTACCTTTCTCCAGCGCCGGACTCCCTTGGCGCTGGGGATCCCTCCACCCAGATCCGCCTCTCAGCTCCGATTAACCCTTAATGAAACATAGCAGTTTCTCTGTTTTCAGCTACAGGGTTAAAACTAGAGGGACCTGGCACCATGACCACTTCATTGAGCTGATGTGATCTGGGTGTCTATAATGGTCCTTAAAGTGTATGTGTATCTGCATGCACTGGTGTACATACCGCAGTCGCATGTGTTGCGGCCCCAGCCCGCGCAGAGTAAGAGATCAGTTTTCGCACCGAGGCCCCATGGGTTGTGTGTACGCCACTGTTTCTGATGCGCGCCTTAAAGATTTCACTAGGGTTGCACCTTTCCTATGGAACGCCCTACCGCTCTCTGTTAGACTCTCATTCAATCTCCACTCCTTCAAAAAATCTTATAGCATATCAATTAAAAGGTTCAGTCCTTGGTCCTCTACTGTTCTCCATCTATACTGCCTCCCTTGGTAAACTCATTAGCTCCTTTGGCTTCCAATATCATTTCTATGCAGATGACACGCAAATCTACCTGTCCTCTCCTGATCTCTCCTCGTCCCTCTTGACTAGTGTCTCTGACTGCCTCTCTGCTGTTTCTAACTGCATGGCTGCCCACTTCCTTAAACTAAACTTGACCAAAACTGAAATTCTGGTCTTTCCTCCCTAAAGTGTTGTTACTCCTGTGTCTGTCTCCCTCCAAGTCAACGGTGCTACTATCAACTCCACCATGCAGGCTCGCTGCCTAGGTGTTCTCTTTGACTCCGACCTCTCCTTCAAGCCTCATGTTCAATCTATCGCCAAATCCTGTCATTTCCTTCTCAAAAACATTGCGCGCATGCGCCCCTGATTAACGCCAGATGCGACTAATGTTGGTCCATTCCACTGTCCTTTCTCGCCTTGACTACTGTAATCCGCTTCTCAGTGGTCTTACGTGCTCCCAACTAGCGCCGTTACAGTCCATAATGAATGCGGCGGCGAGGCTCATCTTCTGTCAGTCCCTACATTGGCTTCCTATAAAATATAGAGCTCAATTTAAAATTCTGGTTCTTGCTTTCAAATCTCTACATAATGCTGCTCCCACCTATCTATCCTCTCTTTTACACAAGTATGTCCCGTCTAGGCCCTTACGATCTGCTGAAGACTTACGTCTATCTTCTGTCTGTACTCCCACCTCTGATGCTCGCCTTCAAGATTTCTCGAGGGCTGCACCGTTCCTGTGGAACTCGCTTCCCTCCTCCGTTAGATGCTCACCCAGTCTCCACTCCTTCAAAAAATCGTTAAAAACCCACTTCTTCATAAAAGCGTATCAATTAAACTGTTAATAGCTCCTGACTGATTCCTCTTCTGCAACTGTCACTAGTCTAATACTATCCTTACCTTTTTGTGTCATTTTACCCCACTCCATCTAGCATGTAAGCTCATTGAGCAGGGCCCTCAACCCCTCTGTTCCTGTGTGTCCAACTTGTCTGGTTACAACTACATGACTGTTAGTCCACCCATTGTACAGCATTGCGGAACTTGTTGGCGCTTTATAAATCATAATAATACTAATAATAATTCCCAGTTTAGTAAATAAACATGAAATAGTTACAATTCAACAATTTTTTTTTATTTTCTATTAATTCTATTGAAATTGAAATATATTTGCATTTTTAACATTACATTAATGTAACATGCGGAAGCATTTATCGCACAGTCTGTCAAAGTGTGTCATGTACACACACATTATCATCAGATATCATAGCTCACATATCTCTTTAGATCAGAGACTTTATGATTCTCACGCTGTTTATAACCAGTAACTACGTGGGTTCCCATGCTAGATGCTGTCTGGCAAATTTAGTTTACTGTATATCTTGGATTCTTCATACGTTTTTATTTCTCAGATCAAGCAACACTGCATGTTTTTTTTGTCATCGGTTATAATTAAGTGATTTTGGAATTCCTGTTTTCAAATAGTTGGATCGCTACAAAATAACTTTCAAGTTATTTTGCTATTAATTGATTTGCTTTCAATGTAATATTGCAATTTTGTGGTTCAACAAAAAAATGCAACAATGTGTTTTTTAGTTTTTTATTTTATTTTAACAATTTTTTTTCAAGGTTGAACTTGAATGACTTTATTCCTAAATTACTTTTTTAACCTATATTACTATGTAACTATATAATATTGCCAAACACATTTACATAGTATTCCACTGAACTATTATTCTTTACTGTACATTTAAATTCATCCATATTTGAACACAGAAAAGCCATAATCTCTCATTTAGAATGTCATGTTTTTTCTCACATTTCAGTGCAGTCCAGGCACAGCTAGGCCACACATAAAGGGTTATTTACTAAGGTGAGAATTATCAGAATTTCACAGAGAATTTAAAGTGAAATGCAAACGCAAACCTTTTAGAATGGAAATGTCATAGAAAGCTGCTGCAAATCTGGTGAAACGTTGAGGTGTAGACTTGGAATCTGAGCTGATGTAGGATCTGAGTTTGGATCTGCATCGCCACAACTTTAGCTCTTTGGGGTGAGTGATGCTAAGGAGTTCTTCAAGGTTAGCTGCAGCTCTAATTTTCTTTTCTATTTCAGTATGCGATGCTCCCTGCGGGTAACAGAGACGACAAAAAGAGAAATTAACGTTTGCCCAAAGAGTAGGTAGCAGAGAGAACAGAAACTGTTATGTAATGAAAGCAGATGAATTTTAAATAAATATCATTCGATAATAATAAAAAAAATAATAATAAAATTGTACTGTGGAACAATAAGGTCACCACTGCAGTGACCTGCTTTAAAAAGCCAAAGGGAACCATCCCCTGTCCATGGTACTGACAATTTCATTAATCGTCTGTTTAAGCACCATAAGCACTTATTTACACATTGAATTAAAAATAATATTGCCATATTTAAATAGACAATCCCTTTATGGCTCATAACACATAAATGAGTTTTATCAATCATACACCTTTGTTTGGCAGCTGTTAAAACTCAGAGCAAAATTGCTCAGGTTTCCATCTATTTTTGTAGCTATATATTGCAAAATTACTAATCTAAGTTTTTTATAATTATGAAGTACACCCTCTTCTAGGTTCTAGGATATTTATCTAGAAGTACGTTGATACTGTTTGTAAGGCCATTTTTGTCATCCATTCTTTGCAGTAATATTGTTTGGGTTTTTTTACACCCACAATAGACTTTTTCCTTTTTGCTGTATATTTCTTAAATCCAATATATGCTGAAGTTTCATAGAAAGAAAGGCGAAGAAGGCAAGTACACCATCTGTCACTTCTATTAGTTCAGGGGGGCTAACTGAAGGAGGAAACAGAATAATAACGAGTATTTATATAGTGCCTTTCTCCCAGTGATGCTCAGAGCACTTTTCAGCACACGCTCTCAGGATTAACCAAATCGGCAGCTGAATATTAAATGTTATTATTACTCATTTATTGACCTCAGAAGGATGAGGGTCTGAGTTGAGCCTGCCAGGATATGAACCTGTGACCTTTCAGTCAGGGACTTTACCAACAGAGCTACTTCACAGGCTTGACAGCTCAACACCCATAATGTATAAAATCCACACCCATAAAGTACAAACCTGGCTGTCTGGTTGAAGTGCTTCATAATTTAATTATACACGTGCAGTTTTCTCTTTTTAATTCTGGAACTGAAGTAGGATAACACTCACCCATAAAGAACATTACGGTTTTGGAGTGGTCATGTAAAGTAGGGACAGTGGAGTTCTAGAATGCCATTTTATTCTGGGGATGCACTTAGAAACTATACTATTTACAAGCTTGGCCTTCAGGCAGGAAATTTGTACTTAGACATTGTTGACTTGTGGAAAAGAAACATATGTGGATTGCTGCATTTCCCTTTTTACTCTTTCCAAGAATATCTCCCGCTCACATTTTTCCTAAACACAAATATTTCAGTCTAGGAAAACATTCTGATTTGCTTGTTAATTTTAATTTCAGTTGACTGTTCCTTCAGCAACACAAGCATTCTTCCTTTTTATATTTGGGTTAAACCAAGAATTGTTGGGAATTGACAAAGGAATTACAAACTATAGATGTATCTTAGTTGGAGAATTTATCCGACCAAATATAATTTCATCATGGCCTTTTGGCCTAACATTGGAAATTTCGGCCTTTTTTTTTTTTTTAATAATCCCATTAGAATTTTAAAAGAAAATCTACATGCGATATGTGCAAAAATCTTTTTCCCTATTTTACAAAATATTAGGTTAGCAGTTACAAAGAAATTAACTGTAAAAATTCTCCATGTCATTAGAATTCACATTGAATTCCTGATCATTCCAATTTTATTGAATAATACTGCATGCGATTTTTTTTTTTTAAACCCACTGTATTTTTGTGAAATAAAACAACATTGCAAAATTTAAAAAAAATCTTCAAGTCAGCTTTAGTCATAGTTTGATCATTTTAGCATAATAAATGCAATTCCGTTTTCGGTTCAATACAGGTCAGTGCTTATTGAATAAATTCCTAATTGTTTTGCTCTGTACACTTCAACATGAAGAGCAAGTTGTTAGCCCCTTAAGGACACAACTTCTGACATAAACTTCTGAAATAAAAGGGAATCATGATGGAATATATCCGTCATGTGTCCTTAAGGGGTTAATGTGTACCATCATATAACTAGCCCACAGAGATACAGATTTATGAGTTCATCACATACCTTTTAGAACTCTCTGCATTTGTGTGAGTGTTTAAGGTTTCCTCTGGAAAACAAACTAATGCTTCTGGATATTTAACTGCAGTTGCCCAAATGGAGGTATTTGATAGAGCAAATATAGCAGTTGAGAGAGTACGATCTGTTGCGACAACCTATCCGTCCATATTGTGTACTTGGATATTCTTTGAAATCCCTGAATTTAATAGGAGTTTTTATCATTCTGCCATTAACAGTTGTATTTTAAATATTTCAAATTGATATGCCATCTCTTTTATTTTTTTTTTGCAACTAAATGTGTTAGGTTGATACAGAATACACAAAAGGTAAACAATTAATTCCAAAATGTATAAAGAAAATCACTGGGAAACATGTTTCAGAATCTGAACTACGTAACTGTTGTAGGCTAAGACTAATCCATATAATACAACATTTTGGAACAGCAGAGTGTGTATACAATATATAGTCCTGCCCTAAATTTAAGGGCAAACAAGAAAATGAACAATGGGGAAGGTACAGACAGAAAAGAAGAATAAAAGGTCCAAGTGAAGATTATGTTCCTCTGATTTAACATGTCATGACTATGTCCCCCTTACCTCAAACGTTAACTGTTAAGGGAAGATTAAGTACCTCTTGACCTCAACCGTCAATTGTGACTCTTTAAACTCAACCATCACTGTCACTCTTAGGGTATATACACTACCGTCACTCTTAGGGTATATATAAGCCACACTCAGGGTTTATATAGATCACTCTAAGGGTATATATATTGCCAATTTGTGGGGGGTTTTTTGTTGCTCTCAAATTAAATTGTATCAACACTTATAAAACACACTCCAGCCTATTGTAACTGGTATGAATAACACCAATATAATCATGTTCACAAAACAGTGCCATTAACTTGCAAACAATCTGGACTGCGAAAACAGCCATCAACCTCTGCGTTGGATAGCTCGTCACCAATGTTCTGATGGATATTCCAGGAAATGTATTAACAAGGATTGTGCGTGAGGGCTCTTTGTTTTGAAAAATCGCACATCTCACTGGAAAAGTGGTTATATATTACATATCACTGGTGTTTGGAACCCACTGAAAAACAAACTGCACAACTGACTGGAATATCCGAGCACACTGTAGTTGGCGTTTATAACTTTTATCGTGAAGTATGTAATGTCTATTTTCGTATTAACTCAGTTTTGCTCGGTGGTCCTGGTCATTATGCTCAAGTTGATGAGTCTTGTTTTAGTCATAAAATAAAGTATCATTGCAGGTTCGTATCAAGACAAAAAGGGGTGTGCATTGTGATTTGCTTCCTACATATCTTGCAGAATTCATGTGGAAAGATCGCTTATTGCAGAGCAATTTCCTGTTTAGTAAATCTAACTTTCTTTTTCTTAATTGTTTTATTCACTAAATCCTTAGTTTTTAAATATGCATTTTAATTTATTTCCACTATATATTGGGAGACATATACTTCATTTGTGTCAAGTGAAGTTTATGTCCTAGGGGGACATAAACTTTACTTAATCAGAATAAAAAGTATTTTAGAAGTTTTTTATTTTTTTACCTGCATATATTGGGGTTGAAACATGGGATGTTCAAATTTGAGCCTCTATATTTCTCGCTCCTACATAATTGTTTTATCGTACAGCTTTTTGGTTGCAATTTATGACCTTCCCCTCTTCACCTATCTGCTACCATAGATACTAGTTAATACAGTACAATTCATTTGCCATCTTCCTCTGATCCAGGAGACATTCTTTTACCAGCAAATAATATTTAACTAATTCATAAAATATTTTAAGATTTCCGTCTAAAACATATGCTCCCTATATCAGAATCTCAGTAATATTAATCTTGGTTCTGACTTCATTTTTTTTATTTTTTTTATTCTTTATTTTTTCTATGCATGAAAATAACAAACATGTGTAATGTGCTACAACAGCACGCATATAATTTCCATTGAGATTCACAATTTGGCATGAAAGTACTGCAAATTTTTTTTTAACGTTTTGGTACAAGCTATGCACATTTGTTAGCATATATTGATTGGTATTGTGTTAGCGTATCAGTATAATAGCTTAATACATGTTAGGTGTAGCTGATGTGTAAGTGTATGTGGCTTTTACGTAATCTGGGTTACTGTAGGTAAAACATGCTATGCTTCAGTAGTAGGCTGCATAGAGGCGGTGAGATGTGTGAGTATTTTATGCACGTTAGATACAAGAGAGTCATAAGCAAACGATTAGGTATAATGCATGCCTTTGTGGTATGGGTATATAGCAGGCTAGGTAAACATTTCTAGTGCCTGGCATGCAAGCTTGTCTCATGAGTTTGCTAAACAGAACGAAAATAAAGAGCATGGCTAATGGGCAGATATAAGGTAAAGCGTTCAAGCAGTGCGTAGTATGGTGGCAAGTGGTGATAACAATACGCGGGAGAACAGTGCATTAGTTATATCCTGTACGGAAGGACTGTGTGTCATCTTCGCTGCAGGAGCATAGTCCGTCTCCGGTGCAAGCCTTCTTGATTAGCCGATGCCGGCTCTGGAGGCTTGACAGGTGGGCCATGGGCATTGGCGGGGTTGGTGCTGCGGCCAAGTTCTGTCACCTGTATGGCCTGGTGGGGCTCCCAGCCCACATCTTTCACTGATAGGAAGCTGTGCTACATTCCAGTGCGCCTCGTGGTTGTCAGCTCGAGTCTTTGAGCGCGGGGTTGTGCTACATTGGCTGGAGGATTCTGATGTTGCTGAATGGTGAGTGAGTCGGGCGGGCTTGGTGATCTCACTCTTCTGACTTCATTTTTGACCACACAAATACCTAAATCAGTGACTAAACTTTTGCAAATTTATAAAGTCGCCTTTTTTTCTAGTTCTTAAGAGACAGCACTAACATTCACATAGTTGATTAGACACTGTAGCATAAAATGTGGTGAACTAAAATCCTAAATACAATTGGCAGTTTAAAAACAAATGATTGAGAAATGTTCCAAGTCTGATTTCTTTTGTTGCAGTTAAGTTGTTAGTTCTTCAAAATTCAATCTTTAGTGACTGAGCTATGTCAACACTGGCATTCAGATCATTCACTGTCTCCAATATTTTCCATCTGCAAGTCATGAGATTATTATGCAATATTTATTAAAGTGCCAACATATTACTTCTGCATACCAAGAGACCAAACCGTATAATTACAGCTTGAAAAAAGAAACTAGAAATAAAATAATCAACATTGGAGGATATGCAAACCATGCCTGCTGGTTCTGTTTTTAAATATTCACAAAAAAAAGAACTGTCGTTTTTATAGTGGTTATGGTGCAAAGAGGCTTCCCTGCAGGCTAAGATCTGAAGGATCGTTATCTTTTGAAGACTCTCAGTGAGTCAGCCAAGTGATCTGCCATCCTGGTAGAAAGATTAGTTTGTCCAAGATTAGTTTGTCAGGCAGGCAGACAAGCACATACATACATACATTCTGGAGTCTTGTAAATGGTTAACTCAAGAAGGCCGAGATGGCGTTAGTTTCCCCTATGTATGTCCCTTTAATCCACCCCACCTCTTCTTTGGCGAGAGAGACATACAGGGTAATTTACTAAAACCTGACTTGTCTGGAATTAAAGTGAATTAACACTCACAGCCACAACTTGCAGTGGCTACTTGGGAATATAACTTCCACCAATCTTAGGCAGCCTAAGAATCTACAATTGAGATTGAGAATGACAGATCCTGTTATACACAGTGCTGTTAAGTACTCTATAATATGGAATCTGAAAGTGAATAAACAGGGAGATCATGGACTCTTTACTTTCTACAAATGTGACAGAAAATAATGATTTGAAGCAAAATTAAAATTAAATTCCCCAAGGAATTTCCAACATCACATTTTCAAATTACTTTGCAAATAGTCATAGTTCACTGTTTAGTAATTAAATCCCTTATAGGGACAAGCCAATCTCCCTAACTATTATAGTACACTGTAGTGGCTATTGTGCCAGGAGTACCCTGGCACCCCCTCCCCCATTGTAAATATTTAAACTATTTTAGAAAGGTTTGACTTTTTACCCTAGGCACCGCTCCCTTCCTCCACTACTAATGACAGAGAGCCATAAGCAGTGCAGGGCTTAGCTCATTGGCTGAGAGCGATCAGCTGACACTCTCAACTAATGAACTTAACACAGGATAGCTAACGAAAGCTCCAGCTGCAGGGCTAAGCTCAGAAAGAGAGCATCTATTCCCCATCACTACTAATGGATCCAAGGAGCAATGCTAAACGAACTCCAGGTAAGAAATCAAACCATTTTAAAATGGTTTAAATACTTACAATGGGGGCGGCAGAGCACTTCTGGCACCATAACTACTACAATAAGCTGGTGCCTTGAGTCTTCCTTTAACCTATACAATATATAATTTACTGTTTTAATAGTTACCAAGGATATAGCCAAGTTAACGCATTTTACAGATGAGAGGTTCACTTTGAAATTAGACTGTCCCTTTTCATTAATTTACAGCCGTTTTATACCGAGAAAGCCCCTAACTGTCCAGAATGTTAAAATGTACCATATGCCCTTTATATAACAAATGCCTGGAATGCAACCATTACGTTATGGAAAGAATTTAGTTAAAAAAAACTGTCAGGAGAGGTCTTTAACTCTTTCAGTGTTTAAAGGGATAAAAACTATTTTTTTTTAAGTACGTGTGCTGTGTGCACAGAATCACATACACTATGAGTTAAAGTAAAATTTTGGTCGTAATTTGGTGATTTATAGTTTTACAGAAAGATTTGTAGACTTTATGAATCCTACGGTGATGAATTTGTTTTAGATGTTGCAATTCAGATGGCATTTGCTAGTGCAGACGGTACATGAGTTAGTCGTGACCACATTGGCAAGTCTCTCAGAACAGTAAATCATATGAAAACATATCCTTGAATAGTGTTGTGATTTGTAGACCATACAGTTATGAATGACTTTAAGTGGCCATAAACTCAATTTTATATCATAAAATGTAATGAGTACTTACTACCCAGCCCCCTGACATAATAATATGGTGCCAGGAGTCTGCTGGTGGTGTCCCGTGTTAGTTTGCATCTTAATTGTGTCTCTCAGGTGCCAGTGGTCCTTCCAGTTTGGATATCGCTAACATAGAATGGGAATATCAATTTTGTCTCTATGTGAACATTATTCAGCCAAGTGGTTTGACTACTTAACATAGGACAGCACCAGCGGACAACTTATACCATAATCACTACATTGGGCTGTAGTGGTTATGGAACATAGACTGCCCCATTAACCATGAAAAGCAGTGTAAAAAGAAATTTACACTTCTTTGATAATGATAGATTCCCATTCAGTATTTTAAAAATATAACTTTTCTCTCGATTTTAAGCATGTGCTAGTGTCAGGATCAGTGAGGAACCTAATCGTACAGAATATAACCCAGCAAATAAACTCTACATTTACCGGTCATGAGAGTGGCTGGACTAAAGGTAGAGGAGTCAGAGAGAATGCCAAAGTCGTGGATACTGATAAATGATGTGACAAGCCAAGGTCCAAGGACTACAGAGATCAGGAGAAACGATTAACGAGACAAATCAGATACCAGGAAAAGGATACATAAGGAACACGCTCTTGGGCTACTAGAACAACAACAGAGCAACATAAAGTGGGAGAGGTAAGTAGAAATATATTTGTCCATGTCATAAGTGAATTCATTATTATTTATGGATGGTAGAAATCTGAGGCGAAATCGCTGGCAATAAAACCCCACGGCGCACAATATTAAACCTATGATTACAAGACACTGCAGTTTGAAGCATGTCCACTGAGTTATCTCACTGCATGAATCCAAGCAGTACTCACCCAAAACACAGGAGACTATAGGGGTGTGGAAATTTAAAAATGTACTTGTCCAAGGGACTAAAGTGAAAAAGTACTGGAGGCAAAAAGCAAAAGTTTCCATGCTAAATGAAAGGCCCAGTCTGTCAGGTCAGACAGGAAGTGCTAACTGAGAGCAACTTACAGCTTCCTGTAAGACCAGATGGAGGATACAGAAGATCCTCTGCAGCAGTCAGTGCAGCCAAGTTACATGGAAGAAGGTATACAGGCCAAGAGGGCAAAGGGGCCCATCGCATAGGGAGATAGAGAGTGAGAGAGAAGGAAAAAGAGACACACAACGCACAGAGGGGGTGGGAACGGGTGAAAGAAACACACTAAAGGACTGGGGAAGTGTAAAAAGAGATATACAAAGGGAATGGGGGAAGAGACACAAAAGGAACTGGGAGTAGAAAGAGACACACAGACGTGCTGGGAAGGAAAGAGACACACAGAAGGTCTGGGGTGAAAGAGAGACACAGAGGGGCTGGGGAGAAGGAGATACACAGAGGGTCTAGGGGAAGTAAGAGACACACAAAGGGGCTGGGAGCAGAAAGAAACACACAGAGGTGCTGGGAAGGGAAGAGACACACAGAGGGGCTGGGAGAGAAAGAGACACACAGAGGAGCTTGGGGGACTATAAGAGACATACAAGGGGCGTTTAAGATACACAAAAGGTGAAATGGGGTGGCGTAAGACACAAAAGGGTATAAGATACACAAATGAATAATTCAAGAGGGGGGCTAAGACACACATAGGTTTCAATGCATTTTGGGAAGTGGAGGGGAGGGCAAAGCGCATTTTTACATGTGTAGTCAAAAACCCTTGCAACGGCCCTGGTTGTCCTATCTGCACTAGAAAAACACAGAAACCACATGAACCCACAGAGTAGCTGAGTGTTAAAAAGATGAAGACAACCATTGGCATCCCAGCCAGCTAAAAGTTCAATTTAACAATTTATGGAAAGAAGGCAACGAAAGGAGAGCACAAGTGGGTGGAGAAAGAACAAATGTGGGGGACAGGGAAGAGACAAAACTGGGACTGGGATATTGAGGAGATGCAAACAGGGAGATTGGAGCACAATGGAGAGGCATAACTGGGTACTGGCATATAGACATGAGACTCTACTGGTGGACTGCAATAAAGAACAGGGACTGGAGTTCCTTGACCATGTACAGTCATCTAAAAAGTACATCTTTCTCAAGAAACCTTCAAAAGATTAAATTGCACAGTATATCAACATTAAAAAATGTTGAGGTTAACTGTATAAAGAAATAAGCAAAAATATTTTTTTTATTAATTTTTATCAAGACCCAAACCCAAATCCCATATGTTCTAGCTTTGTGGCAGAAGATTATGGCATGCCTGCACATATGGAAATATAAATAGTTTTAAGTAATAAAGCTAATTGGGGAAATTCAACCTGCAATGGTATGTCACACTGTGAATTCCTCAGGAAATGTAATATTATGTGAACGCATCCACTACATTTAACAAGTTTGTGCGGTATGAAAAATAAAATTAAATACAGAAATGCACACCTCTTATTTAGTTCTATCCTAGACCAGAGCTTCTCTATCTTGGCTCCCTGTCAATCATTGCCATAAACTACTAATCCATTTCAGTTAACGGAAAGAGCACATAGCCAAAAAGAGAGAAACAGAAATATGAACAACGTCTTTGTTATTCCCCCTCCAAAAAACAATTTGTGCCTGTGCCAGCAATGAATAGATTATAATGTCATTTTCTAAATCTTTATTATACAATTAAAAAGAACAGAACAGCACAGAAAACATGTGATTTTCAGTTATAGGTAATTCTGTGTAAATTTCAGAGACATTACAGCTTCAGTTTAAAATATTAATGGAAATATTCCCCTATTCCCTGCAGAACCCCAGAGAAGAATCACTGTTCATTGCATGACTCTCCTAATGTTGTGTCTTTGCCATCTCTTGCATAAACCTATAAAAATATGGCTGATGGAGGCCGCATACCAGCCATTAAAAAATAAAATTTAAATCAAAACATAAGATGTCTGGCTCCATCGTGAACATATTTTTGTTTTTTTGTTATAATTTGGTTTAATACTTTTCTATCAAAAATAAAAAATCCATCTAAGAGAAGAAGAGAGAATAAAAAGAAAAATGTAGAAAAACAAAACAAATAATAACAGCAATAAACCTCCTGCTGGCCACAATTTGAAGAAAATAATTAAATACAGAATGAGAACCGCAAGAAAGAACCTTTGTTAAATACAATGAAATTTCTTAAATATTAATGCACGACATTCACATTACAAATTATTTGACAATTTTATTTTAGTGGAAAATTTAGATGACTGTGCTGTATTTTGTCATCTGTAGACAGGCTCAAGAAGTCTAAACATAGGAATACGTGTGATATCACTTTTGACCAATGACCACAGCTAAACATCTGTAATGAGGTATAAAGATGAAGGAACCTTCAGGGGTTAAATTGTTAATGAACAGAGTAGCAAAACATGTGAGGGTCGGAGAGAGAGCGATGACTTGAAGTCACTACGCCACGCGCGTGGTCGGGTGGAGCTGGAGCAGGTGCAGTGAACTGAAGCAGGAGACCAGGGGATGAACGCCGGTAATTTCCTTTACCTGTTCCCCAATGCTAAATGGATTATTATGAAAGCTGAGTCTGGTACGAGAGCGGAGTTTGGGTACACCTGCAGAATTACTCCCAGAATCTGAAGCTAAAGAAGCTAAAAAACCAAGGGGAATTACAGGGATATGCCTATCGATTGAAGCTGATCGAAGATTGTAGAGGGTTTTTTTGCCCTATGTGGAGAAATGGCGCCCTGAAGCAAAGACGGGAGTAGAAATAAGAAAAAAGAAAAAAGAGGAAAAAGATACTGGAAAATAAAACTAGTGACGCAGGAATAAATGGGGAGCGGAGTGAAAAGAGGAAAAGTGACCAGAAACTGCTAGCTGAAACCAGATAAGTGATATAAAATCTATTGGAATTCTCCCTTATATGTCTGAAATGATTTATTATGTTTTATTTTGTATATTCCGCTATAAACGGTGTAGGGGAGAAGGAAAAAACAAGAGAAAATAGACATTCAGATAACTAAGGAAATCAAGTTAGAAGACTTTAACTCCAATAACAAAATATAAGATATTTAACAGTGACACTCTAAGTTGTAGCAAAGAGATAAGCGCATTTTGAAGTTGCAAAAATAATACTTTTTATTTTTATTTTTTTTGGTTTTGTTTTTTTTATTTTTTTTTTATTGATAAATATCTTCCTATTATGTGTTTTAGTGAAGAGAAGGAAATATACGCATAAGTACAGAGAGAGTGTGTAAGAGGGATTTTGATTTAAAAAAAAACATATCCCCATTTAGCAGAAATCCCCATTGGATATCAGAAAAAATGCTCTTTGTACCTTTAAAAATTATACTTGGAAGTAATCCACCACACCTGATCTAATTGGTGACAAATCGCTTAATTATTCTCTCTTTTAAGAGATACACATCTATGAGGTAATTAAGGACGTCAAACAAAGTAAAGGACACACTAAAATTTATCTCTGGTAAATAAAAAAAAAATGTAATAAAAGAAATTAGTAAGAAATAGAAATTTGAAATAAATTCGCCAAAACGGCCGGAAAACAACCAACAGAAAATAAATCACAAACAAAAGAGGACGCTAAACCTGAAAAACGGTTATCCTTTTTTACTCCCCATACCACAAATACAAGTATGGAGAAGTCAATAATGAATGAATCTGAAGAAATAACAATATATGTGACAGATGAATCAGAGAAAGAGAAAATAAACAAAAGAACAACCTATGACACAAGAACATCTCATGAATGCACTTGATCTTCAGTTGGGCAAAATAAAAAAGGAAATTCATCTAAATATGCAAGATTTAAAAAAGGACATTGCGACATTAGGGAATAAAATCAAAGAAAATGAAGAAAAAATTGCAAGTCTGGAAGCACAAATTCTGGTATATAAAGAAATAGTTATACAAAATGAGAAGAAAATTGAAATGCTGGAACTAACATTTTGCAGATCTGGAATATTGCTCCAGATTAAATAATTTAAGATGAGGAGCAATACCTGAATCTATTACAAGTGAAAATCTGTAAAAAAAAATTGCAAGATTTTTTTTCTAAATTGGGAGTGACACAAGAAAGCCATGTGCATTTATGGGAGAGATGCCATAGAACGGGAAAGCCACCTGGTTCAGCAGATGATCCGCCTTGAGATGTTCTTTTATCTTTATCCTGGTTTGGGATGAAGTAGAACATATTAAAAAAAAAAAGAAGACAACTGTATCATCAGAACCACACCACAGAATTATAATTTTACTGGATTGATTATTTTTTTTAAAGTGTCAAGTATCGTTCATTTGCAACATTAACAGAAATACTTAGAAAAAAAGAACATTAGATATAAGTGGGGGAACCCAGTAAAGATAATTCTCATATATGATTTTAAATCATACTTATTCAACTGTAAATTTAAGAATATGGGCATTCGATAACAAAATGATAGATCCTATATAATGGACTGATGAATGTGTTTTTTTGTTTTTTTTTGTCTTGATCTTATTAAATTGTAAATATCATATACAAAAAGAGGTGGAAGAAAAGAAAGGAATGATAGATATTTATACACTGTAATGGGAATCGATATTTTTAGGAATATTTAGACACACAATAATTTGAGAATTTATAAGAATTAAATATGATTCACACTAAAGAATTGGCTGTATTTCACTGAATAAGACACTAAATAGAAATAGAAGTGAATGCTATATGAAATGTAGTTACACAAAAGTTATATATAGAAAACAAGGAAAGTGAGAAAAATTTAGATACAGGGAAAATAGGAAGGTGTGTTTTTTTTTTTGTTTTTTTTTCACAAAGTCATAATTGGAATTAATACAGTAATGAGAATTACATTTTACATAATTTCACTGAAAAAAGAAGGAATGTATTAGAATTAGTGAATAGATATTAGAAATGAATAACACATTTAGGTGGAAAAAAGGAAAGAATAAATCTATAAAAGAAATAGGAGAGAATAGGAACTCATTTAGAATTTAAATAAATATTAGTTAGAATTTCACTTTGTAATGGCACTCTAAGAATGAAAGTGGTAATTAAAAAGTAATTTGGTTTAGAAGGAAGAGATGGAGGGAACGAAGAAGAAAAGAAGAGGGGGAAGGAATTTAGTTGTTTCCCCCCCCACCCCTCCCCCTCTCTTGTTTTTTTAACAAAGGAATATTACTTTATAGGATCTTAGGATAATTTTGCTCTTCACACTTCTGTTTGTGTATTGTCTAATGATGTATTTATGTTTTTTTATGGCAGATTTGGGGCTTGTTGTGAGGGATAAGAAATGGTACTGTAAATACAATGGTTACATTTCTAATGTTGAATGTACGAGGTATGAATTCTCCTCAGAAAAGATCTATTTTGTTTTCTCATTTAAATAAAGAAAAGATAGATATTTGTGCACTCCATGAGACTCATTAGAAACTGGAGGACAAAATAAGAGCGAATTCTTTGAGGTACCCATTGCTGATGGCGGCTGCCTTGAAAGGGAAGAAAAAAAGTGGCGTTCCTAATATTATGGGCAAATGCAAATATTACAAGTTTCAAAATGAAATGTATTTCTTAAACTGTGAACTTTGTCTTTAAGAGATATTGCAAACTGACTAGGTGTCAGAAATGGAACATAGTGTTTTTCATACATGTTTATTAAAGCAATAACCTCTAGCCTACTTTCAGTGCATAATATGTTAACGCCAATTTGTCTTAGCTTAATACAAAACAAGTAATGCAATAACATCTTCAAGGCTATGCTACGGCATCAGACTTTAGGAAGCCATCTTGTCCCAAGTGAGGGAATTTCCCATGACGTATGCACTTATGTTTTAGTTATGGCCTTGTATCTTTGCCAAGTTAAGGGAGTTCCTAAAATGAACATCTAAGATATATATGTGTACCTTTTAAATGTTAAGGGACAGAGGAGAGATTTGGAGACAGAGACACTGTCGCTCCATATCATAAAGACTGAGAGATGTTGACATGTTCATGAGGGTATATTATTCTATTTTAATGATATTGCAAGCATATAGTTTAATCTTTTAAACTCTGCTATAAATTATTGTAATGGATTTTATATGTCTATATTTATATTTTTATATAATAAATATCTAAAAAGACAAAACTTTACTGCTTCCAAGACGATCCTAATTTTATATTGTATTCTCAATTATTTATATATTTTAAATAGAAGATCGTTACGGACTATATAAAATTGTGGCTAAGATATCTGTATGGTTAGCCATGCTAAGTTAGTGGAGAAAACTAATAAAACGTTATATTCTTTAAAAACCCTATTACAAGGGGAATAAAGCCGATAGAATTTTATCCAATAAACTAAAAAAAAAGCAAAAAGAAAAAAACTCTCTCTAAAATTGTACATTAGGGTAAAACACATCTAGCACAAAACAAAATAGGTAAAACTTTTTGTAAATATTATGAGTCACTTTATAATTTAAAACAAGGGACAACAGGAAATTAAATTGAGGAATATTTTAACAAAATGGATTTACAAATCCATCTAGCGAGATATTGGAGCAACTAAATAGACTTTTTATGGAAGAAGAGGTATCCCAAACTATAAGAAAACAGAAATCTGGAAAGCCCCAGGACCAGACGGTTTTGATGTTTTTTTTCTAAAAACTATTTACAAAAGAACTGGCCCCATATCTGGTAGATGCTTTCAATGATTTCGCTGATAAAGGAACCATACCAGAAGAAATGCTGCACGGAAATATAGAACCTATTCTTAAGCCAGGTAAAAATCCAGAATAAATCACCAGCTACCGACCAATCTCTCTTCTAAATTCAGATGCAAAAATATATGCAGCCATAATAGCAGAGATATTAAAACTAATATTAGATATGGTGAATCATAATAACCAAGTAGGATTTGTCCCTGGAAGATCTCCAACTGGACACATGAGATCACTCATAAATATATATATAATTGATCACAATTAAATGGTGTGCCCCAGCTGACTTTGTCATTGGATGATGAAAAGGCATTCGACAGGGTCGGCTGGGGATATATGGCGGAATTGTTGAAAGCATATGGATTAAAGGGAAGAATATTTCAAGCAATAATGGCATTATACACTAAACTGAGAGGTTGAGTAATAGGATCTGGTATCGTATTACCATGGTTTTACTTAACGAATGGAACACGACATGGGTGTCCTTTATCACCCTTGTTGTACGTCCTTACATTAGAACCTTTAGCCAGGAAAATTAGAACCAAACCTAAAATTCAAGGATTCAATAAAATGAATACACAGATAATTAAATTATATGCCAATGACATCCTACTGACTGTTGAAGATCCTTGTAAATCAATAGATGGAATTATGGATTTTATAAAAAAATATTCTTTATTATCAAGCTATAAATTAAACAAAATCTATAGTGATCCCCTTAAATATGTCTTGAACTCAAATTAATTATCTGAAAGATAAATATAATTTTAAAAACAATCAATTTATATATTTGGGTATCAAGATATCAAGTAAACCTAGAGAATAGATGGAAATCAATTTACTCCCTCTAATAAATGATATGAATAGATCATTTAAAGAAAGGAGAATGTTAGAAATTTCCTGGTGGGGGAAAATACACACTGTGTAAGTTTATGTATATATTTAGAATGGTTCCTCTAAAAATTCGAACTCCATGGCTAAATATGATCCAGACCGCATTTTCTAGATTTATATGGTAAGAAACCCAGATTAAATTTACAACTACTTGCTAAAAAAAAAACCTAGGAGGACTGGGAATACCAATTATTCAAGAATATGCAGACGTGATTTTATTAGCACATGCGGTGATATCACAAATAAATAGAGCTTCATCTGAAAGTTGGTATCTAATAGAGATGAAAGATTTTAAACCTCAAGACTTGTTGACTCAATTATGGAAATCACAGCATTTTTGAAATCTTTAAACATAATAGAACGGAACATTGCTTTAAACCATATTCTGGCAAATTGGTATACATTTAAAAAAAAGCTTAGATAAAAGACAAAGTTGTATCTTGTCTACCTTTAAAAATTATAGGTGGCTTAATAAAAAAATATAGACTTTCAACAATGGATAAATAAAGGAATCTTATAAATTCATCATTTAGTAGTGAGAAATAAAATAAAATCCTTTGCTGCACACCAAACAGAATTTAACCTTGGTGATCAAGAAATATTTAAATATCTCAGAATTAAAGGTTTTCTAAATGATAAATTGTCTATTAATGATAATTCTCAAATAGTTGAACAAAATTATTATAAACATTTAATAACAAAATGTCTTAAAATCATTAACATTTTAAAAAAAGATGTCCTAATTACTGCTATAATAAGATGGGAGGAGGATTTAAGATCCAAATTAATGAAGAAGAATGGAATAAGGCATTAAATCTCTATGTTATAGATCGATACACTGTCTGAACCTTAATGAAACACAGCATAAATTGGTAAATCGTTGGTATAGAGTCCCCACAATTATTAATAGAATATACCCAAATGCTCTACATAATTGCTGGAGATGTGGGGATCAATATGCTGATTATATGCATGTATGGTGGTCATGTACAAAGATTCAGACATTGTGGTTTGCCATCTCTCAGAGACTAATTAAAAACCTTGGATTTTATTGGAATTTAACACCTGTTCAAGCATTATTACATTTACATTTTCCGAAACAAAATAATCAGGAAAAAAAATGATTACATATTTTAACTGCTGTAAAACTTTTAATTGCAAGAAATTGGAAATCCCCCAAAAATTCCAGCTTAGCAAGAAATTAAAAATCAAACAATTCTACAATTAGAAATGGAGAAAGGAATATCTTACCAAATAAATTGGAACAAAAAAAGATCAAGAGTTATGGAGGTGTTGATTCAATATTTTACAAAAAGATGAATTCTGAGACAAAAGTTTTAGAAGGCTCTAAAAGAAAATTTATTAGAAGGAGGAAATGTATGAAGATTAGGACACATATAAAAACCCCGTTCAATAAAAGAAAAAGAATATAGAGGGGTAAAGGAAATGAATAGGAAACAGGGAAAGGGATATTTAGCATTAATATGCTGTTTTTCCCCTAGCACCTTGCTTATTACCTTAAGATCAATAAATCATAGCAAGACTCAATATCTGCTATTGTATTTATGTGTGTGTATATATATATATATATATATATATATATATATATATTATATTTATTTATTTCTGTTGTTGTTTCTTTTGTATTGTATGTCGATATATGTTTTTAATTGTCTAGTGAAATATGATAATATTGAAAATGTCCCTATTCATATATGAGATATAGTGCAATTTTTTTATATAAAGATTATGTACTGGATTAATTTTTGATAAATAAAAAGTAAAAAAAAAAAATTTGTTAAAGAACATTTTAGCCATAAATCTTTCTGTCCAGCTCTGTCCCCACTCCACTTTCGCTTGAGTGTGAAATTTGAAACACGGTTTTCAGAAGCTTCTCGGCCACAAAACATCTTAGAGCCCTCAGGCAATGCTAGGAGCATCCTTCAACGGAGGTACCCAGTCGGGGTGCCACGTGATCCGTTACAGGACACAACAATGCCTACATATAAGACCCGTCCCTCCCGACAATATGTGTCTCTTCTTAAGTTGTTAATTTACCATGTTCAATTATTGTTAAGTATGCAATGGCGTAATGTGAAACGTGCCTCACGACTGCCTAACTCTACGTCTAAATAACCATACCACATACGCTATGAAAGTCTTGTAGCTCACTCTCATAAAAAGAGGCTAGACCGCACATGTATGATAATATGTCCGATATTACTCTGTCACCATTGTATATATCTCATGTACCGTGCATATCTAAGATCCTACTGTTAATTCATATGCCTCGAAAATAAAAAGATTTTTAATATTATGTTCAGGTATCCTTACATTTAATAAAACTGTATTTATGTATGTGAATAAACTTAAATGTAGAAATCAATACCTCTTTATTCTGTAAACAGGTGCCCTGTCAATCATCGTCTTTCGCACCTGGCAGTCAACACAGAGAAAGCATACAGAGAAAAGGAGAAATAAAAGCATTTTCAATCTCACATCATCTGAACTCGATGACCTCTGTGTACCAACACTCATATTTACATTATCTCCCCCTCGTCTTACATTAGGTTAATCCGTGTTCGCAGTGGCATACCACTCTGAATATCGACAACAGTGCAGTGGCCCGTAGCGGGTTGACCCCACCAACTCTCCTTATAAGAGGCATTAACTACAGGTGCACCGCTCGAATGGATTCACTGCCTCAGATATTTACCAGCAAGTAACACCTGCTAAGACTTAAAGGGATCCTATAGTGCCAGGAAAACAAACCAGTTTTCCTGGCACTATAGGCTCTTGGAGTGCCCCCCTCCCTCAACACTGCATGGGTTAAAACCCCTTCAGCCACTTACCTTAATCCAGCACTGGGCTCCCTCGGCACTGGTGACCTCTCCTCCATCGACGTTAGCTCCCAAGTGGAGCTGAATGTGCATGCGCGGCCAGAGGCGCACGCGCATTCAAACCTGCCCATAGGAAAGCATTACTCAATGCTTTCCTATGGGGATCTTATTTGACGCTGGACTCCGTGAGGACGTCCAGCATCAAATAAGTGCAATTTTCTTAGTGTAAATCGCGGAAGCGACCTCAAGTGGCTGTCAGGGAGATGGCCACTAGAGGCTGGATTAAGCCTACTGTGCAAGAAACTGCTATGTTTTCAGCTTCACGGATAAAACTTGGCGCAGGGACGGTGCAAGGATTTTTGCCGCCCTAGGCAAAAAAAAATTTTCCGCCCCCCCCATGTCCTGCCCACCATGTGACATCACAATGCCCCGCCCATATGCTCTGCCATATGGGCCAACGCCAGTCTTCACAAAGTGTCTTTTATCTGAAAAGACAGTGTGTTTACATTAAAAAGTCTACAGGCACAGACTATAGACACCAGAACCACTACATTATGCTGTAGTGCTTCTGGTGACTATAGTATCCATTTAATGTGAGGTAAATTAGAGATTAGTGCCACTAATAATATATTAGATTGCCTACTTACCACCAGATGAGGACAAGAGGCTGATGATGGGCTCTGTCTGGCTCCACAGGTCTGGTGTAGAAGAGGCTCTCTGGAGACTGTTTGTTTTTAACAGTGCTCACAACAATTAACGAACAGGAAGCAGCTCCATTTTTTAGGGCCCCTTACACAGCTCAAGGTCTGGGCCCCCAGGGCTTGACTGTGAGAATGCCTACAATGCCCACCCATAAATCCACCTACATGGCCCACCCGTGAGTTCTCTCACAGGAAGTGGAGTGTATGTGTGTAGGGGATGTTTTATGTGTTATTGTAGAGGATGCAACGTGTGTGTGTTCTTATAGAATGTAGTGTATAGGGATACCAATTTCTGTAAGGGATGTAGTGTGTTTATAGGGGATGCAGTATGTGTTTGCATGTAAGGAATGCATTGTATGTTTCTGGGTGTGTGTGTGTGTAAGGGGTGCAAGGTGTGTTTCTGTGTATTTAATTGAATGCAGTGTGTCTGTAAGGGGTGCATTGATTGTGTAAGAGATGCATTTTGTTTCTGTGTGTAAGAGAATGAGTTTGTGTGAACGTAAGGGATGCATTGTGTGTTTTGGGTGTGTCTGTGTGTGAGTAGGAATGCATTGTATGTTTCTGTGTGTGTGTGGGGGGATGCAATGTGTATGTGTGTAGTGTAAAAGAGAGGGTTTGTGGGGTAGGATAGGGACTGAGAGGGGAGCAGCTCTTTATTTTTTTTATTTTTTGCATAGTGCTCACCCTCCTGTCAATTATTGATTTCCCCTTCCCTCCTGTCCCTTAGTGCTCTCCCTTGGCCCCCTGTAGTCCCCCCTTGGTGGTCTTCTCACTCCCCCCTCTCCCCCTTAGTGGTCCTCCATCCCTCCCCTTAGTGGTCCTCCCTCTCCCAAACCCCTTAGTAGACATTCCCCTCCTCCCCCCACCCCCTTATTGGCAATCTACCCCCCTCAGTGGTCATTATCCTCTTTCTCCCCTTCCCCTTAGTGGTCCTTACCCTCCTCCCCTCAGGGTCCTCCCTACTTACCCCCCTTTGGTGGTCCTTTCCCTCCTTAGTGGTCCTCCCTCTCCCAAACCCCGTAGTGGACCTCCCCCCTCCTCCCTCAGTGGTCCTTACTCCCCACCCCCCCTCCCCCTGTGGTCCTTCACTTCCCCCAGGGGTCCTTACTCCCCTCCTCTCCCAGTGGTTCTTGCCTGCACGCCCCACTCCCCAGTGGATTCTTTGCTCACCTCACTGTCGCCCCTCCTGGTGGTCACTTTTACTCCCCTGGTGGTCCATACCTCTCCCCTCCCCCCTCCCAGGTGGTCCTTACCTCCCCTCCCCTGTGGTCGCGCACCACCTCCCCTCCTCTTGTGGTCCACCCCTGGTGGTCTTCACCCCTCCTGGTGATCCTTGCGCCCCCCACTCCCCTTGTGGTCCATACCTCCCTTCCCTGGTGGTCACTTGCTCCCCCTCCCTTGTGGTCCATACCCCTTCCTGGTGGTCAGCACCACCCCTCCCCCTTTGGTCCTTGCCTACCCCCCTCCCCCTGTGGTCCTTACCTACCCCCCTCCCCTGGTGGTCCTTGCCCTCCTCTTCCCTCCCATGTATGTAGCGTGGCCGGGCGGCGCGGAACGCGGGACAGGAACCTCTGTTTCCTGTACCCGGCCGCCGGTGGACTGCAGGGAAGTGCTCACTCAGTGAGCACTTCCTGTCAGTCCGCCGGCGGCCGGGTACAGGAAACAGAGGTTCCTGTCCCGCGTTCCACGCCGCCTGGCCACGCTACATTGAGAGACAGGCGGGAGGGATCGCTCTGCGCTGCCCTCCTGACGGTTACTCAAATCCAGCAGCCCTTCACAGCAGTGCTGCGCCGCCTGAGGCTTGTAAAAGCGATCAGGCAGCGCAGCCTAGGTCGCCTTACAGGTAGCGCCAGCCCTGACTTGGCAGGACCTGGCACCCAGACCACTTCATTGAGCTCAAAAGGGCCATAGTGGTCCTTTAATATTGATCATATATAAGGCACACAAGCTCCCGATACCTGAAGCTGGTCGTACTCACATTGTTACAATAAATTCCACCACAACTCCATAACACTTGGGTTGCTCACTGTTTATTGCCTTTACTGGTACTCGCATTGCAATCCTGCTGCCAAAACCTGTATGAACCCACTGACTTGTCACCAACTGTGTGCACACTGTTAAACATGGAATATTTTATGCTGTATTGGTTCTAATCTGTATGTTACAAACACAAATATCTACCAAATAAAGAATTTAAAAAAATAAATTAAAGCATGTTTCTAAATCACCTCCTTATTTTCAATGTTTGATCTGGCTTTGTTTTTGTGTGAACTGGATTATGATATAATTCTCTAAATCTTTAATATAAATTAAAAGGAAAATGGAGAATCTCATGAAAACAATGTTAACAATTTATGCATGATTTTCAATATTTTATTAAATGGTGTCAATTGTGACCGTTCTCCTATTAAAGAGTTGTCTGAAGCTTTTTTTCCCCTAAATATTATGCTCCCAGACTACATCTTAGTTAAAAATAGGTTTTGTGTGTTTATTAAGGCAATTTGTGTAGCAATTACACTCTTAATTTAAAACAGATGTCAATGTTTCAAATATACATCCAGTCTTCCATTTGGAAACTCAACTTTAGCCTTGCTCAACAAAGCAATATTGTTGGGATTTGTTTATGTGTTTTGAACATGTGGTATAAAAGTAGAGCTCGGAGAAAAATAAAACAAAAAAGCTCTTAATAGGTGTTTAAAGATGTGCAATAAAAAGTGGCCTTTTTGCATTCTTTTAGTTATTATTGCTAAACTTTCCTAAGAACAAAATAACAGGTTTGCAGGACAAAACCTCATCTCATTCCAAAAGTATAGGTAATAAAAGGAGTTGGTTTCCACTTTTCTGAAGAGGTTTTGTTCTAGACTTTTAAAGATTTCTTTCGGAATTTGCTTTTATCATCAGAAGTTTTATAGAGGCTGGGCAGGAATGTTGCACGCACAAGTCTGCTTTGCAGTGTGTTACCTTTTACTCCAAAGATTTTTAGTGAAGATGAGTAAAGTTCTACGTGCATTACTAATTACGTTTCGCCATACTAATTTCCACCCAATTTTTTGCAACGGCTTTGTGTTCAAGAAAATTGTCATGTTGACACGATGGTGTAAGCACAGATTGATCTAGATTCTAGAAGAGGAATAGGCAACCTTCAGCACTCAAGATGTCGTGGACTTCATCTTCCTTGATGCATTGCCAACATTATGGCTTTAACAGCATCATGGAAGATGTAGTCCACAGCATCTGGAGTGCCGAAGGCCCTTTTCTTGAACTCAATTGCTATGGAAAATAGCCCCAAGCTATTCGACCACCAAATGTTACATTTAGATTTATGCTGTTCTGTCACAGAAATCCATTTCACAAGGTCACAAAAAAACAGTTATTATGCTGATATTATTTCAGCAGAACCAGGGCCGGACTGGCCCACCGGGATACCGGGAAATTTCCCGGTGGGCCGTCGGCACCTGGGGCCGGGCAGACACCTGGGTCTGCTGTCGGCCGCTGGCAGGGGCGGGCTGGGCCGGGGGGCAGGGAGGCAATTGCCCCCCAGGGTCGCTCCTTGATTGGTGCCTGAGCCGCCTGTTACAGCCCCAGGCTGCCGTAGCAGCTGTTCGCAAGCCAGGAGCGGATAGGAAGGCACACCCAGTGCGTACTCCTGTCATCTGTCCGGTTACAGTGGGAAACAGAAGCCCTGTTCACAAGAGTTTCTGTTTTGGGACCGGGCCGGGATCGACAGGGAAGTGCACACCCAGTGCACCTCCTATCACTCCGTCGGCCACCGCTGACCGGAGTGCAGCCCCGGCCACGCACGGGGTAAGAAGAGAGGGAAGCAGGGAGGGAATGAAGAGGGAGGGGGAATAAAAGAGGGGAACAAGAAGAGGGAAAGAAATAAAAAAAAGAGGGGGAATAAGAAGAGGGGAGGGAGGGAACAAGAAGAGAGGAGGAGGAAACAAGAAGAGGAGGGGAATAAAAAAAGAGGGGAGGAAGGGAAATAAGAAGAGAGGAGGGGAATAAGAAGAGGAGGGGGGAATAAGAAGAGGAGGGAGGGGAACAAGAAGAGGAGGGGGAATAAGAAGAGGAGGGGAGCAGGGGCTGAGGGGAAGATGTAAGAAAAGAGGGCAAGAAGAAGAGCAAGTGAGGCGAAAAGATGGGGAGTAAGAAGCTGAAGAAGAGGAGGGGAGCAAGAAAAGAGGGGAGTAAGAAAAGGAGGGGGGAGTAAGCAGGAGGAGGATAAGAAAAGAGGGTTAGAAGAAGAAGGGGTAAGTAAGAAAAAGAGTGGGGAGTAAGAAGAAGAAGAGGGGGGTAAGAAGAAGAAGGAGGAGTAAGAAGAAGGGGGAGGAAGAAGAAGAAGGGGGAGGAAGAAGAAGGGGGGTAAGAAGAAGTAGGAGGGTTAAGAAGAAGAAGGGGGGAGTAAGAAGAAGAAGGGGGGTAAGAAGAACAGGTGGGGGAGTAAGACGACCAAGGAGGAAGTAAGTAAGACGCAGCTCCCCCAGCGGCCACCAGGACAAGTCCGCCAGCGGCCGCCAAAAGACCTCCCCAGCGGCCGACAGGACATGTCCCCCAGATGCCCCCAGAAGACCTCCCCAGTGGTAAAAGTCCCCCAGCGGCCCCCAGAAGACCTCCCCCTGGCAGGTATAAGTAATGTGTCTGTCTGTGTCATGGTGTCTGTCTGTATGGTGTGTGTATGTGTGTCTGTCTGTCTGTGTCATGGTGTCTGTCTGTCTGTGTCATGGTGCCTGTCTGTCTGTATGGTGTGTGTATGTGTGTCTGTCTGTCTGTGTCATGGTGTCTGTCTGTCTGTGTCATGGTGTCTGTCTGTATGGTGTGTGTGTATGTGTCTGTCTGTCTGTGTCATGGTGTCTGTCTATCTGTATGGTGTGTGTGTGTCTGTCTGTGTCATGGTGTCTGTCTGTCTGTATGGTGTGTGTGTGTCTGTCTGTCTGTGTCATGGTGTCTATCTGTATGTATGGTGTGTGTGTGTCTGTCTGTGTCATGGTGTCTGTCTGTCTGTATGGTGTGTGTGTGTCTGTCTGTGTCATGGTGTCTGTCTGTATGGTGTGTGTGTGTGTGTCTGTCTGTCCGTCATGGGGTGTATGTGTGTGTCTGTCTGTCCGTCATGGGGTGTGTGCGTTTGTGTGTCTGTCTGTCCATCATGGGGTGTGTGTGTGTCTGTCTGTCATTCATGGTGTGTGTGTGTGTGTGTCTGTCCGTCATGGTGTGTGTGTGTCTATCTGTCCGTCATGGTGTGTGTCTGTTTGTGTCATGGTCTGTCATGGTGTGTGTGTGTGTCTGTCATGGGGTGTGTATCTGTCATGGTATATGTGTGTTTCTGTGTCTGTCATGGTGTAAATGTGTGTTTAAAAATAGTGTTTTTGCTCACTTTTTTTTCCCCCACGCAGCGTGCTGGTCTCCCTCGACTGTCCCTGCCTCTATAGCTGAGATCATCAAGCTTGATGATCTCAGCCAATCCAATGCTTTGCCATAGGATTGGCTGCAAAACGCCACTCCAATTAGCATCTCCTCATAAAGATGCATTGAATCAATGTATCTCTATGGGGAACGTTCAGCACCTACAGAGTGTGGAGGCCCTGAATGTAGGTGCACTAACACAGGAAGCACCTCTAGTGACCGTCTGAGTGACTGTCACTAGCAGTGTCACTTTGAAGCAATGTAAACACTGCATTTTGTCTGAAAAGTCAGTGTTTACGTTGAAAAGCCTGTAGGGACATGCTATAGACACCACATTAAGCTGTGTGTGTGCGTCTGCTAGTGAGTGAGCTTGCTTGCATGCGTGTGCCTGCTAGTGAGTGAGCTTGTGTTTTTATGTCAATGAGCTGATGTATATCAGTAAGATTGTTTGTCTATGAGGCTGTGTATCAATGAGCTTGTGTGTGTCACTGAAATGTCAGTGAAATTGCCTGTGTCTGCATGTGCGTATGCTTACTGTATAATTAAACGTTTTACCCTGAAAGGACCAATATTTTATATTAGAAAAAGCATATATATATATATATATATATATATTACTCAATCATCTGTCCTGGCAAGACATAGCCTTACATATTACACGCGACAATATATGGCGCAGTGACTTATGGGGCTGGCACAATTTTTTTTTTTCCAGGGCTGCTTTGTATCCCCAGTCCGGCCCTGAGCAGAACTCGGAAGTGGTAACTGATTTCTATTCACCATGCTCACATGTCGTTCGAGTACCAGGGTGCTCTAGCAAGGCTGAAATTTGGCTTACATATTGGAAATGAAGCACTTTGTTAAAATATACTTTCAACCATGTTGCAAGTTCCTGAACTATTACAGATGTTTGTCCAGAACAGGTAATCTTTGAACATTCCAGATGTGTTGGACTATGTCTCTCCTGATGCCTTGCCAGCATTATGGCTGTAACAGCATTATGGTATATGTAGTCCACAACATATGGAGTGCCAAATGTTACCTACCCCTGGTCCAGTCAGATTTCATTATAAGTTTATTAACCTCTTAATAGAAAATAATATATTAGAATGCTCATGATAAATGCCTTTCCTAACCGTCATTAACGGGTTCAATAAAGTCACCTTCAATGGTCTGTAAAATGTGTAAAATGCCATAAAACTTTCTATGATGTTACTTATTTTTGTATAACATTTATTAAACAACAAAATAGAAACATAGAAACATAGAATGTGACGGCAGATAAGAACCATTCGGCCCATCTGGTCTGCCCAATTTCCTAAATACTTTCATTAGTCCCTGGCCTTATCTTATAGCTTAGATAGCCTTATGTCTATCCCATGCATGCTTAAACGCCTTCACTGTGTTAACCTCTACCACTTCAGCTGGAAGGCTATTCCATGCATCCACTACCCTCTCAGTAAAGTAATTCTTCCTGATATTATTTTTAAACCATTACCCCTCTAATTTAAGACTTAAGATTTAAGATGCAAGATTTAACATGTCCTCTTGTTGTGGTAGTTTTCCTTCTTTTAAATATAGTCTCCTTTACTGTGTTGATTCCCTTTATGTATTTAAATGTTTCTATCATATCCCCCGTCTTGTCTTTCCTCCAAGCTATACATGTTAAGATCCTTTAACCTTTCCTTGTAAGTTTTATCCCGCAATCCATGAACCAGTTTAGTAGCCCTTCTCTGAACCCTCTCTAAAGTATCAATATCCTTCTGGAGATATGGTCTCCAGTACTGCATACAATACTTCAAATGAGGTCTCACCAGTTCTGTACAATGGCATGAGCACTTCCCTCTTTCTACTGCTAATACCTCTCCCTATACAACCAAGCATTCTGATAGCATTTTCTGCTGCTCTATTACATTGTATGCCTACCTTTAAAGGACCACTATAGGCACCCAGACCACTTCAGCTTAATGAAGTAGTCTGGGTGCCAGGTCCATCTAGGGTTAACCCTGCAGCTGTAAACATAGCAGTTTCAGAGAAACTGCTATGTTTACATTAGGGTTAATCCAGCCTCTAGTGGCTGTTTTAAGGACAGCCGCTAGGGGCGCTTCCGCGCGTCTCACTGTGTTTTTCACAGTGAGAAGATGCCAGCGTCCATAGGAAAGCATTGAGAATGCTTTCCCGTGAGACTGGCTGAATGCGCGCGTGGCTCTTGCTGCGCATGTGCATCCAGCCAATGACGTCAGAAGGAGGAGGAGAGTCCCCAGCGCCGAGGTAGGAATTTAACCCCTTCCTCACCCTAGAGCATGGCGGGAGGGGGACCCAGAGGGGGAGGAGGACCCAATGACCCTATAGAGCCAGGAAAACTAGTTTGTTTTCCTGGCACTATAGTGGTCCTTTAACCCCTTAAGGACACATGACATGTCATGATTCCCTTTTATTCCAGACGTTTGGTCTTTAAAGGGTTAAGTCATCAGAAATAATAACTCCTAAATCACTTTCCTCAGATTTTGAGGTTAGGACTCTATCAAATATTCTGTACTCTGCCCCTGGGTTTTTAAGTCCAAGATGCATTATAAATTAATACAAGTTACAATATTCAACACAAAACGTACAGAATTAAAGGAAACTAGACTAATAATATGCAAAGACATCTGTGCGATATTTTGATCTTAAATGTAAGTACATCAATAACAGCATTAACAGCAGAACAATATATGAAAGTGAAATCACAGTCCAAGGAGAGAGAAGACAATAGAGAGTTCTAGTGATATATCACCAAGGTACAGTAGTGCAATGGATGCATAAGAGGCAGTATAGGGTGTTTCCAAGAAGAACCATATACATGTAACAAGGTTCAATTCTAAGGAAGATTCTTTTTTTTCTCTCTTGGAATGTTTGGTCAAAGGTATAATGTGTCCATCTTTTAAAGATCTGATATATATTGTGTCTAATCAGTCCAATCAAATGTAGAGGTTTCTCTATTAATAATGGTAAGGAAGGGGTTAGCTGGATGTATCAAATGTTAAGGTTTGTGTTATGATTCTCAGTATTTTTTTGATTAAATTAAAAGTATGATGGCAAGATACTTAAAAAAAATATATATTTTCACCTGTGGATGGCAGGTCTGGCCTTCAAGATTACACTGAAAATTTAGCTAGGTGCAGAAAAATGTGTTTCTTACACATGAATCAGAGGTTAATGTACCCAGAAGGAATAGTTGGTGAAGAGAGAAAAATGCTTGATGTTAAGATTTACTGGACTGCTTATTATTATTATTTAGTCTATTCTACTCCCAATCTATTGCCTCTAATCATTTCAGACAACCAGTCAGAACAGAGAACTACTCAAGGCTGCTAAGTTTGGGTGAAAAGACCAAGTCATGTCTAAAGTTAGCACATAACACCAATGCCATGATGTCATGTCAGGGTAACACAATTATTATCACGCATTGCTTACAATATCTGTTGATATTTTCATAAGGACATAATATAGATTGTCTCCATATCTTGTACGTATATAAGTGGATTATATCAGATGGAAGTCTGGAATCCAAAACTAGTTAAATATAATCGTGTTCTTACCCATCCAAAATTATAATTTGTCTGTGTTATTGTTTTAAAAAGTATTGGATCAGTAAACGTGATGAGTTCCAGATATTAGCTGTAAATGCCTTTATACGCTTTCGCCTCCGTTCTTTCTATTTTAAAATTTGCAATTCTCCAAAAAGCTTATTTGGACAAAACGAGAAGATGCTCCCCGAGAACAGCTGAGACAGTTTGAGTCCCAGTATCTCAAGTTAGACATGCTAAGTTATTTTAAGGTTACTTGTAAAAAGTATTGTATAAACAGAGTGATAAGTGCAATGTTATGTACATATTTGGTCAGATTAGTTTGGTGTTACAAGGACATATTTTTGTTTTTTCTTGCCAGTCAGTAAAACATTTTCATGTGAAGCTGCATTCTGTAGTAAAATCTTATAAATATCCAATATTCACCTATTGTATTTCTCTACTTTCAGTCATCTGTGTCACTAAAAAATGATCTTAAACATTTTGCCGATCGTCTGCATTTAGAATAATTTGTTGGAGCAGGTCCACACACGTGTGTTACAATACATGTCTTGTGTGTTGTATCCCAGGATTGAGGGATCAAATAAACACATTTATCTTTGGTATTGCCACGTTAGCAGACTGAGAATAATGAGAAATTGATAGGAATATAGCATCTGCATATATAGAGCAATGTCATAAAGAGCTAATAAAGAATCATTGTATATAAAGATTCACTTTAAACAAACCAAACTTAAAACAAATGAAATGTCAAACATCTTTATAGCTGCACTTTAATAGGGCTGCACTCAAAAAAGGTCAACATCTTAACTGCTCTGTTTATTAATTGGTGACTCTACTTATAAATAAAAACAAACAGTGTTTTTTTAGAAAACAGTTTTTGGTCAGAGTAACTCTCCTTGTTGGGGTCCCCCCCAAAAATTAAATAAAAAATATACTTAAAACTTACCCCTGTTCCAGCAACATGGCCAAGTTATCCTTTCAGCCTGGGCCGGGCCGAGACATTATGCTGCTCCCTCCCTCCCCACCCCCCCCCCCATCATCATCATCAAGCCTTTCCACCATTGGCTTTTTGTAAAGATTAAGAGAATATTGCACACATCAATTGTCCGGGGAATATTTCCAGCAGGGGGCTCCAAACAGGGAGGACCAATGTTCCATCCAGAATATAATAGTGAAAAAATGGTCTGCGCACACCAGGAGGTTTTTTGATAGGAAATCTTTATTTGGTCTAAGAAGACTTGACAAAGGCTCAGGGGAGCCGAAACATTTTATTTGACACTCCAAATACAGAGCTGCCTATCAAAGAAACCTCCAGGTGTGCCCAGACCACTTTTTCAGCACTATATTCCACTGTTGGTTGTCGGGCACCAGCATGCTGTGTTTGCTGCACAGAATTCCCTGCTAACTAATGATGCCCCTATAATGCTGTCAGAGGTGGAGTTACATCTCTGGCAGTAGATGGGTTAATTTCCATGTGTGGAGCATATCATAGTAAAACACTAGACTACAAGCCCCATGACTACTTCAAATCACTGAAGTAGTCATGGTGCTTGGAGTAACCCTTCAAGGTACTGAGGGGTTCAGCTGACAACCCATTAACCTTGGAGACATGAGAGATTGTCAGGATAGTGAATGGCTCTAGCGCGCAAGGCTAACAGAGGCAAAGAACAGAAATGATAGCAGCATATTACCAGTCCAAACACATTTAATGTGGTGACAAGATAGGCAGAATAGTTTCGAATGAAGGGAGTAACAGAACAAATGAAGGCAAACAGAGATTATCAGGCAGATAAGAAAACAGGCCAAAGACAGCAGAGGACAGAATGACCAAGGATTAGCCAGGTCAGAAGCCGGTTCAACTACAATGACCAGCCACAACATTAAAATCTCCTGCCTAGGGGACGGGGCCTGACCGCCGAGCTGCATGGCCTCATGAAACAAGCGCTCCGTGCTAGACTCCCTAAAAAGAAATCCCGACACTTCTCACAGCCTCAAACACCACTAAACTACGAGGGAGAGCCGGCATTACCCTAGCACCCCTACTGGGAGGCTTTTGAGGACGGACCAGCTACTCCTGGTGGTGAAACCGCAGCTTCCAGTCAGAGGCGAGCACGGGAGAAACGGGAGACTCTCCCGGCTGCCTATCCTGCTGGCAAAAGCTGACGAAGTGGGAAACCCGTTCCCCCTCCAGCCAGTGGGGATCACCCCGGCAAGTAACAGCAATGTTTGGACTCTCACATTTGTCAGCCCCAGCTGCAAAAACACGGTCGTGCTACCGAGACCAAGATGGTGGCTGCTGACCTTACTGCTGAGGCAAGCGGGCTGCACACAACACTCAAATAGTGCCTGGATGGCCTGTTCAACAGATTTTGGCAGAAGCTGCTAAGCAGAACAAATTAAACGCTGCAGGAAAAAGCAGAGAATGGTAAAGCAGAGGAACTCACCTCCCGACCAGCAACTCCTCGTGGCAGGCAACAGACGGAAACCGCTGACACCGCTCAAGAGCAAGAGGCCGTCGAGGAAGAAGCTACGTCTTATTCAGTCCAAAGCCCGCAGCTGCCTTCCTGGGCCAAGGGCCCGGAGGGGAAAACCCGGATGCCTACCCAACCTACTCGGACGGTGCGACCACACACCACAACACCCCGAGATATCACTTGCGGTGCAGTGTGTGGCCGGAGCAAAAAAAGAAATCTCCTGCCCAATATTGTGTAGGTTTCTCTTGTGCTGACAAAACAGCTCTGATGTGTATAGGCATGGACTCCACAAGACCTCTGATCATGTCCTATGGTATGTGGCACCGTGAAATTAGTAGCAGATTCTTTAAATCCTACAAGTTGCGAGGTAGAGACTCCATGTATTGGATTTGTTATTCTAGCACATCTCATAAATTCTCAATAAGATTGAGATCTAGGAAATTTGGAGGCCAAAGCAACACCTTAAACTCTTTGTCATTTTACTCAAACCCTCCCTGAACAATGATAGCAGTGTGGCAGGGTGCATTATCTGGTTGAAAGAAGCCACTATCAAGGAACTCCATTGTCATGAAGGGCTGTAAGTGGTCTGTAACAAACTCCAGATAGTCATTCATGCACATGAATTTCAGGACCCAAGCAGAATGAAATGCTAATATAGATAGTCTGTATCAATAGTGTTACCTCAAACAACAGTAGTGTGGAAACAGAGCTATCTAAGGCCCTAATGGCTAAAACGTTAAGTACTCTGGTATCCTGGCTCCAGTCCCACACTACTGTTGTTTGAAGTAACACTATTGATACAGACTATCTATATTAACATTTCATTTGCAACTTTTGATGTTAATTTTTGTTTGCTGTTCTATACATATATATATATATATATATATATATATATATATATATCTACATTATATTTGTTTTCAGATTGAATGAATTCTGCATAAGGATATTGCTTATTTTTTTGCATTTGATCATATTTAAAAAAATTTTTGTATACAGTTGTGCTCAAAAGTTTGCATACCCTTGGAGAATTGGCAATATATATATATACAGTCAGGTCCATAAATATTTGGACATCGACACAATTCTAATCTTTTTGGCTCTATACACAACCACAATGGATTTGAATTGAAATGAACAAAATGTGATTTAACTGCAGACTTTCAGCTTTAATTTGAGGGTATTTACATCCAAATCAGGTCAACGGTGTAGGAATTACAACAGTTTGTATATGTGCCTCCCACTTTTCAAGGGACCAAAAGTAATGGGACAATTGGCTGCTCAGCTGTTCCATGGCCAGGTGTGTGTTATTCCCTCATTATCCCATTTACAAGGAGCAGATAAAAAGTCCAGAGTTCATTTCAAGTGTGCTATTTGCATTTGGAATCTGTTGCTGTCAACTCTCAATATAAGATCCAAAGAGCTGTCACTATCAGTGAAGCAAGCCATCATTAGGCTGAAAAAACAAAACAAACCCATCAGAGAGATAGCAAAAACATTAGGTGTGGCCAAATCAACTGTTTGGAACATCCTTAAAAAGAAAGAACACACCGGTGAGCTCAGCAACACCAAAAGACCCGGAAGACCACGGAAAACAACTGTGGTGGATGACCGAAGAATTCTTTCCCTGGTGAAGAAAACACCCTTCACAACAGTTGGCCAGATCAAGAACAATCTCCAGGAGGTAGGTGTATGTGTGTCAAAGTCAGCAAACAAAAGAAAACTTCACCAGAGTGAATACAGAGGGTTCAGCACAAGATGTACCCATTGGTGAGCCTCAAAAACAGGAAGGCCAGATTAGAGTTTGCCAAACAACATCTAAAAAAGCCTTCACAGTTCTGGAACAACATCCTACGGACAGATGAAACCAAGATCAACTTGTACCAGAGTGATGGGAAGAGAAGAGTATGGAGAAGGAAAGGAACTGCTCATGATCCAAAGCATACCACCTCATCGGTGAAGCATGGTGGTGGTAATGTCATGGCATGGGCATGTATGGCTGCCAATGGAACTGGTTCTCTTGTATTTATTGATGATGTGACTGCTGACAAAAGCAGCAGGATGAATTCTGAAGTGTTTTGGGCAATATTATCTGCTCATATTCAGCCAAATGCTTCAGAACTCATTGGACGGCGCTTCACAGTGCAGATGGACAATGACCCGAAGCATACTGCAAAAGCAACCAAAGAGTTTTTTAAGGGAAAGAAGTGGAATGTTATGCAATGGCCAAGTCAATCACCTGACCTGAATCCGATTGAGCATGCATTTCACTTGATGAAGACAAAACTGAAGGGAAAATGCCCCAAGAACAAGCAGGAACTGAAGACAGTTGCAGTAGAGGCCTGGCAGAGCATCACCAGGGATGAAACCCAATGTCTGGTGATGTTTATGCTTTCCAAACTTCAGGCTGTAATTGACTGCAAAGGATTTGCAACCATGTATTAAAAAGTGAAAGTTTGATTTATGACTGTTAATCTGTCCCATTACTTTTGGTCATTATTTATGGACCTGACTGTATATAAAAAAAAAAAAAATCCACAATATCCTTGCACACTGGCTCCAAAATAGTTAAATCGGGTTCTTGCAATCTGGGGAGATTACATTCTATTGGTATATATATGTACCATTTTTAAAGAAAACATGAGTGAGCAGGTAAAATGGTATTCATATTCAACTGTAGGTTATAACAGAACGGCACAATCATAAAACAAAACATGGCAACAGCCCTCCCATATAACGAGACCTAACCACTCACAGCAGCAAGAGCAAAACGAATACACCTCTAAACGCATAGAGCCAACATTTTTAATTATATAACATGTTACTTTATTCTTTGTTGTTTGATTATTGTTTATACTATATGTAACAATACAAAATGTTGACTGCATAAAAAGACCCCGAAATACCGCAGGAATGTGAAGCAAAATGTACCCAAACTATGATATACCTTAAGAGACACCCTGCCTCAATACGGCTTCTGCGCAAGCTCTGGTATACTGTACTGATGGTTTACTTCTATGTCAACACAAAAATAAAGATTTAAAAAAATAAATAAATAAATAAGAAAACCATGATATGACCCCTGTTCAAAAGTCTGCATGCCCTTAGTTCTTAATACTATGTATTGCCCCCTTTAGCATCAATTACAGTGTGCAGTCTTTTGTAATAGTTGTCTATGAAGCCAGTAATTCTTGCAGATGATATAGCTGCCCATTTGTCTTGGCAAAATGCCTCCAGGTCATGCAAAGTCTGTGGTCGTCTTACATTAACTGCATGTTTGAGATCTCCCCAGAGTGGTTCGATGATATTAGGTCAGGAGACTATGATGGCCGCTCAGGAACGGTTACCTTTTTCTGCTGTAACCACTGAAGGGTACAATTGGCCTTGTGCTTAGGTTCATTGTCATGCTGGGAAGTCCAAGAGCGTCCCATGCGCAGCCTTCGTGCAGAAGAATGCAAATTGTCTGCCAGTTTTTTCTGATAACATGATGCATTCTTGTTGCCATCAATTTTCACAAGATTCCCTGTGCCTTTAGAGCTCACACCCCCTCAAAACATCAGTGAACCACCACCATGCTTCACAGTGGGGAAGCTATACTTTTCACTATATGCCTTGTTGACCCATCTCCAAACAAAGCACTTATGATTGTGACCATAAAGCTCTATTTTGGTCTTGTCACTCCAAATTACAGTGTGCCAGAAGCAGGAAGGCATGTCAAGGTATTGTCAGGCATATTGTAACCTGGCTTTTTTTTGTGGCAATGGCGCAGTAAAGGCTTCTTTCTGGCAACTCAACCATGCAGATAATTTTTGTTCAAGTATCATCGTATTGTGCACTTTGAAACAACCACACCGTTTTTTTCTGCTTGTATTTCTCCTGAGCTTACCTGTGGGTTTTTCTTTGTATCCCAAACAATTCTTCTGGCAGTTGTGGCTGAAACTTTTCTTGGTCTACCTGACCTTGGCTTGATATCAAGAGATCCCTGTATTTTCTACTTCTTAATAAGTGATTAAACAGTACTGACTCTCATTTTTAAGACTTTGGATATCTTTTTATATCATTTTCCATCTTTATAATGTTCCATTACCTTGTTACGCAGGTCTTTTGACAGTTCTTTTCGGCTTCCCATGGCTCAGTATCTAGCCTGCTCAGTGCATCCATATGAGAGCTAACAAACTAATTGACTATTCATAAACAGACACTAATTGCAATGTAAAAAGCCACAGGTTTGGGAAATTACCCTTTAATTGCCATTTTAACCTGCGTGTGTGTCACCTTGTATGTCTGTAACAAGGCATGTTAATGTTTGATCAGGGCCATTTGGGTGATTTCATTTATCATAATGATTTAAAAAGGAGCCAAACAACGATGTAATAGTAAATGGCTTCATATGATCACTATCCTTCAATAAAATGATTTTTTTTTTGCATGATCAGTCATTTTTAAAATCAATGCCAAAATTTCACAATATCTGCCAGGGTATGCAAACTTTTGAGCAGAACTGTATATGGATCAATTAATAAAGTGTTATTTTATTTATGCTATTTGATGTGTAGTGGATATTCTTATTAATGGCTACTAGTTACGTTGACTACTAGGAGTTGTGGTTTATTGAACATTGCACCCACTGCATACAATTCCTGACTGTAATAAGAACAGACAGGACTTATACATAGTAACATTAAGTGATAACTTGTTAGACAGTCATCCCAGGCCAATTGCTTCCACATCAGCATCATCAAACAAGCGCACAAGTTAGCTTTATCTAAATACACCTCCTGTAGCATAATTGGGCCAGTAGTCCGTCCAGAGATAGTTCTAGGTGGTTAATGTGAATTATTTGCAAAATTGGCATCTGACAGCCAATGGCGACAGGCCATCCATTATCAAATTGTTTACTTGATGTCATATTACAAGTGGGAGTTATCGTTTTGTTTTTTAAAAGTGCTGAATATGTGGAATTTTTTTACCTCTTTCAGACCAAAGTTCAAAAAGTGACATTGCCACTTTTTTTAACATCAAATACAGGTCTGCATCAAAATGTATCATCGATGAGACACCGCTCACTCAGTCAAGTGCAAGCAACACAAACAACATGCATTTTTACAAGCAATGATCATTTTCCATACTACAATGTATCATATCAAAAATAATGAAATATGGAGACACAATAATTTGGTATTTTGACACGAAATTAATTTGCCTTTTTTGTATCCTTACGGATTTCTGTAAAGTTTAATGGTAAAATGATCTGCCCTGTAACATGAAGCAATAACACGCGACATGTAGCTCAACATGAATTCTTCTTTAAGCCTTTCTGTCTAGCATATAAAGTACAATAGTTCTAATAGCCGACAAGTGTGTTTCATTAGTACAGACAGTGTCTGGTAATGTGTGGGATGCCTGCAGATGCACAAGTCTGGAATGTTTATTGTCCCAGATGTTACATGCTTGCAGTATCTCTCCTGTCCCACTACCTCTACGGCACAACCTATACTCCCTAGAGGCACTTATAAAACAGGGGGGAGGGAGTAATTACAAGTATTCAATATTCTACTGAACTCCTGAAGATCGGCAGATTGAGATAGATAGGAGATAAAGGAGTTTACAAGCTTCTTTTGATTACATTTATAGATTTTAAATATTTATAATATAACATTACATGGTACATGCATGTTTCTATGCAATGGTATATAAATCTTTTTGAGCTACCTATAGAGAATGATTATTTATTTATATAGCAACAACCTATTCTGCAGTGTTTTAAAATATTATAAAAGGGGGAAATTAAGCAATAAATGAGACAGGTACAAACTGTTACAGGAACAATAAGTTGATGAGGACCCTGCTAAAAAAAAAAAAAAAAAGCCTGGAGTCTGGAGGAGGTGGGGTATAAAACACAATAGGAAGGGCATCAAGAGGTATAGCAACCAAATTACAAGGTGGATAGGTAGCAGAACTGGAAGGTGAGAGTAGAGTGTGGCACTCAGGGAGAGAGCAAGAGGCAGGTTTGTGAACTAGACGTTACTCTGGGAGGCCACAAGCATTTCTGAAGAAATGGGTTTTGAGGGACTTCTTACATTATTGAAGACTAGGGAAGAGTCTGATGGGGGTAGGCAAGAACAAGCTCCTTAGCAGCATGTTGCAGAATATTTTTAGGTGGAATTGTGGCAACAGACTGGACATGAGGCATACAGGTGAAGCCAGAACTGAACATCAAGACAGCGAGCTTGCAAGGACGGGCTGATGTGAGTGCCATTAACTTATTATCAACTTAGTATTATGAGAAGGAAAAATAAGAAGCTCGGGTAGAAAGATTGAGCTTCAGAAAAAGAGATTGAGCTTCGCTCCAATCAGAGATGGAAGAAAGGGAACAGGTGAACAGTTATAGGACAGCAGGGGAGATATCAGGGAAGAGGACAAATACCTCTGTGTCATTGGCATACAAGTGGTAGCGGAATCCAAAGGAATCAATTCGCTTGCCACAAGAGTCAGTATAAAGAGAAAACAAAAGATGAACAAGAACAGAGCCTTGCAGAACTCCAATTGAGGTGGGTTGATGGGAGGAGGTGTTATTAGAATAATGATTGAAAGATATAGGAGGAGAACCCAGAGAGGACAGTGTCCCAGAGACTGAGAGATTGAAAAGTTTGAAGGAGAATGACATGATCAACACAGTGTCAAAAGCAGTAGAGAGGACAAGAATAATTAGTGTATAGAGCAATGGCCTTTGGATTTAGCTGTGATTAGATTATTTGTTGCTTTAATAAGAGCAGTTTCTGTAGAGTGAAGGAGGTGGAAATCAGATTAAAGATGGTTGAGGGGAGAGTTGAAATTGAGCACACAAGTCAGACTGGTAAAGATAAGTCAATCTAGAAGTTTGAGGAAAAAGAGAGCAAGGATGTGGGACAATAGATGTAAAGGGAAGCTGTGTTAAGAGATGGCTTTTTTTAGGACAGGTACGACAGTGGCATGTTTAAGGGGAGCAGGGACAATGCCAGAAGAAAAGGCTGTTGAAGATATGCACTAATGACAGCACAAGACAAGAGGAGAAAGATCTGATAAAATGGGATGGGATGGGATTAAGCGGACAAGTGGTGGGGCGAGAGGAAATTAAAAAATAAAACAATCAGTATTTGAAATAAAAGTGCATGAAATAAAAACTAATTAAAAATAGATAATGGTTACAGAAACTATATTATGTACATTTTACTAGGGTCTCAAATTTGTATAGAGGAAACCATTGACCATATTGCAGCCATGCAGGACGCATCTTTTAAACATGTCCATATTTAAAGAATCTGTATTTTCACCTTGCCTACATAGAAACATTGCACAGATCAGCAGGTCTGAGAGAACTTTGTCAGATTACTAGGTATTCATGAAATGTATAAAAAATAATCTTGATGTAGGACTGACTAGTATTCCCATGCCAAGTAGCTTTTACATGAGTAAAAATTAACCCGTCACTGTAGAAATCCCCAAAAGTATTATGATGAATTCATTGATTTCAGTCTTGATCTTTTCCTGCACTAACTGAATGTACAAAGCATTGTCCCTACAAAACACATGGTGACCTAGTAACCACGCACTAAAACAGAGAGATCAGTTGTTAAGATAAGAAATAAAACAATTAGTACTCTAGGAAGCCGATTTGCATTAAATTCATGAACTTCAAATAAAGTGTGTGTTACATTATTTACTGCACTACTTCATTATTACACAATCAATTCTAACAGTTTCCTTTTTAAAAATGAAAATATTCACACAGGTTTGAGATGCTGTGTTATCTACTGGAAATTAAAACTTAAACTTGCTTTATCCTGTTTGTCAGATTACAATATGTATTATGGAGAATTCTGTTCTCTTACCTTCATATTACCATCTTCATAATCAAATCCTTGAAGAAGATGTAAAACAAACACAAATAAATTTGCCGCAATCCACGATCTTTTCATATTGACCCCAAATCTGTCCAATAATTAGGCGCTGGATAACGTGCAACTTAAAATGCCTATTTTAATGAACATGATGATTTAAAAAAAATAAAAAAATAAATAAAAGTCTTGGAGAAAGCTGCACAGTAATTACAGGAAAAGCTAATTGGTGTCCACAAATAGCACACTTGATATTCCAATTAGTTGGTCAACGATAGAACTCCACATGCAAGTCTCTGGCTTTAAAAAGAAAAAGTGTTCAAAGAGTTAAATTGACCAGCATTAACTAGAATTCTTCTTCAAGGAGAAATCTTTCAGAATGAATTGTCACAAAAAGCTACAGCACTATTTCCATAATGCAAGGGGGGAAAAAAATATATTTTTAGCAGGGAAAATGCAGCAATCCAAATCTGTATTGAAACTTTCTTCACAACCTTCAAGAAAGCATGTGTCTTAAATCCGATACAGACCTTGGCAGGGAAGTCAGACAAGTACTGGCTCCTCTCCCGTTCTGGTCCCTTTACAGATCACAACAACCAATAGCTTTGCAGTAATCAACTGAAAAGGTACTGCTTATTTCCATTCTACGAAAGAAGGGTACCTGAAACAAACCACTTTACACCAATATAATTAGTACAGAGATTCATCAGGCCATGAAGAACATTATGCATTAGTAAAAGTGTGTATTTATAAATATGTGATGATATGATCCTTCAGTTATTTAAGTTCACAGATGAAGTGGTATATTCAGTAAACTGGACTAAAAACCAGAAATATTGTAGGCCATAACAATTTAGTTTTAAAAATATCCAACGCGGATATAGTCACAATATTATTTTAGTCTTAATTTTGCAATTCGGTTTTGAAATTTATCACAGATCACAAGTTAGCATACAAGCACCTATATTTTCATTTCACATATTGCACATGTGTTGAGACACTGTGAATCGCGAGACCTGAATCTCGGTGCAGCACACAGACATACAAGTTTCTGGCTGCCTGAGGTTGATAGGAGTTACACTTCCGTACATATGCTGTAGTTGTCGTCAACAATTCACTCTTTATTAAAATATTCAGAGAGACGAGGGGAGCAAAATACACACATTGGAGAACGGCTATTAAAAAGGGTTTTGGTCTAAAAACAAACAAAAGCTAAACGTTGGAAAGTCACAATGATTTCTCTCTATTACATTCTAGTACCACTTTTTGATCACAACACTTTAACAAAACTCCCTCTTTGTCTATCTCTCAGCAGCACGTCACTGAATAAAAGGCATACCACAAAACTGGGGAAAAACAATCCCAATAAACAGAGGCCAGTTAAATTGCCACCCCTGCCCCACCACCCACAAAAAAAGTCAAGTAGGTTCTCATAGGGTGTCACTTCAGCCCCACCACCTATTTCCCACTTGTTATACTCCTTTTTTCCCAGTGCCTGTTCCCTCTCTTCCTTATCCAGTCATATCACCATCTTGACTTTCTTTTGTCAACTGCATGCTTGGCCTGTTTTTTAACCTCTTACATGCTGGTTGTTTAGGTGCATGTCCTTTTATTGCTGTGTACAATGTTTGCTCTGGCTAGGAGGGCACAATGGTGTGCCATCACCCCCACAAGCACAGTTATAAAGACCAGAGAACACCCTGGCCGCACACATGTAGATTCATGGTAAATTATTATATAGAGAGCTGTGCTTGGCCAAGTTAAGTTTAGTAATCTCGTGGAAAGTAACAGAGGCATAATACATATAACACATGTTCCCACTTTTTTTGAAAACCAGTTTTAATATGTAAAAAACTGAAATATAATAGCGCAATGAAAGCACAAAAAGTGTGAACATTTGAAAGGTTACAGCACATGATTAATGAAGAAACCAAAAGTTGCATTAACGTTTTTCAAGACCATGTAGCTTTTGAAAGACTTGCACATAGCCAGATTGATATATGACGGAAAAAAAAAAGCACCCAAATAAAAACTATATATATATATATATATTATATAGTATGTGCGTGCCTGTCTATCAGTAAAGCACTTGTAGATACTTAGGCCATAAGTAAATGCTATTGACATTGTAAATACAGATAGATATATACATATATCTGACAGAGACAGAGTATGCAAGAGACACACATGTAATAGAGCAGCATGTAGTATGGCAAATGAATGGCGTAGCATGTACTGTGGTTAATTATGGTTTACAAAAGTTAGAGGTTAAGTGATTTAGGAATATCTCCAGGATCCAAAGAAGGGATTTCTTTCCCCACTAATTTAGGTTAGTGTCATGTAGGTTTATACTTCATGATTGTTTTGAAGTTGGGGTAAGGGCTTGAAATTCTTTAATGTACGTGGGGTATGAGGATTGTAGGAGTTACACCTGTAGGCAGCAGCTGCTATATATGCGGTCTGTGTCACTCCAAAACTATAACGTACAAGAAAAAAAAAAAAACAGGATTGAATTGATTGAATTAAAGGGGGAGTTTCCTGGGACTGCACCTCCTACTAATCTTGGGAAGGCTATCACACCATGCATTTTTGTTTTTAATGCACAGTGTGCCATCACACAGCGTGCGTTACTGGTTAAGGAATAACACAGTACAAGTAACATGCCATCTCTGCCAACCACTCTGCTAAAAGGTTATTCTTTATCGGTTTCCAATCTTTGACTTCCATGTTCTAGCTTTTTCAAATCCATTTGTTGCCATGTTGTAATCTTTAATGGTTTTTGTAATCTCCTCTTTCGTGTTCATTACAAATGGACCTTGCAAATAAAACAAAAAGAGCATGATTTGCACAGTGTATATATGTATAGCATGCAAAAAATAAAAGACATTTAAAAAAAAAAAACCTTGATTTTTGTTTATTTTTTTTTGTTTTTTGGCATATTTATTTATGCATTAAAATTTAAATAAAATTAAAAATAAAATTACATCGTTTTTATTTTTTAAACTACCCAACAGCAGTATCAATATACTAACTAAAGGCACCTAAGGCCACTTCCTCTCAATTAAATGGTCCGGGTGCAGCAGTCTTTTAGTTTTAACCCTTTCCTAAGGGTTATTCACTTAAGTGAGAATTCAAGGTGAATTTCAACTTTAAGGCCGAATTAATTGGGAAAATTTTTTTGGGGGAAATGACTGGAAAAATTCTCTTAGTTATGATTTCAGTTTGGCTACTCTGGCTTAAAATTTAAAATTCATTGTCAATTCCCACTTTAGTGAATAACTGTATTTAAACATTGCTGTTTAGTTAATACCTCCTGACAGCCACTAGAGGTACTATAGTCAAACTCATTTCTCACAGCTAATCATTATTATATTGGAGGAGTGCAGTGCTCTTTTTGTTCCCAATGCTGCTCTATGACAAGCATTAGATTGGACAATTAGAATCGTTAAATTTGAGATTATTTTAGTCTTAATTTTGCAATTCGGTTTTGAGATTTACCACAGATCACAAGTTAGCGTATCAGCACTTCTATTTTCATATCACATATTGCACATGTGTTGCAACACTGTGAATCACAAGACCTGACTCTCGGTGCAGAACGCAGACATACAAGTTTCCGGCTGCCTGAGGTTGCTAGGAGTTACACTTCCATACACAAGCTGTGGTTGTCGTCAACAGTTCACTCTTAATTCATATATTTAGAGAGACGAGGGGAGCAAAATACACACATTGGAGAACGTCTATTAAAAAGTGTTTTGTTCTGAAAAGTAGTAAAAAAAATAAATAAAATAAGCTAAACGTTAGAAAGTCACAATGATTTCTCTCCTTTACATTCTAGTACCACTTTAATAAATCTCCCTCTTTGTCTATCTCTTAGCAGCACGTCACTGAACAAAAGGCATCCCATAAGGTTAGTCAGAACTGAAATGCTGGTACGTTTTTTCTGCACGAGAGATAAAACAACCCCTCACTGTGCCTAGAGGGGTATCAGGTACAGCTGATGAGGCCCAAAGAAGATCGAAACGATGGTCAGAGGTTGCTGTCCATCTTGGTCAGACAGAACTTGCTGGCATATTGGTTCTGAACTGCCCTTACGGGTGGGATCAGTCCAATGTGCAATGGTATAGGTTCACTCTGTAATGGCACAAGCGAGCTAAACATTTTGAGTCCTTTGTGGGGATGTACCGAAGGGCAAGCTGCTAATATTCTCTAAACTTTTTTCAGAGTTCTCATATTCTCTGTTTTTGTTATTATTGGTATTTATATAGCGCCAGCGTATTCCGCAGCGCTTTGTTGAAACACAGATCAATAAGCGTAGACTCTTGATGATCGAGGTTTCTTTAATTCTACAACAGTGGCTAAAGCCAACTTCCATATTAAACTGGTATATGGGATCTAGTAAGAATCCACTCTATTTAAGGGGAACTGTAGGCACATTTCATCTAAATGGATTTGTTATAAAGTGCCTGAATCTCTGTGTCACGGTCCTTCTATTCAGTGTTAAACCACTGGAGGTATGGCCAAGGCAGAGATCCCACTTTCTTCGAGCCATACGAATTCATAACAATAATGGGCATTGTGACAGGCTATAGGCGGTAAGCGGACATTCTCAGCCAATTACAGTCACCCATTGCTTCCTCATTAGCCCAATCAGCACAAGGAATTGTGAAAGCTGAGTGAGGGTTTTCGTTTAGCATTAAAACATTAAAATCGGTTTAACTCTGAATGGGAGGTTGGTGCTAGAAGACTTCAAACACTACTTTAAAGAGGTGGAGCAGTTAGTTTCTACAGTGTTCCTTTCACATTGGCCTGATTACCATGCATAATCGTAAATAGCAGCCACTAAGCATCATTACTAATAAAACTCATTACTACCAAAAACACCTACACTGATACTGACCACCACCTAGCTTTTACCGTTTTGAAACTTTGACCTACATCAAGAAAAATACATTATATTGTCTTTATTAATGATCTACTTTCTCCAAAAGTGACAAAAAAGATTGAAAAAGGCACAAAATCTTGAGGAAAAAGATGCAACATTTCTTACCGTGCTGGACAACAGGCTCGTTAATTGGTTTACCAGCAATTAAGACGAAATGACTTAATTCAGAGTCCTACAGCAGAGGAAAGAAACCAACGTAAGAAACGATTACTGCACCTAAACCTAAAAGGAATATCCTCCTTCCCTCCCCCAACAATATACCATACTCTGAAGAGGTTGTACAGAGCTTAAAGGAACGCTGACAATTTCTGTGATATCTTAATACAATCATTATATTAAGCCATCCCATTATTCTTTTTACTTTCTGAATATTGTAATTTTCGAAGAAGTAAACTGTGTGCTCTTTCACGCTGCAGCATTTTCTGTCAGATGACATTGAAAAGCAATGGATGGTTGCAAAATAATGAGCACTGGATTAAATAAAAGACAATCTGACAGATGTTAAAACTATTATGGATTTTGTGGGCGACAAGTGAAAAAAAAAGGTGTAAAACCCTTTCAAGTTGTTGTGTTAACAAATTAGGTATTTTAAAAACGTAATTGCGATTCCATTTCAAATGCTGAACTATAATGCAACTGCCTATGTGTTACATTACTTTGTTGTAACTTGTTTTATGGCTAGAACATAGCAGTTTAAGACCATCCATTTCAAGGGCGTTGGGGTCAGATACAAAGCTTTCTCTTGGGAACGGCATATGTGACAGAGCTATCTATGTAAAGATGTAATGAAAAGTGTAACTTGCGATATTACCTTGTTTTCAAAGTGGGCCTCATCACCATCATCCATCACTGCTGTATGGTGAGCCTCAATTTTTTGCTGGGCGTCCGGTGGCCCTGTTAATAAAATTAGAATTTTACATTAGAAATGTTATTACATGTGGACAACCATCAGTTGTATGAGGTTTGTTATTTCAGCACCCCTATTATTAGAGGTATGCTGACTAAACACCGAACTGCTGGCCTCCAAACTATACTAATTTTAAAGGGACAACCAGTATTTTAGGGTCTTGTCCCACAATCACGCTTTGTACCCTGGGGTCCTGCATTCAGGAACACCAAAGAACTGTCCCCAAGGAGCAGACGTGGTCACCCCAGAAATTCCCAACAGGGGATTTGAAACTGGGTACTTTGCGGTCCCGGGCCTGCTTTAATGCCTCTAAGCCACAGCCACTCCTATTCCTCTGAGTATGTCTCCAGCACTAGGGGGCTGGACTTTTCCTGTGACTCCTCCAGTCTCAGTCCACCTGAAGCAGATGCCAAATCAGCCAGGTATAAAACACTGCCTCTCTCTGAGGGAAGTGTCAGTTCATTGACTGGTTCCTGTATTTGTGTTCTTGATCCTGTGTTCTCCAGATGGCTCCTGACCTTGGTTTATCTTGACACCAAGCTTGAAACGGCCATTCATTTTGCAGGCGAACCCTCTGAATGTCCCCACCCATTTTAGCGGCATACTTAAATCAATACATCCCACTGCCATTTTGCACTCTTTTTTCGTTGCTGTATCATCCATTTTATAAAAACTCATTCCTTCTTCTCCCCTCCCATCTTCTACTCCACTAAGTTTAGCTGTCCACTATATTCCCATCTATGCACTCATACTGCGTTTGTTAAACTGTAGCTTGGATATATTGAACCAGTCTACAGACAAGGCAATCTCCTATGATCGCAGGTATTTTGTCCTGGACTCCTATACATGCCAGTGCTATGTATTGTATGATTTTTCCTTTAAAGTACTGTATTAAGTGACTCAGGCTTTTATATTTCATGCATACTAACACAAAGCAGCATTTTTTTTTTAATTTATGGATTTATTCCTTATTTTACCTATTCCCATGTTGATTGTCAATTTATCAAACTTAATAAAAATTCTTAGTAAAGTCATGATCCTTCTCAAAAAAAGTACAGAAAACTTACCGACATGTACAAAACCGGCCAATGTATAAATAAATGCAGTCCATCCTGCAATAAATAAATATTATTTAAATAAAGTTAGAAAATGCTGTATGCACTCACGTTATATATTATATACACACACATGGCTGCCATGATACATTTGGTCAACTATTGCACAACTTATGGCCTGGGCTCTAGTTACCCGCCCTCAAGTTTGCCCATGGGGAGTGGAGTGTATGTGTGTAGGGGATGTAGTGTGTTATGGAATGCAGTGTACAGAAGGAAGGTGTGTGTTTTAACCTCATCTCACAAGCCTCGGCACCATGTTGTACTTTATACAAGATATATTGGCATTTTAAAAACTAGACCGTGAATTGATGGCTGACATGTTTACTTTATCTTAGATCTCAGATTCATTTTCAAGGCGTCCGTTTAATAAATCTTCGAGTGAATATGACAAAATACTTAAATTCATTAAAGGAAGCACAGCCTGCTACAGCATGTAGGAGCTATCTGTGTATGATTAATGGTTAATAAGCAGGAGATAAGATTGAAAATGAAAAAAACATTTTCATGGAGGCTGTTCAAGTCACAGTCAGGGGAGGCATAAACAGAAATAAAGTGATTTAATTCCTAAATGGTAGACAATTGAACAGTGAAAGTGCAGGGACATGATCTATACCAGCATTTCCCAACTGATGTTCCACGTAACCCTAGGGTTCTACAAGAACAAAATTGAGGTTCTGCGGCGATTTGCCTGTCAGGTGGTCCAAGCATTTAGGGCCACCCGATGGGTATCGCTAAACAAGGGTCCTGTCAGGCACTGTGGGCGTCTAAGACCGCGACTGGATCCCTGTAGTAGTGACAACACTTCCTCCCAGACACAGCGTGTCGGCAGGAGGGAGAGAGAGAGAGCGAGCAGCGGAGAGTGATCAGTTGCCGACCTGACACACCATTCTCAGTCAGCATCACTGAAGCAAGTCACCCTCCTGAAGAAAAAAGGTAAGTGAACATGAGGGTGACTGCAAATATTAACATATATGTGTGTGTATATGTCGGTGTGTGTACCTGTGTCAGTGTGTGTACCTGCCACTGTGTGTGAATCTGTATCTGTGTGACTGTGTGTGTATATCTGTATGTTAATGTGTGTTTCTCTGTGTGTATGTGTCAGTGTATCTGTCAGTGTGTGTGTGTGTGTGTGTATGTATCTGTCAGTATGTGTATCTGTATCAGTGTTTCTGTCAGTGTGTGTATCTGTGTCTGTGTGTCAGATACATACACAAACACACACCGGCACATACAGATACACACAGGCACACCAGATACACACTGTGTGTCAAGGTGTGTGTATCTGTGTGCATGTGTCAGTGTGTGTATATCTGTCAAGTTGTGTATGTGCCAGCATGGTACTAAAATCTGTTTACCATCTGTAGAAAAAAAAAAATATATATATATATACACACACAATATATATATATATATATATATATATATATATATAAATATATAAATTTGCCAAAAAAGAAGACATTATGCTCTGCTAAATGTCAAAAGGTTCCACAGGAAAAAATAAATTTGGAACCCCTGATCTATACATTCAAACAGCTTCATTAAACGAAAATTGTTTTGGTGCTTAAAATATCCCTTTAAAGCGTATGAGTGTGATGGCAAGGGTGCATAATTCATTATTGCACTATGGAATATGGTCCTTTAATGTAATTTGTGTAGTGCATAGATGACCTGCCTGCCTGGTAGAGGTGACACTGTCAATGTCAAAATGTGTTAATTTGATTGTATGGAAGGTCAGAATATTTATAGCCTTAATTCCTCTTTGAAGCTGGGACCCCCACAGATGTCAGATGACAGAAGTGGTGTTGTAAATTGCATAGGAATGTGAAAAAGTTCAAATGAGTGACCATATGAATGGATCCTGTGATTAACCAAAGGCTTTGTAAGGTGTGAGATTCTACACTTGAAAAGCCTGAATGTCTGGCTTCAGCTTTATGGCCTATACCTCTTAATTGATGAGTCAATCTGTTTGATATGCTGAAGGGACACTATAGTCACCAGAACAACTACAGCTTATTGAATTTGTTCTGGTGAGTAGAATCATTACCTTCAGGCTTTTTGTTGTAAACATGGTCTTTTTCGAGAAAATGCAGTGTTTACATTACTGCCTAGTGATAACTCCACTGGCCACTCCTCAAATAGCTGCTAGAGATCCTTCCTGGGTCATGGCTGCCTAAAATGCATCCAAACATTCAGTATCTCCTCCCTCTGCATGCAGACACTGAACTTTCCTCATAGAGATGCACTGATTCAATTAATCTCTATGAGGAGATGCTGATTAGGCCAGGGCTGTGTTTGAATCATGCTGGCTCTGCCCCTGATCTGCCTCCTTGTCAGTCTCAGCCAATCCTATGGGGAAGCACTGTGATTGGATCAGGCTACCACTTCTGATGATGTCAGCAGACTGCTTGTGTTCTTTTGAGGCAAACAACATGCAGATCTACAGCTTCTGGCTTGAATACAGTAAAATTTTGCTATATTTATGGAGGCATGAGGGGCCCAGAGGGGCTAGATGGTGGTTTTAACACTATAGGGTCAGGAATACAGGTTTGTGTTCCTGACCCTATAATGATCCTTTAATGGCCATTAGCCTTGTTCCAGTATCATATCCAAAAGAAAAAAAAAACATTTGTTCTTCCCCACAGAATAAGTAAGCCTCATTTTTGTTATATTTGGAATGTGACAAGCGCCATCTTCTAAGCAAGCCCAAACATGATTGGCATAAATTAACCATAGGGGAAGGGATTGTGATGTCCACTATATTGGGTCACAAGTAAGGTGTGAGACATAGCTATGTTATGGAAAAAGATTAAATTTGTAGATCTTATTTCTGTGGCAAGTATATAAGAGAAGATAGAACCAAATGTTTCCATTTGGATTGATGTTGGTCTGGGGCACAAGGGGGTGGTCACTTATTGTCTATATATATATATATCTTAACTCTACCTCTTGGTGGTGGGAGCGTTAAAATAGTTATATTTATATTACTATGCTTAAGTGTGGGTGATCTTAAAGGGGATTTTATCATTATTTCCAGTTGAGTGCAGACAAATAGTGAATCCCTTTCTCCAACACAACTACGTCACGCACCCTCTTGAAGGAGGGTGCGTATGTGACAACGAGCACACTGGTTTAATGTGAGAAGGCTATCTAAAGTGCATGCACGTCCACTGCTTCATAGTATGACAGCTCCACCACTAACAGATCATAGAGCAAATGTAAGTATGTTCTATACTTACCTCATGTACTATTATCACCTATGGAACTGCAACAATGGCATTTCATGGGTTTAATGAAAATTTTACTGTTTCAACAACAAAACTAGCTCTGCTATATTATTTCACAACTGAGGGTTTTTGTTTTATTTGAAATAATGTGATAGAATGTGCGAGCAGTCCAAACTGTAAACAAGATGCCTAGATTTTCTCTCTGCAAAAACACAACTATCATACTCTAATCATAGTCTGCTATGAATTGTTCTGCAATTTCAATTTGTGAATAAAAAAAAAAAGTTGCAACAGAATAAACATGTGAAAATTGTGCAACACCGTATTCTTCACGTATATAAATCTCAAGGAGAACTTCACTTTTTTTTTTTTTTTTTAAAGGATTCTGTAATTGTCAAGGATAGATGTCATTCTGAGGGCAGATAGTTTAATCTGCATTCCATGGCATGTTTGCGTTCTTGGGAAGTAGTGCCAGGAACAGGAAATAATGGGAAGATTTTCCAAAGCAAAACACATGTGATTTTAAGCGCAAAGTGCTAAATGTTCAGATACAGTCTATGTTCATTGAGTGTCTCCTTTTCCATTGACATCTCCTCTCCTCGTTCAAGGCTTTGTTCTTGGTCCCCTTCTGTTCTCTAAATACTGCAAGCTCGCGGTCTTGGTGTTATATTTAATCCTGGTCTCACCTTTGCATCTCACATCCAGTCTGTTGCTAAAACCTGTCGATTCAACTTTAAAAAATTTTTCCCACATCCACCCTTTCTTACACAAGATGCTGCTAAGTTGCTTGTTCATGCTTTGGTAATTTCTTGCATTGATTACTGTAATTCTCTCCTAATTGGTCTCCCAAGAAGTCATACTGCCCCTCTACAATCTGTAATGAATGCTACCACCAGGCTGATCTTTCTCGCCTGTCCCTCCTCTCACATATGACCCCTCTGTGGATCCTTACACTGGCTTCCTGTATCATATAGTTGTCAATTCAAAACACTAACACTTATAAAACTCCTTGTTATATTTATTCACCGATTCGTGGGTATGCCCCATCTCGGTCTCTCCGTTCTGCGGGTGACCACATCCTATCCGCTGCTTGCACTCTTACTGCTAACTCACGCACGCAGGATTTCTCAAAGGCAACTCCTTTGCTTTGGAACAGTCTGCCTATCCTCATCAGCTCTTTTCCAGTCCTCAGTTGTTTAAGAAGTCCCTCAAAACCCATCTTTTCAGAAGTGCTTATGGCCTCCCAGAGTAACTTCTATTTCACAAATCTGTCTCTTGCTTTTTCCTAAAGGACCACACTCTACTCTCACCTCGAGTTCTGATACTTTTCCATCTTGTTGCTCTTCCTTTATACTCCACTCCTCTAGACTGTAAACTCGTCTGAGCAGGCTCCTTATCTACCTATTGTTTCTGTGTTATTTTGTAATTGTCTCATTTATTGTTAAATTTCCCCTTTCACAATATTGTAAAGTGCTGCAGAATAAGTTAATAATAATAATAATATTGGTTTCCACTGTATTTGCCTTTTATTTAGCACTTTGTCCCATAATAGCACTTGAGTTGCTATATGTCCCCTGATATCTGTGAAACAATATTGTTCATGTGTTAAATGAACACTGCAAGCACCAAAATAACTTCAGCTTAATGAAACATGTATGGTGTATATACTATGCATCTGCAGTCTCACTGCTAACTTCCCTGCCATTTAGGATTGAAATCACTTTGCTTAAGCCGCTCTACATTTTTTTAGCTTCCCTGATTGCACAGTGTTTAATCTAGAATGTACTATCTTCAGTTCTACTAATTACCTGCTAGAACATACAGTAACCTCCTGTATGTGTCTAAAGGGAAACTGTCACAGCTTAGCAGATCCTCTGCTCTCCCACTGCGATGTAATTAAAGAGATGGGTGTTACACTTCTGTAACAACATGACACTGAAACGCTGGCTTCATTGGCCATCATCCCGGCTTCTGAATGGAGTGACGTCATGTCATTCCGTTCCTAAACTCACTAGCTAGCGCTATCAGCACCGGCTACGGAGTTACTATAGTAACCACAGTGCATGCTCTGTGGTTGAGCTGGGTGGAGAGCAGAGGGACATCTCTTCTGCTCTGCCTGGCTCGCAATTGCTTGGCATTCAGTGTCTGAAAATTGCTAGCACAATGTATAGATAAAATGTTATGCTCATTTAAAAGAGCTAGATCAAATTTTTATCATGACAGGTCCCCTTTGAATTAACAAAGCAGGAGATACAAACTTCTAAAGTAAACACACTATGCTGCAAAAAGAAAGCATTTTTCATGGGAGTTGTGCAAGTTACAAGCTGGGGACATATGGCTAGGACTGCATAAACAAATTGATTTAACTACTAAAACCACCTCATAAAGCTAAACATTGTTTTGATGCTTAGAGTGTCTCTTTAAACACTACTTTTTTTAAGACAGCATGTAACATAAAATTACGGAATTAATTTAAATATCAGGCTTTTTTAAACCAGTAACCGTTTGCTGTGTCTTTGATCTTATATACCGATTATACACAGCGATGCCTGAAAAGAACTTCTGTATTCACCTAGATGGCTACCGCACTGTGTGGGACTGCATGCAGTCTTTTTGGAACAAGTAGAAGCAAACACATCTGTGCAAGACCGGTTATATCTGTAATTCCTTATCACCCAGGGGACCAACACAGTAGTACGAGTTCATAAAGAGTGCCAGTAAGTATATTTGCATACCAAATAACACTCTATATAAACATCTGCCTGCACATTCTACAGATGTAATTAAGAGGACTATGCAATGGATCCCATCACATTCGGAATGCCATAGTCACTTTAAATTATATGAAGGGTGCATGTTCACATTAAGGCTCAATTATGAAATTAGTTCTCCGTTTAAGTAGGATGGAAACTGCTGGCTTTTATGGGATATAGTACAGCCCCAGTTCACTAGTAATTAATGATCTTTGTTTGTGGGGGGGTTGTGTTCCAAGCTCTGCAATGTATCTGCACATATTGTACTACATGTAAATTGTATAAATGTTGACGTTAAAACAAGATCAGTCTGGCAGGCAGAATGCAGCAAAGGTTTCAGCTGCATATCTTCAGCCAAAATGAGAAATCCCTAGCCAGACAAACATGCATTCAGAGAGTCAACAAGCTAATTTACGGTTCTGTGGATAAGGTCCGTCATAAAGACATTAACCAAGCTCCAAGTAAATATGAGAGCATCTGTGTCAGAGCAGGTGGAACCCAAGCACGTCGATACAGCTGTTTGGCATGTCAAAGTGTTCCCTCCTGGCTGACAAAGAATTCTTCAGCACAGAGAGAAAAACAGATCAACAAGGCTTGGAAATATAGTACGCAGATTGGATTTCAATTTCTTTTTAAAATTTTTAATTTTTTAAATGAGGTTTGGAAAGATGACATAGAGCAGAAACAAGTTCACTTACAAAGATAGTATCACAAGTTGACAATCCTCCAAATAGACACAAATCAAGACAGAAAGAGGGTAAAAGTCCTTGCAAGTTTTATGTTGGGGTATCCACCCAAATCTTTTAATAAGTCAACTAAAATACACTGTGATACTTTAATGATTTTGGATTCTGGTCAGTTCAATTTAAAGCTTGGAAAGGTCCCCAAGTTATACATGGAGAACTTAAAAAGAAACCAAGGAGAAACTGGAAAACATATTGGTCACATGTCAAGGACTGGTTACTTAACAGTGCTCCCAATGGCTGCACATGGTAATCAATGCCTGTTTCAGGTGTGTCAGCATGTGTCAAGATATGCACTCACTATACTGAATGGCTTGCAAGCAAGTGCAATCACACATGCAAACACACACAAATTCCTGATGTTGGACCTTTCTCTGAGCCAGATCACCCTTTAAGAATCTGTTGTTCTTATATCACAAGGCCGGCCTGCTAGAAGCCTTCAATTTGGAAGGCTTATGATCTAAACCTGATGGTCGAGCAAGCTACTCTCCCAGTAACAATCAGTTTTGATTCTTCAGACAAACTTCCTCCCTTTAAGAGGTTCCCTTCAGTTTTTCTTCTCTTGTCCTCCACCCTAACTCCTAGGAACTATGTCTCCCTTCTACCTTCACTGGCAGTAGAGCAATAGTGTTCCTACCTTCCTCAAGAACAACTGATGAGTACTGCCCAGTAGATTAAACTCACACTGGAAGGCAAGTTTAGTCTATTGGGCAGTACTCCGAATGAAAAACGTACAGTGAAGAAATATATCTGCACACTGTTAAAACACTTTATAAACAGCAAGATTTTATTTTGATCAGTGCCTTACCTTTAGTCACTGGTTGAGAAAACTTGGTTCCTTTTTCCAACTTGAAGTCAAGATACAGGGTTGGAGTTCGAGTGTAAACTTTAGACTGCAATTTAATTAGACAATACACATCAAACGTTATAATGTGAATATAGAGAGTATAAACTCATTAGAGTGTAAGCTAACAAAAAAATCTGAATGGCAGGAATGAATGTCTACTTTTAATAGAACAGAGTCAGATCTACGACCATGCATCCTAATGCTACAGGTTATCTTTCAGACATAAAATTATTTTAACCAAGTGCTGCCACAAAAAATTAAATTGTGGAATTTGCAGCTTAGGGAATCAGAGATAGTGATGCACTAAAATAAAAATGAACCACTTCTTAATGTGCAATTTGCAAGGGTACATTTAAGTCAGACTATCTTCATTATATAGGAATTCACGTCAATAAAGCTCATACAAAAATGATGTGATCATGCTTTAAAATGTAATCTGAAATTCTTATCTGGCCACGTAAGGGATACACGGTTTTTATGTGCAACATTTTGCTAGGGAAACCAATTCTTGTTGACACAACAAACAAAGCTGTGTTTCATTGCGTAAAGTCTAGAAGTCTGTTACAGACTAAAGAATAGGTTCGTCAAATCAAGATGTACTCATTTTGTCAAATATACATTAAATGTAGGCCACTTTAGCTGATCTGGAAAATTCTTTGGATCAGCTAGAGTTATAGCCTATTTCAACACGAATTGCTGATTTTAGTTTTCCCTTCGCCATAATTCACTCTTACGTAGCACATGTATCTGACAGCTGGTGGGAATATTAATATCCTTTCTTTTTTACTAGCTCTAAAATTGTTGATATCTGTAGCTCATGGCTTCCCTTTAAAGAACCACTCTAGGCACCCAGACCACTTCAGCTAAATGAAGTGGTCTGGGTGCCAGGTCCAGCTAGGGTTAACCCATTTTTTCATAAACATAGCAGTTTCAGAGAAACTGCTATGTTTGTGAATGGGTTAAGCCTTCCCCTATTTCCTCTAGCGGCTGTCTCATTGACAGGCGCTAGAGGCGCTTGCGTGATTCTCACTGTGGAAAATCACAGTGAGAGCACGCAAGCGTCCATAGGAAAGCATTATGAATGCTTTCATTTGTGACCGGCTGAATGCACGCGCAGCTCTTACCGCGCGTGCGCATTCAGCCGCATGGGAGGAGAAGAGGAGGATCGGAGGAGGAGAGCTCCCCGCCCAGCGCTGGAAAAAGGTAAGTTTTTACCCCTTTCCCCTTTTCAGAGCCGGGCGGGAGGGGGACCCTGAGGGTGGGGGCACCCTCAGGGCACTATAGTGCCAGGAAAACGAGTATGTTTTCCTGACACTATAGTGGTCCTTTAACAAAAAATGCATCACAGTTACTTTACCAAAGAACAAAAAATGTTCACCTTAATACCCATTGACTCTCCAGAAATGACTGAGACAGTAACTCCATTTTTCGATGGTTTCGGGATGTCAGCGTTTTTCAGTTCTTGATACTCCGGTACAATCATTTTTTCAGAACTTCTCAAGTTGACCCAAAGTTGCAATCCATGCGCAGGTTCATCTGTGCAGGGCATCTCAGCATGAACTATTCCCCTTCCTGCAGTCATCCACTAAAAGCAATTTTAATCAAACTGTGATTAACATGCTCTGTTGACACAAGGATGACTTGACAAGTTAAAATACATAAAAAGGTTCTAAAATAGGATTGGCCTTTCAATTGCTGTTGGACTATACTTTATAGAATTCTGGTGTTTGTAGTCCAATATAAAATGGAGAACCAAGTTTGGACACCCCTGTCTAAAATTAATATTTTGTAACTTCACTACCTGTACCTGCCTCAGGTTTGAAAAATATTTTCTCCAAAGAAACTCTTCTTACCTGTCTCCAAACACAGCAATCTGACGGATTGTTTTACTATTGTACATGATATGTTAAAACAAGAAGAAGAAAAAAAAAAAAATTCTGGATATTTAATTGTACTTCAAATCAATACGTGATTAATGATACATTTAATGGCAGCATTTACAATGACTAAGCATTAATTTAATAGTGTTTTGGATGGCAAATACTTACACATGCCAAGTATCCACCCTTTTAAACCATAAATAAAACTTTTACTGCAACAAAGCTGCATTAATGGAATAAATTAAGACACATGCACGTTCAAAGTGTGTTGTACAGAAGATGCCATTGGAATCTGTGCTGGAATTCCATGAGTTTATATATAGTATAATTTAACCATCACCACAATTAATATAATCAAGTGATCGTGTAGTCACAACCTTCTTGTATTATTGGTTACCTGCAGGTCTCCGGGGTCCAATTGTCCAACATGACCACAAAAGTCTTCATGTGCCATTGATCCTCCATCCAATAAGTAGGACACCTGCAATACAATATTAAAGAATGTTTTTTTCGCAACTCTGTAAATTAATATGTATTGTCACAATAAGTAGTTCCTGGAAACACCTCGACATGATATGTACATTGTAACATTTGGGAAGATTGGTTGACAGTGGCCATTAAGGGATGCCCCTTGGTCAGTAGCAATAAATCAGATACATTGTGATATTTAAACAGTGGTCTGTTGGTTTTAAGAGGTCCAAGTTGTGTATCCATGTAGTCATGTTATTTACAATAAAATTCTGACCCCCAACATTAGTGTGTCATAGGAGAACTCCGTTTATGACACATCAGGCAACATTTTTAAATGTTTTCTTATACAATTCTCTCTAAACTCGAGAGTTCGTGGGTAGTGAAAATTTCAAGGGATCAGCAATTTCTGGTGCCCAAACCTTCACATCTAGCACCAAATTCATTTCACTGTCAAAGTCACTTATATCACATGAACCTTTATTGTCTGTAAATAAGTTTGGAAGATTTCTTAATCTTCAATGCCAGAAGAAACCAGGACACCTCAGTACGGCCAAACTTGGATAGTTCCACAAAAACCACAGTCGGTAGATTCAGGTTTACCAGACTGTATATAATCTGATTTAATAAAAAAGTTTCCAAGGAATTTAAATAAATTAAGATGCATTCATGACAAAATATATATCAGAATAAAATCAATATTGAATGGACTCCTACAGAGAGAATATTGAAACAATAGCGTGTTTTTTATTTTCCCATTGTAAAATAGACATGGTATAGAAGGTTTGTCACAGAAACTTGCTTCACCGTTGTAATGTTTTCTTAAAGGACCACTATAGTGCCAGGAAAACATACTCGTTTTCCTGGCACTATAGTGCCCTGAGGGTGCCCCCACCCTCAGGGACCCCCTCCCGCCCGGCTCTGGAAGGGTGAAAGGGGTTTAAACTTACCTTTTTCCAGCGCTGGGCGGAGAGCTCTCCTCCTTCTCTTCTTCTTCATTTACAGTGAGATGCACGCAAGCGCCTCTAGAGGCTGTCAATGAGACAGCCACTAGAGGCTTTGGGGGAAGGCTTAACCCATTAATAAACATAGCAGTTTCTCTGAAACTGCTATGTTTATTAAAAAATGGGTTAATCCTAGCTGGACCTGGCACCCAGACCACTTCATTAAGCTGAAGTGGTCTGGGTGCCTAGAGTGGTCCTTTAACTGGAAGATGTTTGGCTCAATAGGCATCATTTTCTAACAAACAGATACTATTGTGCTGAACACATAGGCATGAAATAGAAGATTATACATTATAGAATATACTGTATAATAATAAAAACACACACAAAAAAGTGCTCATTGGTGCTGGAACTACATCTGAAGTAAGAAGCCAGACTCATGTGCACACGGTCTAGAACAGTGGTTCCAAAACCAGTCCAGCCACACTGGAAACCATCACAATGTGTCAACAATGAATAAATTAAATATACGTCCACGCACACAGGAGCAAGCAGGTGCTCAGATAGGTAGACAGAAAAATATCAGACTGTAATAGTGATTACAAGGACACATACACAGCACATTACATGCAATGGAAGGAGAGCCAGTAGCAATGACTTCTTAAAACATACATAATGTCAGGGCAACTTGCCGGTGTACAGCAACATGACACGACGTAATGTTATAGGCAGAACAAAGTTTCACAAGAACATAAATTGCAACAAGATGGATCGAGGAGAGGAATCGTGTGGTACCCAGGTGTAAAATATTAACTCTAAGGTATAACGTTACAAGCTACTCATCATTTCACTATCTGGGGCTTCCTTGTGTGAATGAGGTCAAGTTTTAAAAACAATTTCTCATTCATCTGATTTACTGACACTCAGGCTTTGAGTCTGGTCATAAAACAATTTTAGATTAATCAAGATTACTTGTTAAAGACAGCCTCTGCGGCTGAACATGTATAAGACACATCACAGTATGATGAAATGCCACTAGAATTACACTCATCTACTGCTAGATAGAAGCCTGACTTTTATTTTTTACTGGAATTAATTTGTATTTATTGTTGAAAGGGTTAGTCACAACATGGCCACTTCTGCATATAAGAAGTGACCTTGGTGCAAGCAATCTGCATGTGTAGAATTTCAGCTTGCAATGCTGTTTATACAGAGTTCTTAGTGAATTTGTTCCAGAATGTGGTTAAACCTTTGCCACATATGGCCTAGATAGGTTGGAACTCTGTTCTGGATTAGCGAATGTCAGTTCTGTCTACACAGTACATGCCGGCAACGAATGTAATAAGCATCTTCTCTTGCGTGCAGGGGTGTGAGTGCCCCTGCAAGGAGACTGTGCTTGCAATCCAAATGACTGGCTCTTTCTTAAAGTACCACTATAGGCACCCAGACCACTTTAGCTCAATGAAGTGGTCTGCGTGCCAGGTACCTCTAATTTTAACCCTGCAGCTGAAAACATAGCAGTTTCAGAGAAGTTAAAGCAGCAAACGTTTCGAGCAGCAGCCCTTTCTCAATGCTTAAGCATTGAGAAAGGGCTGCTGCTCGAAACGTTTGCTGCTTTAACTTTGTCCTCAAATAAACTGTGGTAGCATCTGGGTGTGCACACCTATACTGGATGCGCAGGACTCGTTTGTTTTTTGGTCTCTAATAATATTGTAAATTGCTACGGAATCTGTTGGCGCTATATAAATGGTAATAATAATAATAATAATAATGTCACTTATTCCCACTCAAAATAAGCCAAAAACCATTACACTGAATCCAGTACTGGGCCAAATTGTCCAAGAACGTTTTCATGTCTTTTCCGACGTCACGTTGTGTAAACAGATGCCTAGCCATGATCCAAACAAGAGCACTGTTGGACCTTGGGCACATGCGTGGCGAGTGCCACAACTCTCCAATCAGCTTCTTCTGATAGTTTCTCCAATGAAGCCAATATTTCTCTGCCAGAAGCACTGAACGCTACATTGCGCATACATGCGGTGTCTGCATTTTTGAGCAGTAAGATGAGCTGAGTGACAGCTCATCTCAACCACAGCCTGCTCACCTCCCAATCCAAGCGCAGAGGAGGGGGAAGGACAGAGGGATACAAAGAGGGTAGGAGATGGACAAGGGGAGGGGAAGAAGCAGTTCTGAAAATATAACATAGGGAGGCAGGGAGGGCTGGCATAGCAGAGGTTCTCTGAGGAAGTGTCTTTGAGGAACAAAACATGTAAGTATCTAACTCACTTTGTGCCTCCCCTCCGTGCACCATTGGTTTGTTCTTTTTGTAATTACAAGTTGGATGAAACGGTCTATTCCTTAAATAGGTTATTGCTTTGTACCGTCCCACCATCGAGATCTTGACTACAGTATTGCTATTATCGTATAGTCTAGCAGTCCAGCACTGTCAGCAATCTGGTTGAGAGGTCTCAACCAGGCTATGACATAACTCTGCACGCAGATAGTGCCAATACAATCCTGACAGATTCTGTTCACTAACTCGATTACCAGGTATGAAGTCAGCTCTGTGAACAGGTAAAAGGAATCTCGGAGACTGCAATAAACCTCCACAACTTTTACTAAAGACTGCACATGCTGGTGATTTTTTATAAATTTACAGGTTTTTTAAAATATAGTGTAATTATCTGAGGCACACAAAGTCTAAATTTGAAATATATTACATAATAATATTGTGTCCAAACATCTGCAGAATATATCAACATTTGTATTAACTTGAGACAGAACCTCAGAGGACCATTAACAAATAAAAAACTGTCTGAGCTGGAATTTTCAGTAGACTCCTCAGAAATGACACCATTATACTGAGTGGGTCTCAGACTAAAACCCCAAGTAATTTCTTCTGTATAAAAATATTACTGGTGATATTTATCTAAAAAAAAATTTTTTTTAAATATCAAAAGACAATTACTCAGTTCGGCAAAAAAGAAATAACATGAATCTATAAAAGCTCTATAATGTCACTAACATTTAAGGCAAAAAAAACAGCCTTATTTTAAAATTCTACAACTCTCACATTTATGTAAAATTCCATAGCACAAACTAAAGGAAGCAGTAACGTTAGGGTTCCAAATTTAAATACATTCAAGCGCAACCACATAAAATATGGATAGTATATACAAGAAAACAGTGCCCTCTAGTGAATTAATTACTTATTGCTCGGTGAACAAATCTTGACAGTTGGAGTCACAAATTTACCAATACTTTTAAGCAGAATGGATTGACCAGAAAGAGTAATGGGGAGAGGACTTATTAAAAATTGATACATTTCTATTTTTTGTAACATATATTCAAAAATAAAATATACAATTCTAAAATAAAATGTAATACGTCGACAAGTATTGCTAAATAGCCCAAGAAGGCTAAAATCAGCCAATAAAACTGCACAAATAACAGAGGTGTATTATAAATTTACGTGGAAATTAATGCTTGCGTTTGGCAAAAGATTATCCCAGTCATATAGAACTTTATCAACAGGAATCATCTCTGCATTGATCGTATCCAAACAGTATTAACAAGTATCCACAAAAACTAAATATACAAATCATGATATGTGCACGACTGAACCCTCTTGTCTTTCATAAGGTCTTTTGGTGGATGAAACATGACATTTTTAGAACACACGGATTTTAAAACAGGGTTCTAGTGCAGTTTAAACGTATGGAAGTTCCACCCCCCTACTATATTTACAAAGAGAATGGAGTTCCCATACATCTTTACTATGAACTATACTGCTTACAGTATAGAAACATTCGTACAAAGCATTGGACATTTTAAAACTTGAGAAAAGCTAAATTATTATTTTTTTCTTATGGAGATTTTACATTTAGGGTGCTCTCTATATAATCCTATGCTTTTCCCATCACATGAGGCAGACATCATTTTAACAAAACATGCTATTTTTTTCCTTCAATGAGATAGAAGTTATGAAAGCTTCATATTTTTACGTATGTCAAATATCATGCTGGGTACAGCTAAAACATCCAAGGGTGAGCCAGTGTGGAGGAGCAATTGTGAAACCGGGAGAGGTGATTTTTATCTTTAATATGTAAAGGGGGCAGTAATCCAAAAGCAAGAAACACTGTATCATTATTAATATATATTCAACATTTTAGAGTGTTCCTCTAAGGACTGGCTCAGTCTGTACATTGAACATTATGCCAGGCAACAGTGCAGGGGTCCATAATTATGAGGGTATCAGAACACCCTAGAATGCACATTAAGGCATTTTAACACCAGGTTTGAGGTGGAGTGAATGGTTAAGAGTGGGATGACGTCACTTACTTAATGGATGGGAAGGGTAGGAAACCCAAGGAGTTTTCATAAGTATTTGTTTAAGGCTTAAAATAAAATAATCCTGTGTGTCTTGGGAACACATGTAATGCCATATAATTACTAGACCTTATATTTAAAACATATGGAACACAGCATTATTAATAGCAGTTATCACAAGTGTGGACTCGTTGCCAATAGAAGAGATAACTTCTTCAGAAATGTCCAAATAGTGGAATATTTCATGTTATTCTGTTATACGGTTCTTCCCTGTTCTATTAGAAATGTTGAGCAAGTTGCTGGATATAGATTATAGGGCCTATGGAATAAGCACGCGGCTCACATTATACAAGAGCCTTCCAAAGAAGCGGTTATGAAGCCAGGAAAAAGGTGAAGAAAACATTGGTCTGTAATCATATTGTATGCTGGGATACTGTAATTGCATTTCAGGACAGAGAATCATAATTAGTTATACGGAGTGCTGAGTTAATGGACATGGATTTGTGGTGCATTTGTCTATATTATATATTTACAAGTATACAACTTAATTTATAACAATGGTTGCAAAATAGTGCTCATACAGGGTACTGTGTGATAAAACAACCTTCAACGATTGTTGTGCATTTGTAAAGAAGCAAGTCAATTATTTTTTCAGAGAAGCAGGTAGAACGCGGCTAATTACCACGATTAGAATTTCATTACTTAATTATTAAAGCTTTTTCTTTGTTTACTTTTAAATTAATGCAAAAAAAGTATGAAAAAAAACTGGGGGTGAGGTGTGTGTTTTGTTGTTGTTTGTTTAAGGAATAAAACAATTGATCTTATTCATATGTATGCAACTAGAATTTGCAGCAGCTATAATAATCGTGTTACTGTAAATGTTTTCAATTCCTTTACAGGAATTAGTACAGAGACAAGAACAGGGGCTGGAAATATCTTCAGATAAATCAAATAAAAGATCTGATAACACAAGACCAGCAAAGTTTTCAAATATATGCATAAATGAGCACAGATGTATTAAAGATAATGACAGAGCTACCCATTAATGTGTTCCCAGAATCAAAATAAGAGCAAAAACAGCTGGCTATATTACAGAATACAAATAAAGCAGAGTATTTAAGTGCACCGACAGATCTTTGCAATATCTGTAAAGCATTCTACATTAAAGCAAGTCATTACAAAAAAGTAGACGTTAAGACATGTGCAATCCCACATAAGGGTACCAAATTAGGTAACTGTCTGGTAAACACCAACATAATTTACTATCCTTAACATGGGCAATCCCACATAAGGGCACCATGCTAGGGAGCAATCTACTAAACAGTAGCCTAATTTGGTATGCTAAATAGAGCAATCCCACATAAGGGTACCAATTCAGGGAGCTATCTGCTAAATAACACCTTAATTTGGTATTGTTAAAAAGATGATTGAATCAGTAGATATTGATGATTTATTTTATTTCAATATCATCAGGCTAGTTCATTTAAAGGGTAGGTAACACTAGCCATTTTGCACTATAGGTATTTTATTTTTATTTTATTTTTTTAATCAACAAAGCTTGACTAAATGTAAAAAGTTTTGCTGAATCTGCAAAACAGGACCACTCAAATAGGAATTGCCCAAAACAGATTAGTAGGTTATCCAAGCTTAGCTTCTCAAACAACGTTTAGCTATTACCAAGGAAAATCTTCTGTGCACCTATCAGGCTGGTTTAACCACTTTTTTGCATGATAGGATTTCATATTTAACCTTCTTACAGTGGAATCCAGCAGAGGGCACCAGAAGATTGAGAAAGATTTCCTCCTCAGCATCATCTACATTAGCAGGATCTGTGTATCCCCCCACCCCCCCCACACATTTATTTATTCAAGTATCGTGTTTAGAATGATTTTGGGGTTATTTGCATATATTATATAAAAATCGCAAAGTCAAAATGATAACATATGTATTGTATGCTAAAGGAGGCAACAAACTGGGTAATGCACCGGCCAGACGCCAGAACCAAATTCGACATATATTAGCTAACTGATAATGAAAAGCTTAGCCCTATACAAATATAGCAGGGGTGTGCTCTACATCAGGAAAGGGAATACAGTCTGATAATGACATGCCACATGTAGTTTTTGTTGTTATATCCAGTTATTTTGTCTTTGTCTCGAAGCATATGTTTAATTTTCTCATATAATGGAAAAGCTTTATAAGAATATTAAACACAAAATAAAAAAAATAAAAAAATAAAAAAAAAGACTAAAAAAAAAGAGAATACGCTCACACTGTGCTGAGGGCACTTAAGCAGTGCTCTCTGTGTGGTTTTGTAGGTTAGGGAATGGCCAGGGGGGTCTGTGTGCTTGATGCTGGACATTATGGGTGCTATCAGTGACACAAGTTGCATCACTGAGGACACTTGAATGCTCACCCACCTCTCCCATTCCATGCCTCTCAAAGTTTGTAAATATGGACATGGGATCCAGAAGGACTCTCAGGTTTTCAAAACTTAAAAAAAAAAAGGTTGATCACAAAACTGGGGGATAGCATGCACAGCTCCTAAGCGTTATAACCACTTCAAGATGCTGCAGGTGTGATGGTATTTTTGGCAGGTATCGAGTAATCAAAACACTTCAATGGCTCCAAAATACCCAACTAAAATCTGCGAATCAACGCTTATTGCACATTTCTGTAGGGAATTCTTACTGTTAGAACAAGGCTAGAAAAGCTGACGGCATTTACAGCACTTAATAGTCTGGAAGGGAGTGGACTGCCTCTGAGTCTGTCAGAGGAGATTTTTGGTCTATACAGTATCACACGGAATCAATGGCAAAGCTTGAATTGACTGCAATCAAGTGAAACAGTACAGAGATAGCCTGATGGATATGAAAAGATCCTTCACAGGTTCAGTATAACTTTATTAATAATAATAAAAAATAATTTAAAAAAGCCGATAGGTAGTTGTGCACAATCAAGTTAATTATTGTTTTAGACAAGAAAGTAAAACTGGAAGCTAGAACTACATTTTCAAAACGACAATTTAAGGTCAAATTTTTGGCAAGCTGTACTTACATGGAACTTAAACCAATTTTATATGTTTATGAGAAGACATATATAGTAGGATTAATGGGAACTTTGTCAGTACAACAAGTATCTTTGCGGCCCACTGAGAAATTTACAGGTAGGCCAACTGCCCTGGGGCCTCTTTGTGCTTTGGCCTTCCTGCAGGCTGCGGACGATCACATGCTCCTGCGACGGTTGGCGGCCGCAAGAGGGCAAAACATTCTTCCATGTTGGCCACCAGATATGCGCATACAGTGTATAGAATCATATCTGGCGGCGGAGTGAGCAGAATGTCTGACTGCGTGCAGAGCAGGCCAGCCACTCCCCCTTCCCTACTGCTTACTGTGCCGGAATATCGTGTGGCCTGCTTAAGCACAGAAGATCGTGGAGGGCTGGATTGGAAAACGGCTTCAGGTAAGGGAAGAGGTGCTTGGGGGAACCTCCCTGTAGTGTATTAAATTGGGGGGCTGCTGTGTATTAGAGTGGTGGGAGGGGGGAGCAGTGTACCAAATTGGGGGGAGGGAGGTGGGGCAGTGTATTTGTGGTGGTTGGAGGGGAGCAGTGTATTAAATTGGGGGGAGGGCAGTGAATTAAATTGGGAGGAGGGAGGTGGGGCAGTGTATTAGAGTGCAGAGGCAGTGTATTAAATTGGGGGGGGAGAGAGGGAGCTGTGTATTAGTCGCAGGGGAGGGGGAGTGTGTTAAATTGGTGGAAGGGGAGCAGGGTGTTAAATGCGGGAGGGAAGGGGCTGTGTATTAGAATGGTGGGAGGGAGGAGGCAGTGTATTAGAGTGGTGGGAGGGAGGAGGCAGTGTATTAGGAGGGAGGGGAGGCGAGGCAGGGTAGTGTATTTGATTGGGGGGCATAGTAAGTAACATGAAGTGAAGCATTTGAGTAAGAAAAAAAAAATGTATATATATATACACACACATATATATATATATATATATATATATATATATACATATACACACACACACAGGATTACATATTGTTTGCATGAGAATGAGATTAAGTATTTTTAGTTTCTGTTGGTCTAGGTCAAACTCTGTTTTTTGGCCCACATAAACTTAAACCTTGTTTATTTTGCCAGTATTAGCCTCTGAGTTTGACATGCTTGCAGTACACCCTTAGAGCATAGTAATTAAAAAAAGATTGTACCAAGCCTAAATCTGCTCAAGGAAAAAACAAAAAAACAAAACAAAAAAAAAACTATAATTTGTTGTTATGCAACAACATATCATTTGGTGGAGATGAATGTGAAATGCCAAGAACATAATTTTTCTAACAAAGCTTTTAAATGTAACCATAACAAAAAATGAACGATAATACCATAAGCCGAGAGATACTGCATATCTCCCAACATTCCAAATAGAGAAAGAAGAGCACTAATTTTAGGGTTATGAGTGGGAGTGTGGTTGCAGGGCTGCAATAAGAAATTTTAGGTAACTTACTAATAACAATTTGTGCAACCAAAAAATTTAATACAAGATCAATGTATCCTATTTACACAGACTGATTTCTAAACACTTATATTGTAATTAAAAGACACATTACTGTGAGTATTATTGCTATGGAGCTCTGGTATGAACTCAGATACACCAAGAATACGGAATTATTAAAATTGGGCATGGAGATTTTTTTTCTAAAAATCTGAACACTTACGAGGTATGGCACACCACCGTTTATCTTTGTAAGGCATTATTTTACTCTTGACACAGGCACTGATAGCGGCAAGCTATAGGGGCTGAAGCACTGAATCTTTTCTAGTAAAGCGCTGGATCACCTCCACTTTTAAGAATCTTATTTACATTTTTTACATTTAGCTGATTGCAAGGCCTCACAAAGCCCTCCTGAACTAGCCAGACCACTCGGGTCCACATTTATTTCTGATATTGGCTAACCACTTTGAGCCCACTTTCATTTCCGATACAACATGAATGGCCACAAACTCTAAGGGTACTATCTCTTGACCACAAAAAGGTGTCCCCAGAGCACTGCTGTGGACCATCACTGTCCTAAATAGCCAGTCCTCTGTTATACTGACCTACCCCCAATGCTGGGATACCACTATAGTACGCAAGGGTTATTTTATGCTGCCTCCCAACACTGGGATGGTATGAACTCGGTACAAGCCCAAGAGCATGGGCAGATTATGAAGTGAAAAGGGGCAGATACGATCAAGAAGGATGTGGGTTTCCTGAAGAGAGAGTGGGTGAGAGTGGGGTACATGCACAGTGAGCTGTCTTACAACAGACCTGGCCAGCCCCACTAAGGGCTTCTGAATTGCTCTGCCCATGGACGCATTGCTCTGACAGCAATCTGAGCAGTGTGCGCACATTTAACGGTGTGCTTGTGCTGCGCTTGCTGGGAACATTTTCCTGAATTAACAAGAAGTGGGACATCAAGGAAAAAAAAATCTTAAATGTGTGCGTGGAGGTGTGAAGGTGAGACTGTAGTATGCTGAAACAGATTGATGGAATGAATTTATGCACACATTATTGCACTTTTCAAAGCAACACGATGCTTACCGTTTCAAATCCTCTGTGAGGGTGGTCTGGGAATCCCGCAGGCTTCCCACCTTTAAATTCATCCAGCATCAAAAATGGATCCAAATTTGTCAACTAAAAACAGAATTATACATATAATTAGCATTTCAAAATACAGAACATGGGAATTTACAGTGCATGCCCTCTTTAGCTCCTTTGTCTGGCCTGCTCCAGCGTGGCCCAGTCTAATGCTCCTCGTAGAGAAACATTGGGGACCTGATGTGCATGTGAGGCAGGTCGCTGCCTCGGAGTTTCCCCATAGAAAATATTTTGTTCAATGTTTTGCTTGGTCCATGCAGCGGAAGCACCTTTAGCGGCTGTCAGTGTAACAGCCATTGGAGGTGTGTTTAACCCTTCTTAAGTAATCATTGCTGTTTTCGGCAAAAGGCCAATGATTTAACGTGAAAAGTTTTACTTCACATTTTTAAAACACGTGCGGGATTGCTCACATCTACATATGATTTTTTTCGGTGGGATTTATGCACTAGACATAGTTATAGTGATTTAGAAATAAAATGGAAAATTAAAGGCTAATATAATTAAAGGAACTGTTAGAATTACAAACCTGCATTCCTAACACTATAATGGTCCTGGTCCCTCCATAGTAGTCCACTCCCCCAGCCATTTGCCGAAATTTGTAAGTTTTACTGGTCTTTTCCCAGCGCTCATGCTTCCTTAGCACTGCTTACCTCTCCACCTCTTTTAACGTTATCAAGAAAGCATGGCCTTTTTCGAGATGGTCTAATCCAATACTATTCATCGAGCAATGGGTTTCCGTGTCACGTGACAAGGTTTTATTTGGTCAGTGCAGCAGAAGCACCTCTAGTGACTGTCAGGAAGACAGATTGATTTAACCCTGAAGTGTAGACATTGCAGTTTATTTAAAAACTGAACTGTATTACATTGCAGGGTTAAAAGGACTGGACTTCAGCAACCGGACCACATCATTGAGATGAAGTGGTCTGAGTAATTATAGTGTTCCTTTAAGCTGTCATTTTTTGTAACTACATTTTGCAATTTAGATTTCAGTCAATAAACCCATAAAAAGTATTTTTGTGAGTTTATTGGCAATTTATAGTGAATTCACAGTAAATTTAAAATGTTAGGTCAAAACAGCAAACAGAAAACTGTGGACTTGGAAACGTTCCAATTTGGCTATTTTGCCCAAATATTTACATCTTACTTTGAATTCACCCTGAATAGCCATGCCTCTGTGTACTGAATTGTAAGCTTGTGAATAGTGTATTGCAAACTATTCATGTTCAGGCAAAGCCAGCTGCTTAGTAAAAGAAATCCCTCGTACAACACATGAGGTTATGCTAGGACAGAAAGGGAGGGCCTTCTCAAATGCCAGAGTACTAGGTCACACCCAAAACACAGTAACCAAATCAGAAAACAAATGTGATTCCAATCCTCAACGTGCACAAGCGTATCATGCAATCTAAAAACTCTGATTTATTATATAATATCTATAAAATAATCTTTCATTGTTATAATTTTCCAGTTATCAAAAAACCTAGTTATTTCATTGAGTAGCTGTATGGAGGATTCCTTAAACCCTCTACCACCAAACCCAAAAACACACACAAACAAATTAACAATAATAAAGGGTTTGCGGGAATAACAGACCGATCTCACGGGATTCTCTACATATAGTCTTTGTTAGTTAGTAGGCAATTATGCAAAGAGACAAACAAACATTTGAAAGCCAAATACATATTTTTTTTTTCAAAATGTTACTTTCATAACATTTTGTAGTATTCTAAATTGTTAATATAGCGGAATCATGAGTGCTAGGGTTAGTCCATCATTGATCACTAATAAATGATATATCATATATATGTAATTCCCCCCACAATATACATATCAAACTGTGATTTTGAATTGTTCTGCTTTATCAGTTTGTATACCACTGCTAAATAAGTTGGTATTTGTTTGATAAAGTGTTAATCAAAACCTTCAACTGAATAGCCAGGCTCTTGGTAAGAACCCAGGAATAGAAATTGAAAAATAGCAAAGAAATACATCATCACAAACAATCCAAAACATTTATAATGTAGCAAAATATTAACTAAAAATATAAGCTGGTGATTGGCTGCTGATGTGAATAGTAGCTTTGAGCAGTTATTTGTGCGAATGCACACATTTGGTCATACCTCCATTTTATTATAGTTGCTTGGCACAGTGAATAACCATCGTCGTACTTTTTGCATTTTGAAATATTAGATACTTTATAACAACAAAAATATACCCCTATCAATTTCTCTAATACACCTGTAATATATCAAATCCATCCTGCCCAGTAAAAGCATTGTTGGCTTTGGACAACAGGCATTATGTTCTCGAACATGGATGGATGGATTCTAACTTTTGACTCATTGTGCACCCATGTCCACTAAAGAGTGATGCATCACCCACTTGTACTTGACATGGACTGTATAAATTAATGTAAGAAGTGATACAGCATACCTCACCATGAGCGAGTTGCCAATGTTCTAAAAAGGCTTAGTAAAAAGAAGAATATAGGCACTCAATCTTGCTCACAAATCAATAGCAGTCTTATTACTCTACCAGTCCCTAAACAGCAGACTAACTAAGAATATTGCATTTTGATGTTCCACAGAATTGAAATTAGCCAGTCCGGAACTCTAGCTGATGTTGCCAGATTTGTTGTTCCCCTTCCAGCAGCAGATGATTTGAAATTCTGTACGTGCAGCGTTTCAAAGAAACCTACTGCACATACACAGGGTTAATTACTGAAGTTATTAAAACTCTAATTACTGTACTAAAGCCAAATTTGTAACTCTGCTTCTAGATCCGTATAATTCACAGCTAAATAAATCAAGACATTAAACGAAAAAGCACCTACCCTTTTCATGTATTATATTGACAATGCATAAAACACAAACACCTTCCATTTCAAGACCCTGAATTTGTTTAGAGAAGCTCACTAAGGCTTCAAATAGACCCCTCTGTCTGATATTATAATAAAAAAAAAATTGCGCTGAAGTGGTTATGATACCAGGAGCGCTCTGCCACCCGTTTCCTTTCATTGTGTTAGAATGGTTTGATTTCTTACTGAATGCCCATTCATTGAGAATGCAGTGTACTTTCGCTTACATCACTTTTGTGGGAGTTATAGATCACACAATCCAAAATGCAGGGATCCCTAAACATCAGCTGCAACATTTTAAAACCGGTATACAAATGTACTGATGCTGTGTTCCACTGAATACTGAGTGATATGTTAGAGCAGCACAGTTATTCCATACATTGATAAATAGTTGTGAATGACATAATGCAACAGTACACAGTTGTGACATGAAGCATTTGCATAGTACAGGGTCAGTTCAGTGCAGGAAATTGTTCCTACTAGTGCAAACAGAAGCAAGGCAGATACAACTGTATAGCATGGTTTGCCATATATAGAGGGTCTCTCTTTATTAGTGTGCCCTGAATTGAAGTGGATTGTGGTAGGAAGCCTTGTACAGGTCAAACAGTAACTTTGTTGAATGTTGGTGTGAGGTACTCGTGGTAAACGCTACAGTAACCTGGCTGTGCACCTATGGGGATCCAATGGCACGTCTTTTGGTCTATGTCCCCATTGCTATGTCCCATCTATTTCTATTATTCCCCGCCTCCTCCCTCAATCTACAGCTGGTTGTGTTTGCCTAAGGCAGGTTCTGTATGGTTTGGGGGCTCGCCTTCTGGATAAACTTATCCCACTTTGCTCAAATCTCTTGCTACCCCCTAAGAGATTTTTCCTTGCCATGCTTTCATAATCTAAGTTATTGGAAATTTGTTGTCTAAGAGCTTGCTTAGAGGGCAGTTCAGACTACTTCCAGGCTCTAGCTATGAAAACATTTGCCGCCACAATACTGTGGAGTATGAAAATTGAGTCTGGTTTATTGAAGTTATCTAGTGCAATTAGGAGGAGACAAAGCTCCAGCCCCAGAGTTGTTGTGTTACCCAAAATCCCAGATGTCTCTCCCTACACCAATTCCCAAAGGGGTGGACTTTGCTACACTCCCACCAGATGCGACACATAGTCCCCTTAGTGGCTGTGCATCTCCAGCATGCCTATGCTCAACATTTTAATGGTGACGTCCTCCAGTTCTGTGAGTGACAGTTTCCAAAGGTGTACTTGGAAAATACAGTGCTTACAGTGTAGAGATTGAGGGGCCCCGGCTTTGCACCAAAACCACTATATGAAACTGCAAAATTATGGGGTTATTCACAAACCAGCAAATTAGCAATGTTTGGGCATAGTTCCATTTTTAGTAAGGTGCGCCACAATTTTAGAATTACATAACTAATTTGCAGCAGGTTATGAGTCAAAGCATTTCCAGATGTCCCTAATAGTATATACACGTGAGAGTGAGAAACTTTCCTAAGACAAATAATCAAAGCTAATCTATAATATGAGCTGCTAAACACAACATACCTCAGGTCTGCCAATGCTCCTTCGCACAAGGGCACCGCGCCCTTCTGGCTGTTCCACACTGAGGACTGTTTTTATAACTTTTCTGACAGTCATTCTTGCAGCTTCTCCTGGTCTGGAATAATAGCACACAGAGTAAAACAACCTCTTATACATTAATACAGTGTAATATCTATGCAGTTACAAAAATATTACTTTCAAACGGCAAACAGCAAGTCCACAAAACACCAGGCAGGATATGGGAAGTTGTGCTTGTTTATGTAACTAAATGGAAAATGTACAAAACACACAATTGGAAAAATGTTGTCAAAAAGCCAGAGCTCTTTCAGCCAATGTTATCTAACCTACATTGTTAAAGGGAGAACAATCACTTCTCTGGAAAAAATACTGAAAATCACCTATAATGTTTATAAACCTTTTTTCACATGATGTAGTTTTATTTTAAATTTATATTAAAGTTTTAGAAATCACATCACATTCCAGTTCTGTCGAGGCCCAAGCAGGGGAACATGCTTCAAAGAAGGAGAAAAATTAGAAACATTGAGAGGTTCGTTTAAAAGAGCAATTCTGAGAAAATGTTCTAAAAGCATAGTAGTAACCATGGAAACCAATGCAACATTCCTGCTAATTGCTTCACTCGTAGAATTTTGCCCCAATACTGATATTTATATGTAAACCCAGGTGCAAAGTACAAAAAATAAAAATAAAACCACAAATCTTAAAACTAAGACTGACAGAGAGCGCTAGGTTGAAGAATAAAGGAGGTATGGATTTAGGAACAGTGAACAAAAAAAAATTATAGTTTTAAGTTTTAGAAGACTACTTAACATCACCTGTCTTAGCAAACAAATATGATGATTCAGTTATATGACCATATTGTGTTAAGCCCACCACTAGTTAGTGGAGAGCTTAAAGGACCACTACAGTGCCAGGAAAACATACTAGTTTTCCTGGCACTATAGTGCCCTGAGGGTGCCCCCACCCTCAGGAACCCCCTCCTGCCGGGCTCTGGGGAGAGGAAGGGTTAAACTTACCTCTTTCTCCTCTCTGCCTCCTCTCCTCCTCTTCGGCTGAATGCGCATGCGTGGCAGGAGCTGCACGCGCGCATTCAGCCAGCCAGTCTCATAGGAAAGCATTCACAATGCTTTCCTATGGACGCTTGCATCTTCTCACTGTGATTTTCACAGTGAGAAGCACGCAAACGCCTCTACCGGCTGTCAATGAGACAGCCACTAGAGGCTTTAGAGGCTGGATTAACCTATTTATAAACATATCAGTTTCTCGGAAACTACTATGTTTATAAAAAAAAGGGTTAACCCTAGCCGGACCAGGCACCCAGACCACTTCATTAAGCTGATGTGGTCTGGGTGCCTATAGTGGTCCTTTAATACAAAATGGCTATATGATGTAAATCAATCCCCCTATTTGTTTGCCAAGATAGGTAATTTTAGTAGCCTTGTAAAATGTAAAACTATTTTTGAGTGTGTGCTATTCCCTAACCGGTATTTTGTATAAATTCTGGTCACTATGGCAGCACCACAACCTGGAATGCAAGTTCCGGGTGTGCCCTAATTCCCCTTTTTTCGAAGTATGGATTTGTACATTTTAATTTTTGCACCTCACAAATACATATTTGTTAAATATATGGGATAAAGTAACATAATATTAGAAATCTCAGGAAATGTCAGTCCCTATTAAAGGAACAAGCTAATTAAAGGACCACTATAGTGACAAGAAAACAAACTCGTTTTCCTTACACTATGTAATCCTTAGGTCTCCCCCACCTTCAGGGCCCCCTTCCCCATTAGCCACTTACCTTTATCCAGCGCCGGGCTCCCTCGGCGCTGGTGACCTCTCCTCCCCCTACGACGTTAGCTCCAGAGTGGAACCGAAGCCGTGCGCGCATTAAAAACGCCCATAGGAAAGCATTTCTCAATGCTTTCCGATGGGCGTTTTGCCTGCTCAATGCGATTTTTGCATTGAGCGTCGGGGAAGCACCACTAGCGGCGGTCAGGAAGACAGCCACTAGAGGCTGGATTAACTCTGCAATGTAAACATAGCAGTTTCTCTGAAACTGCTATGTTTACAGCTACAACATTAAAACCTGGGGGACCTGGCACCCAGACCACTTCATTGAGCTGAAGTGGCCTGGGTGACTATAGTGGTCCTTTAAATACTTACCTTTATCGAGAGTAGTGCCAGAATTCTCACTGCGGCCCAATCTCCATACTGCTACGTCCTCAATCCTGATGACTTCTGTCCAGTCAGATGCTTCACAAAAATAACAAATGGGGTTGCTGTATACTTAAGTCATTGCTGCCGCCCATGAGCAAAGGGCTTAATTTTGTATGCTTGTTTACGTCACACAAAAAACCCTGAAAACACAAGGAGTATGTGCGACAATCGCCATATTCCGCCAATCCAATACATCTCTATGAAAAAACTAAAATCCATGCTTTTTATAGATAACGATTTTGCTGGTGCAAGACTTCAAAAAGATTCAATACCAACACTTACTTGTGTCAGAAACCCCTAGTAGTTATCGGTCTTACAGCAACTAGTAGACATGATAGTTTCAAAATGCATGACACTCAGTCAGCCATTAAACTGGTGGCGAGTGTAGCTATAGCTGCTGGCTAGTTTACTTTCAGCAAAAAAAAATTTAATTTTGAAAGATAACATATCCATAAACCAAAGCATACTTTAAATGCAATCAGAAAAACACATTACGGAATAGATTTTATCATTTGTCAGTGAAACATTGTTCATGTAACTAACCTGCAGTCTCAGTGTCTTCTAATGAAAGCTCAGGGCAAGAAGTGACTGAGTATTTGTCATGTTTTCAGTCTTATAATACCAGTACAACATGCTCAGCATGAGTCAGCAGAAATGCAATAAAGCCTTAAATGTGTCAGCAAACACTTAATAAATACATCTGATATATAATTGTGAACAATCTCCAGAATAGTTACAAACTGCAGAGATTGTCAGCATGACTACTCATATTGTTAGGGGGATCTTGGTCACAGTGAAAGATGCCAAATGTGGGTGGTTTGGTTTCCAGAAAAAGGCAGCATTACAATCTGTGTGTAATACAGTACATATACTCCAGCCATTCAGTCAGGGAAGAGCATTTTAGGTCAGAGTAGTCAAATGAAATCTGTGTAAACACTGACATGCATGGATAATCCTACACATTAACCCTACTTTACCCCCAGCCCTTCATACAGCAGCACTAATTCAATAGGAGATGGGAATGGGATCAGTAATTCAGGTACAGATAGCTTCCTGTTTCATATACCGACCTAACACTAGGCTGGCTGAGAGCAATAGGGTTTGTACTGCATTACCACACTATATAAAGCACTGACTTCAGTGGGATACAAATACACTCCTCTTGGTTATGCTAATTTTGCAGACACTGAGCTGACCATGTGCTCTGTGCTGGACTATATCTGGATTTCATTCATCTATGTGTTTGTACAAATAAAATAATGCCATCACTGACCCTCTTTTAAAGAGACAGTACATTGATAGCAGGGAGTTTGACTCTAAAGCTGCTCACATTGTCCCTTTAACTATAATCACCATGGGGTGGAGGGGTTATGTGATCAAACATGAGTAACACCCCCTCCCCACCATTCCCACACCATATCCCACACCATATCCCAAACACTATCTCCATACCTGTCAGTCAGGCCACGCCCACTGTGGGAGATGTATGGAACACGTGGACAGATCAAAACAATCCGACTGTACTTCCCGTGTTCTACGCCACGCCCATCGAATGTCAGAGGCCGTGCCCCAATGAGACAGCAGCAGGGAGAGCTTAGCGGTTACTATGACGACTAGTTATGGGTGGGGCTGCGGCCATTGGGCAGTGTGACTACAGACTGACCCAATACACCCTGCAATAGGAGGGGGATGTCAATGGCACAGCTAGTATTTCCACTACTAAGTCAAAATAACTGAAATAGGAAAAAAATAGCTCTCCAAGTCAATTCTTTTCAGACATAATTTACTGAAAGAATTTGAAAGAATATTTACAAACTAATGAATATGTAACACCATACATGATATTAAATAACATTCTAATACAGAATATACATGTCAACAGTATTATCAAACAATTGGGAACATGAAAAACCCATGTCCCCTATTATATATATTTCTGTGTCTGTTTTCTGCATATAATCATGTCTCATGAACAAGAAATCAATGATCGAATGAAAGAAAAATGTAAAAAAAAAAAGTTTTCCATTTAAAGGGACACTCCAGGCACCCAGACCACTTCTGCCCATTGGAGTGGTCTGGGTGCCAACTCCCACTACCCTTAACCCTGCAAGTGTAATTATTGCCGGTTTCATAAACTGCAATAATTACCTTGCAGGGTTAAGTCCTCCTCTAGTGACTGTCTACCAGTCTGGTAGACAGCCACTAGAGGAGACTTCCGTGTTCATAGAACACGAAAAGTGTTTTTAAAACAACGCTGGACGTCCTCACGCTATGCATGAGGACCTCCAGCGTCGCTGAAATCCCCATAGGAAAGCATTGTATAATGCTTTCCTGTGGAGAGGTCTAATGCACGTGCACATTAGGTCTCCCCCGCCAACGGCCACGCATGCGCATTAGGTCTCCCCCGCCGGCTGACGTTGGCGGGGGAGGAGCGTAGGCGGAGCCTGACCCAGTGCCGAGAGACATCGGCACTGGACTCCGGTAAGTCACTGAAGGGGTTTTAACCCCTTCACCAACTTGGGATGGGGGGTGAGAGGTAGAGGGGCACTAGAGGGTCCTGCAGTGCCAGGAAAACTAATATGTTTTCCTGGCACTGGAGAATCCCTTTAAAAATGTTTGCATTAGACTTGAATTTGACTTTGAATTCCCATAAATTCTCACTTTCGTGAATAATCCTGTTAGTTTTAATTAAACGACAGGTGGAAATTACAATTTTAATGCTCACACTTATCAAGAAAAATATTTTAAAGGGACACAATAGTCACTACCAGAACTACAGCTTAATGTAGTTTTGGTGCCTATGTCCTGCCCTGTGTCTATATCCTGTTTTTAATGTAAACACTATCTTTGCATAGAAAACGCAATGTTTATATTACTGTCTTGGAAAACATCTAGAGACAGTCACTCAGATGGCTACTTTGCTAAGATCTGCATGGAGGCACCAAACGTTCCTCATAGAGATGCATTGATGAAGAGATATCGATTGGCGCAGGGTTTTGCCACACATGCTCAATAGCCTCACAGTGCTTTCCTATGGAGTATAATTTGCTTTGCTGAGATCTTTAAATGTAATGATCTCAGCTAAGGAGACAGGGCCAGTTAAGCACATTTTTAAGAGGGGCAATGTGGGGGAGGGGATGTAAACCTAAATGGTGTTTTTAAAACTAAAGTGTTAGGAATACACATGTGCTTGTGGCACTCTTTTAAAGGGAAACTCCAGTGCCAGGAAAACAATCAGTTTTACTGGCACTGCAGGTACCCTCTCCCTCCCACCTCCCATCCCAGGTAGCTGAAGGGGTGAAAACCCCTTCAGGTCACTTACCTGAGACCCCGCCGATGTCCCTCGGCGGTGGTTTCGGGTTGGCGTCGCTCCTCCCAGTAATCTCGTCAGCCGGTGGGTGAGACTGATCCCGCCCGCTGAGGAAACCTAAAGAGCATGCTCGGCAATGCCGCGCACGCACATTAGGTCTCCCCATAGGAAAGCATTGAAAAAGATGCTAGAGGTGGAGTTAACCCTGCAAGGTAATTATTGCAGTTTATACCACTCCAATGGGCAGAAATGGCCTGGGTGCCTGGAGTGTCCCTTTAAGTGTCAGTGTGTATGCAAATGTTGACTTTTTTTTATTGCATTTTACTGTTTAGAGAACCTGGCATGTTTTGCTATCAGAAAATCCATGGACTTTTTATGTCTAGACCGTGACACTGTTCTCTCTCCTGGGTGGACTGAGAAGCTTGTTGTGGTAGAGTGTATTAAGCACATACTTTAGGGAAACAATTGACTCTGGTAACCTGAAATTAACCAAGTAAATCACTAAATTCTAGATTATGGCAAATCAAGTCATACTGCCTAACACCAAGCTGTAACTATAGTTGATCTGAAGAATTTTTTTAAAAAAATCAGGCTTCATATTTGCTTTACTTTCTTTTACTGTCACTCCCAGCAGCAAAGAAACAGTTGACAGTAAGTAAAAAATTTAACAAATCAGAGTGTATAATAGGGTATGTTCATTCATCAAACTCCTGCCAACCCCTCTTTCTTTGCTGCTTAGGCTCCCAGGTGAGTCTATTCCAATTACAGTCTAGTATTGATATATCTATATTGATTTAATATATCTTATTGTTATTAACCTAATTTCTAAACTTAATGGTATTCTAACAGTACTTTTTACTCTAGACGTTTCCCCTTTAAATTAATCCAACTGGACTGTGTGTCTTTAGGTAGGCTTTTAGTAGACTGTTTCTATGCCCTCTGTGGGTTTCATTGACACCCCCACGGTCTGCCCAGTGTGTATTCCTATCTAAAACGAACTCCCTTTCCTGCGGCCAGAAGCCGAGACCTGATTGGCTTCGACGACTCCTTCCTCCTGTGGCCATTTACTGGGCGGGCTCTTTTCGTGCTCTTTTGCTCCTCCATTTTCTAACAGTAATTTAATCAAACTGAACTTCTAGTCAATATTATTAAGTGTCTTTACTCTGTTTTTGTTACAGATTACACTAAATCCTTGCATAAGAGGGTGTCCCCCTCTATACCTCAAAAAAGCTGTTTTGCCTCATTACTGAGGGTGACCCCCTCTATATTATTTTAATATTTGCCTCACTGCAGAAGCTGACCCCCTCTATATTATACCAGTTATCTACCTCAGGGCTTGAGTCCTGCAGGAACGCATGGGAACGGCGTTCCTGCACTTTTTCTAAAGCAGGAACGCCGTTCCCGTTACCTGTCCTGCAGGACCGGCCCTGCTACATGCACAGAGGGGCCAGCACACGCTGTGTTCCCTCTCCAGCTATAACTCTCGCGAGACCCGCGGCTGTTACCATGGCAACGCTCCGCACAGGCGAGTCTCGCGAGAGTTAGAGCTGGAGAGGGAACACAGCGTGTGATGGCCCCTCTGTGCAGCAGCTGGCTCCCTCCACCGGACCACCAGGCGATCTCCCCCCTCCCTGACAAGGTAAGAAGCAGGGAGGGGGGAATAAAATAAATATTATACATAAAGTAAAAAAATGCTTCCCCCCCCCCCACACACATCATCCAGCACTCACACTCACACACACATCATCCCATGCACTCACACACACATCATCCAGCACACACACCCATCATCCAGCACTCACACACACACACACATCATCCAGCACACACACACACATCATCCAGCACACACACCCATCATCCAGCACTCACACACCCATCATCCAGCACACACATCATCCAGCACTCACACACACACATCATCCAGCACACACACACACATCATCCACACACACACACACATCATCCAGCACGACACACACACCACATCATCCAGCACTCACACACACATCATCCAGCACATCACACAACCACATCATCCAGCACTCACACACACCCATCATCCAGCATCATCCAGCACTCACACCCATCATCCAGCACACACACACCCATCATCCAGCACACACACACCCATCATCCAGCACTCACACACCCATCATCCAGCACATCTCAGCACACACACATCATCCAGCACACACACACACACATCATCCAGCACACACACACACATCATCCAGCACACACACCCATCATCCAGCACGCACACACACACACATCATCATCACACATCATCATCCAGCACACACACACACATCATCCAGCACGCACACACCCATCATCCAGCACGCACACACCCATCATCCAGCACGCACACACACATCATCCAGCACTCACACACACGTCATCCAGCGCGCACACACACATCATCCAGCACACGCACACACTGCATTCATTATACACACTCTTCACTCACTACAAACACACTACATTCACTATACACCCTCTGCATTCATTATGCACATTCTGCACTCACTACACACTACATTCACTATACATACTCTGCATTCACTACAAACACACTACATACACTGCATTCATTGTACACACTCTGCACTCACTACAAACACACTAAATTCATTATGCACACTCTGCATTCATTATACACACTCTGCACTCACTACAAAAACACTACATTCACTATACACACTGCATTCACTATACACACTGCACTCACTACAAATACACTACATTTATTATACACTCTGCAGGCACTACAAATACACTACGTTTATTATACACACTGCACTCACTACAAATACACTACATTTATTATACACACTGCACTCACTACAAATACACTGCATTCATTATACACACTCTGCACTCACTAAAACACACTGCATTCATTATACACACTCTGCACTCACTACAAATACACTACAATTATTATTCACACTGCATTCACTACAAACACACTACATTCATTATACACGCACTGCACTATATGCATAGGAGTGTAATTTGTATTTTTTTTTTTAAGGGGGGGGGGGAGGCGGGAATCTTGGGTGAGTTCCCACACTTTTTTCCCCAGGACTTGACCCCTGATCTACCTCATATAGAATGGTGACCCCCTTACTGTCTCCTGAGGGTGACCCCCTCATTGCATATTATTAATTCGGTTATACCGTTTCTTCTGCACTAACTGTGGGTGACCAGCATGCTTAATTGGCGATTTAAAGCATTTTATATATATATGCCTTGCGTTTTTTGATCAAGTCCACTGCCTTTGTATATATATATATTTATTTATACTTGTGGTGACCCCACTTCTCTCAATATGTCTGATTTGCCTGAACCAGCAGTCTCTGCAGAGCTCAAAGCTTGGCTGTATAACGCCATTGCAGACTCCATTCCCAAAGCCTTGGCAGATTTTCACGACAACTCAAAGTCTGCCCCTAGGGCTCCTGTTGTTCAGCTCTCAGACTCTGAAGAGTCAAAAGGCTCATACCATGACGAATGTCCCCGCAAACGCCCTTGGAAGGGCAATAGTGCTACCACCGGTAAAGGCAAGGCACCAGCAAAAGCACCTAGATTATCCCTTTCAGGTACTCTGGATGATACCCCCAATTATAACTTTGACCCATTAGAGGGTTCAACTTTCAACCTGCAACTTCAGGTAGTGGATGAATACTGTGCAGGGTATTCGGACGAGGACTTTCCCTCCCATGAACCCCACCAAAATGAGCCCCAAACCTCTGATCCTAACCAAAACATATCTGAGGATATTTTACTAGATACCTCTGGCCGCCCCGTGTTCGACCCTAGGTATATCAAACACCCACGCTCTGCCGAGTGGAGCCCCCCCGACCACATAGCTAACTTCTGCAGGATGTGGCTCCGTAAACCTTTGGGAAAAAGAAAATTAAGAGCAGAATGCCCACGACCTGTTATCCTTACTCGTCACCTTCCTGTATAAGACAGGAAAAGATCCCCGTAAGGGTTTGGAACAAGGCCTGAAGGCCACCCAAGATAAAATGATGGATATGGTGGGACCGCTTATCCAGATATTCAATATCGCAGATGAGGCTTTGGCAGGTGGCACTATGGACGCACATATGGTGTGAGAATGGGCACAGAGGGCCCTATGCCTACTGAAAAAATGAAAGACGTAAAGCCGCCTTATATAAAATCGATTCAAAGCTTGCCAACTTAGGCACTAAAGAGCTTGGCCCTGAGGCCCAATGTATGCTATTTGGAGACAAATTTATTAAAGAATTACGTAACCACGTGGCTGTGTTTACTACGCTTACAAAAGGCAATCTTCCTTCCGCAAGGTAATTAGGTCCCAGCATTTTTCTGGGAGAGCCAGCCATTACAGAGGCTGGACGGCTGGCAGAGCTGCCTTTACAGGCTACAGGCCTCGACCTTCAGAGCATTGGAACTCAGGCAATACCCGTTTCCACCAAAAGCACTTCTTCCCCTCTCGTGGATCCATTAGAGGACGTGGATCTGCTTCCCTCCACGGTCGCACTCCTACAGGTAATGGACTCTAATTTTTCTTATGTACCTATAGCAGGCCGATTAATCAATTTTTCCCAACAGTGGTCCCGACTCATGCAGGATCCGTGGATCCTTCAGACCGTGTCTGGCTTCCACCTAGATTTTACAGAGGACCCAGTTCAGGTGTCCTTGCCTATCCCTCTCAGGATGTTTCAATATAGACGACACATCCCTTCAAGTCGAACTCGACAACCTAGTCAACAAGGGTGCAATCGAACAGGCCCTCACACCACGAGGTTTCGTGAGCAACATGTTTTTAGTCAAGGAAAAGTCAGGAGAATTCCAGTCATCAATCTGAGAGAACTGAACAAATTCATAAAATACAGACACTTCGAGATGGAAGGCATCCATCTATTACGAGACCTCCTCTGCGAAGGAGATTGGTTCTCTCACTTCGACCTCAAAGATGCATACCTCACGGTACCAATCACGCCAGAACACCGCACTTTCCTCCAATTCTTTTGGGGCTAGAGACTATGGCAGTTCACCTGTCTCCCCTTCGGACTGTGCTCCGCACCTTGGTGTTTCATCAAACTAATGAAACCGGTGATGGCGCTACTCCATTCACAAGGGATTCGGTCCATCATATACTTGGACGATATCCTCCTTAAGGCTCAAGATGAAGGGACTCTGCGTCTCCATACGGATACGTCTTCGGCTCTCCTCCAGAATTTGGGTTTCATCATCAACCTCCAAAAATCACCTCTAACTCCGTCTCATACGGTACAGTTTCTGGGATTTCAGATAGATTCAATTCAGGCAGTCCTGCAACTCCCTGCTATGAAAATCAAGACCATAAAAAAGGACATCCGGGGATTGCTGGCCTTACCATACTTCCGACTCAAGGATTTAGCCCGCACAATCGGATTACTCTCCGCCTCAATCGAGGCAATATTTTCAGCCCCACTACACTATTGGGCAATGCAACGTTTGAAAACACGCTACTTGCATCACTCAACATCTTACGACCAACAGATTTTTCTCACAGACAAAGTCCAATTGGAGCTCCACTGGTGGCTTCAACATATGGAAGCCTGGAATGGAAGGGCTATCTTCGTCCAGCAACCCCATTTCATTCTGGAATCAGATGCCAGTCTCCTCGGATGGGACGCCACCTGCTCGGAACGTTCTACCGGAGGCCTCTGGTCCCCATCAGAACAGGCACTACACATCAATTGCCTCGAACTAATTGCTGGTTCTTTCGCGATCCACAGTTTTACCAAAGAAGCCTGCAACTGCAGCCTCATCCTGAGAATGGACAATGTCTCAGCAGTACGATATGTGAACCGCCTAGGTGGCTCCCGATCAAAGATGCTATCAGATCTGACAAAGGAATTGTACCAATTCTGCCTGGACAGGAATATCTCCTTCGTCCAGAATATCTCCCAGGCTCCGACAACCTCGTCGCAGATTGGTTTTCCCGTCACTGGAGGGATTCCAGCGACTGTCAACTGGACCCACAAATTTTCCACGATCTACAGGTTCTGAGAGGGCCACTCAACCTGGACCTGTTTGCATCCCGTCTGAACCATCAGACGGACGCA